GATGAAAGTGATACTTGTTACATTTTATGAGTGGATAAGTTTAAGAAAGGGAAAACAATTTTTTTCTCTAGAGTCATGTTTTGTATAACTCCAGTTGGTCACGTAGCGCGCCTGCACAGTCATCCAGCACACACATGTGTGCGAAAGTCCTGGGTTAATGTGTCCACAGAAAGTGCCTCTTGTGTCTTAAAACATCTATCATTGTAAGGCATTCCACTCAGGAAAACAAACAAACGTAAAAGTGTTCTCAACGGTTATGTCACCTTTAAATGGTCTTTAAGGAGACATTTTTACCTTTGCAAAAATACCAAATACCAAATGATAATCTGTAAAAGACAGCAACAACACCACATAACAAATACAAGATAATATAACAGACACACTAAAGGGCATTAAGCAACTTTTCATGAGAGAAAAAAAGTTTATATTTTAGCATTTTTTACCTTCTAGAGATCCAGTGGCTTCATGGTCAAATATAACAAATTGCATTATGCCCCTTTAAAGGAGAAGCTCATCATGACGGTATGTAACACTTCCTTTAGTTCAGTATTTTGGAATTGGCTGCCATGGTTCATCAAATGTTGTGATTGAGCCCTCTAATATACACCTCAGTTTTTCAAGTTTTTCATGTAAAATTATATTATATAATTTACCCATTAGACATGCGTGTGTGAAGTGTCTGGTTTGCACTGTTTTTCTCTCTCTTAACAATCTTCCACTATTGTTCCTTCACCAAGAACAGACCTGGAGTTGTTACTTGCTCCATCCACGTTAATATATAGAACTTTTCAAACAACAATTCACAAGCATACAACTCTGTGCTTTAGTCTACAGGCTTGTGTCATTGTACCATGTATCGCACTAGAGATAACTGCCAATCAATAAGTTTTGGTAATTTTACTGTCGGATGGCTGTGGTTGCATCTGGTAATTTTCAAAGTTGGAAAAAAACAAAAACAGAATCAACTCTTCCCTCGAGTGGTAGCATAGAGAGTTGCAGCAGATAGCATTCTTTCATCTTGTTTCACAATATAGTTTAATGGTCAATATAGTCATTTCATTCAAAATGTAAAAGTAGTAGTAGGGATATACAGTAGTTTTGTTTTGGGTCTTTTGAACCTTGGACCCAGAGACAAAAAATTACTAAAAACAATGTTTGCTCTGAATATATTACTCTCTACTGAGCAGGGAGTGTTCCAACCCGTTTTCTGTTTACATTTTTGTGAGCTTCATAAAGATCCAGCGAGGCGGTAGGTCATACATCTATTACAGCTTCTCTTTTGTTCATTTTCTGACCCAGCACACAGGTCTATGTTTAGGATGCATGTGTCTGTCTTCACCAAAATGGCCAATGCGAAACTGACATAAATTCTCAAGATGCTTCAGGATTCTTATCTCTTAACAGTTTCATCCTTTTTATTGTTAATATCCCACAGAAGGGTCATCGTAACCATATTAGAAAAAAGCTTTCATCCCAATGCCGACAAAAAGTGAAAGTAAGGTGAAGTAGAGTCTGGATTAGCCTGGCCATAGCCATCCATACACTCCGCTCAATAGGGTTGCCAACTTGAGAACAAAAAAATAGGGGTCACCATTTCGGTGGATCGGGTTGACCTCTTTTATGTCCTAATTTCAATCTACACAGGAATCATGGAAATTCATTATCACAGTTTTTAGAATGTAATTTATCGACTCTATATAAAAACAAAAACAAATCCTTAGTCAAAAATGAAATTGAATAAATAGGTAGAACTCTTTGACTGGTTAAGGACTTCATGCATGCTTATTAGTAATAAAAAATATAAAAAAGACATGCTGTAACATAAATTATTTATGGATGTTACAGTAAAGACCATTTACTGTAAAAGCAAATAAAAAATAAAAACATGTATTCATTAAAAAAACTCACAAATGTTGAAATCAAAGTCTGTAGCAGTTAGACATGGTCATTATTTACATTGAGAGTTTAGTGTGTGTACATGGCTTCAGTAAAAGCTATTGTTCGTTTACAAAGCTGGTCTGGACATTTGTTGATGCTCCCTAAGCACTTTTCTCGGACCTTGCAGTGCATTGGATTCAATGGATTTCTCTGCATTAAAACAGTGCATTGGATTTGAAAAATCAACTTAGAGATGATAATTTTAGCACAATTACTTTTGTTTAACAAACTAGCTTTTGTTAGCTAATGACTGCGGAAGTCCGAATCTGGGAATATGACGCTACTTTGCCCAACTTCTGCCGTGTTGCTGCGGGCACGGCCCACGCTGGCGATTGGCAACATTAAACATATACAGTGTATGCATTAAACCAATGTATGTGATCGAGCCTATGCCCCTTTGACACTGATTGGCCGAAAGGTAGATGCTTAAACTGTGATTACTTCATGTGTGTGTGTGTGTGTGTGTGTCTCGCGCCTGTGACATGCAGTGAGTGAGTGATGCATTTAAAGAGCGACTAAACACCTGTGCCCAGCCTTACTCCGCCCACATGAAGATTTGAACATTTTCTCTAAAAAGGGCGTTGCCTGGAGGACTAAGGGACAAGAAGGGGGGCTTAGAGTTGGGCGTGGTCTGGGCTGTGATTGACAGCTCACTTGTCACACAAAAAAAACAGACAGTTGTCATTGCTGCTTAAAGCAATAGTTTACAGACCAGAAAGTCTCATTCCACCCTTGTTTACACACTAAGATAATTGTAAAGCTACACACCTGAAACTAATCACACTCAATAATCTCAGAATGACTCATGTAATTTAATTTGAATCCACTAGATGGCGCCAGAATACTCCAAACTGCAGCTGGGGCGTGAGTGAGAGTTGAATGGGTTCACATCACTGGCTCTGACAGACTGACGTCACACAAAACAACTGATGTCATAGAGAACTTCAGAGTCAATGGAGAGGCCAGGACCAAATTCAAATGTAGTACCACCAAAAAGGTTGAGAGGGCACCACACAGCGTTTTTTGGCTCAAAAGTGATATTTTATCTAATTTGAACTAAAATCTCAAAAAAATGACCAGGATATGTAGACAGCACTACAATAAACATACTTATGCAGTTTATGAGTTAAAAAAAGTTGGTTTGGTGTTTAGTCGCTCTTTAAGGTGGCTCTGAAAATACGGGAAAAAAACCGTCGATTCAATACGGGACGCACATAGTTTTTCTATAATACGGGACAATTCCATATTTCAAGGGACGGTTGGCAACCCTACCGCTCAATCATCATTTCACAGCATGTAGCGTCTGGGTCTGGTCCCCATGTTAGCGATTACAATCGGTCGTATTTCGACCGGCTACTCAGAGAGCGCATTGTAGGTCGGTGCCGGTGACGTCAAGAGTTTGCGCCGAACGGGCAAGTTGTAGTTTGGCAGTGGCGAAGAATGCAATAGTAAAGAAATCCGGTCTGGTTCTATCAAGAAATTGAAGCAGGAGCAAGAGGAATGTTTGGCAAATGTAATTGCTGCTCAAGTAATCGGGCTCCGTTAGCAGCAAAGGAGATGGCTAAGCTAAATGCTAATGCTAACAACTCACTCGGGCGCATTACATACGTCACAGTAAACTCAGATCCAATCGTTTCAATCTGCAAAAGGAGTTAACCCCTCCCACCTGTTCACCGAGCTCAATGGAGCAAATCCAGACCTTAGTATGAAATGAAATTTGTACTAAGGTGTGATACAACCAGGCTAAGTCTGGATCCCTGTATCATAATTGCACATGAACGATATAAAACAAATATGATGCATTGCCAGGTCAAATTTATGAGCAATACTGTTTTTGTTTTAAAAATCATTAACTAGTTGATGCTCAAATTTTAATTTCGTTGCTCTTTATTACTATAAATTGAATCTTGAATCGGCTCTGAGTGTGATGTGATAGTGGTACAAGGCAAGGCAAAGCGAGTTTTAATTATTTAAGAGTAAAAGCCTGTCTCACATTTTTAGGAAGACAGTTCCAGATTATAGGTGCATATTTTTGAAACACTGAATCTGCATATTTAGTCCTGACTCAGGACAGAGTATCAGCAGGAGGCCAGCCCCTGTGCTCCTCACAGTCCTATCAGGTGGACAGTCCCTGTGCTCCTCACAGTCCCAGCAGGTGGACAGTCCCTGTGCTCCTCACAGTCCCAGCAGGTGGACAGTCCCTGTGCTGCTCACAGTCCCAGCAGGTGGACAGTCCCTGTGCTGCTCACAGTCCCAGCAGGTGGACAGTCCCTGTGCTCCTCACAGTCCCAGCAGGTGGACAGTCCCTGTGCTCCTCACAGTCCCAGCAGGTGGACAGTCCCTGTGCTCCTCACAGTCCCAGCAGGTGGACAGTCCCTGTGCTGCTCACAGTCCCAGCAGGTGGACAGTCCCTGTGCTCCTCACAGTCCCAGCAGGTGGACAGTCCCTGTGCTGCTCACAGTCCCAGCAGGTGGACAGTCCCTGTGCTCCTCACAGTCCCAGCAGGAGCAGATAACTGTAGGTCCAGAGCTGAAGGGACCTGAGCTGTACCGTAGGTAAAAGCTCAAAAAAGGTCATGTCTGTTTGAAGACACTTGCTCTATGTGTCAGGCCCAATCATTGAAATGTTTAAGTACTGAACAGCTGGGCTTTAGCAAACCTTTCTTGACCTTTGGATTTTGTTTTGATCCACCCACATCCTTTTTTATTAGCACAATTTAAATACAGCTAATATACAACATGTTACTGATAAGATAATAATTATGTAAATAACACAACTATTGTGAAAAATAAAAAATAAAAATACCACCAAATTTATATTTTATGAAAATATAAATTGAGTGGTATTTTTATAAATAATTGAAATTCTCATCCTGTTTACTCTACAGGGTTTCCAATCAAGTCATAAAACCTGTCATCCAAAAACAAAGAAACAACATTTTGTCAATGAGTTGCAGTTTTGAACTAACACCCACTGTCTAGAGGCTGCGGCTCCAGAGGCTGCGGCTCCAGAGGCTTCAGTCTGCGTCTGTCCTCCGTGCATAGAGGAGGGAAATACACACCATGGAGCAGTATTTAGTTGAACGAGAAGTGCTCAGTGAGGTGCGCCTGGAAGAAGTGGCCCAAAGAGACACGAGCAGGACCCGAACTAGTGTTGCAGATAAATTAAAAGAATTCTCGAGGTAAAATCAATTATAATCTATTTGTGGCAGCATGGGGCATCGTTAGACTTGAAAATTAATCAGAAATAAAATGTGTGCGTTCCTCAGCTGTTAATGCTTAGCTTGACATGTCACTCAATTTGGTTTAAAATGTTTTAGTACATTCACAATTTTTTTTTTGATGCATTATAAATATAACTTTTCTTGAAGTGTAGTTTCATGCTTGTTTCCAATGTTGAAGCAACATTTAATAACAAACTGTAAAAAAAAATATCCTACAACATTTAGACAAACCCAAGCAACGTGTCAGAATGATTACACACTTTCTTGGGTAAATTGAATCTAACAGGAGAATTTTATGCATTATGATTCAATGCAGTGTATTGCTTAATTTATAAATGTTGTAAATATAATTCTGAAGTTAAGAAATCATGTCTTGTTTAGCCAATGACTATGAAATGTGGTTTCATTTACAGTGAAAGACTCTGAAGACGTAACACCTAAGTGAATGCTGTTTGCTACTGTGGAAATCTTCCACAGTTACACATTGCAGGAGAGATTCCTGTTATCAGTAGTTTTACAAGGCCGGCTGATAATGAGGAAACCTGAGGAGAGACAGCTGTTTATATTCTCAAGCCAGCTTTCTTATTTGCATCTACCTATTCAGAGGTTGAAGTCGATAAGGAAATAGTGGTAAATGACAATTGCAATGTCATAATTTAGTTTTACATAACACGGTGAAGCTGCTTGGTCCAAAAATTCCTCGTATTTGTATTCTAGATGTAGCTATTTTGGAATAAAACAGCTACTTTCTTATGTCCTGTCTTGCTTGAAGAAATTGACTAGTTAGAATTCATCATCTTGATTTAGAACAATACATTTCCTGATTGGCTCTTTGATTGCTGACACCCACAAATTTGGTTCGAAAGTCCCACCCATGGAGTCTGTTTGAGCTAGCACTGATTTGCTTTATTTACCCAATAAGGCAAACAGTATGGCTGAAGTAAGTCCTCTCCCGCAGTCTATAGGACTGACTGATTTTTAAGTCTCTATAGACATTGCAAATCACAGACTGCACATTTCAATGTATGATTTCACTTTTTTTCTTGTAGCTATGTCAAATGTAAATCAATATGTTCATCGTACCTAATTTTATAGCACAGAACAAGCAGAATTGCACAAAAACGGCTTTGGTATTGGCTCCAAACTGTGGTTTCTGTGTTACAGATGTTCGGTTCCCAGGCTGAAGGAGACGGTGCAGAGGTGGGTGCCAGTTCTCGACTGGCTCCCTAAATACTCCATCAGAGAAAATGCTCTTGGAGATCTGGTCTCTGGCTGCAGCGTGGCCATTATGCACCTGCCCCAAGGTCTGCAGCCACACATCAATTACAATATATGAATTATGTACAGTGACGTTCAGTTCATTGTTGGCAGATTACACACTTCCTTTGTGCAGTGTGTAAGTTTTCCAGAGGAAAGTCTGTCACAGACAGGCTGTCTTGCACACATTTATATATAGATCTGGCTATTATTCAATTGCAAGTCATTTTATTTCCTAGTTTCAGGCAACTCATCTATCGTTGGAACATTGAAATCCTAGTGCGTCTCTTCTAAACAAGGTTTTGGTTTTATTTGCCAAATTATAACAGCTGCTTGATAATGACAAAAACCTATGCCACAATAATTAGACACATGACTGAAATTACGATAATTCCATGCTAATATTTTCTCATGGGCCTGGTCTAACCTGATGTCCTGGCCCTAAGCTAAATACATATGGCGGAGGAGCAAATTAACTATTTGTCATATTGTTTGTCAAATTCCTCTGTCAAGAGACTAAAGACTAATCTAATCTAATCTAAATTAATCTAATATGAAACATCTTCTGAGCTCGACGGCACAATTCTGGTAAACTATAGGCCAATAAAACAGCTGCCTGTGTCAAAAAGCCTTTGTTCCAGGTTTTGCATAGTTGAACAAGCACATGACAGTAATCATTATATTTTTGATGTGTGCTCGAGTATATGTTGCAATAACAATTTGAGTAGTAGCACAGCCATAAACACAGGTCTGTGTCCGCTGAAGATGAAGTATAGATTTTAAGTGAGAAGAGCCCACTTAAGTGAAGATGTCTTTACATTTTCCCCCCCAAAAAGATCCTCAGTTTTTGCTCTACAGGCCTTTTCATTTTGCACTAAAAACAGTGGAATCAGCTCCCAGACATTCTCACTACTTTCACTGGACACTGGACAAAAAGAACTTTAGATCAACAATTCTATCAACATTAATACATTTGTATAGTACTTGAAGTAAAACTATAGGACACATTTACAACATTTAAAGAATGAATTGTGAGATAATGAAATAGAAATAAGCTTTTGATTAGGAGATCCTTTATTCGTTCCAAAATGGAGGAAATTACATCACAAGTGAAGAGTATAGTAACATGGGCACACAACACAAGATTTTAATTGTAATGTGTATTTTATGTGCACTCGCACAGATAAAGGAACAGTGTGTACATTTTTAAGGTTAAGACTAAGTTTCCATTGTCCATGTTAAATAAACAACTAACTAAAGTGAGTGTAACCTGTTACCTGGTGGTAACTGGTTATTCTAACGTTCCCCAGGTATGGCATATGCACTGCTGGCCTCCCTGCGGCCTGTGTTTGGCCTGTACACCTCTCTTTACCCAGTACTGATCTACTTCATATTTGGAACCTCAAGACACATTTCAATTGGTGAGTATCTTTGGATTGGTTGATTATTTTTTACTTTCTAATCTTCCCTTTTACAGACAAAACCAAGGATTAATTGTAATGAGTCTCTAGGCACATTTGCAGTGATCAGTGTCATGGTTGGCAGTGTGACAGAGAGACTGGGTCCAGACTCTGACTTTCCACTCAACAACAGCACAAACACAACAGGAAGTGTGGACATTGATGCCAGAGATGCCTACAGAGTGGTGATCGCCTGCTCTCTCACACTCTTGGTTGGGATTTTCCAGGTACTGTTTGAATAATGACATTCACATTTATCAAACCGTGATTTGATTTTTCTCTTGACTTTAGATTGTGCTGGGTGTGGTAAAATTTGGCTTTGTGGTCAATTACTTGTCAGAACCACTGGTCCGAGGCTACACAACTGCGTCAGCATGTCATGTTTCTGTGTCTCAGCTCAAATACATTTTTGGAGTCTCACCTTCTCGTTACAATGGACCACTTTCTCTGATTTATGTGCGTACAGTCTATGGCATACATACACCAGAGTTTGACAATCTTCCTATTGCTCAACGGTGGCAGATTGTCATACTATATTTTTCCATTTCTCTAGACTGTTGTGGACATCTGCAGTCGTTTGCCTCAGACAAAGATCCCTGAGCTGGTTGTCAGCCTTGTGGCACTTGCAGTTCTTATTGTGGTCAAAGAAGTCAATGGTTGCTATGCAAAAAAGCTGCCCTTTCCCGTCCCCATTGAGCTTATAGTGGTAAGTCCAGCAGAGGGCACCAATATCTTTGATCTTCACCTCACATATGTACAGTCTTTGTTCACATCAGCCATGTCTAATGATAGTACTTGTACCACACTTTTCAAACCAATGCACTAACCGCTGTGTTTTGTTTTGTGTCATAGGTCATAGTTGCCACAATGATTACATATTTCTGTGGATTGACCTCATTGTATTACATTGATGTGGTTGGAGAAATTCCCAGTGGGTATGTTTCGGACACAGACAGATCTATAAAACATTTTGCGGTTTCATGCCACATCTGATTCCATTCCACTTAACTGGGCCACACAGCTGTATTCATAACATTCTTGGAACTCAATTGGAGTCAAGGAAGTCAGTAGATAAGGTGCTCTTTGGTGAGGGTGTGGCTTGTCTAAATAGACCTTACTGAGTCCATAGATTACATTCTCACATGACTAAACTGACTTTAATAAGTAATATTTCAAAGAAATGATCTAAGCTCGGTTTTCATAGGTGGTCACTCTCTCTCTATGCCATCATAAATTCCATGAACTCTGATTGCATTGGCTTTTTACATTTCACTAACATTAGGGGTGTAATTGTGATTTGCTACAATCAGTGTCTTTCCTTAATGTGCAAATATTTTCTTCCTTTTGCTACAGACTGAAGGCCCCTATATCCCCAGATGTCAGTTTGTTCTCACAAGTGATTGGTGATGCTTTTGCTATTGCTATTGTGGGCTATGCCATAAACATTTCCCTGGGCAAGACATTTGCTCTAAAACATGGATACAAAGTGGACAGCAATCAGGTAAGAAACATGGAATAATGTGTGACAAGATTTGGCTACAAATGCATGGAAACATCAAAGCACAAATTGGTGCAGGCTCTAATACAGACAAAAACAAGGACAGTGTCTATGTCCAGCCACAAGAGGTCACACATGCTCTGTTCTGTTTATCAAACTTCAGGGGGTCTCTAACCTTTTTTGATTGGAGAGCTACTTTTATCAAACAGATATGGCAGAGACCTACTCCTTCTAGCAGTCCATTTGTAGTCTATATGATATCTACGCCAATCATGGAGGACACATGGACATTATATACCGTAATATCTACAGGATCCTGTGTTCATGAAAAGATTTGTTGTTAAAAGAATAATGACTCAAAAGTGAATCATTCAGGATCATGTGTTAAATTCTTGAATCCTTTGGGGGGCTACCTGAGGGGGTGGCTACTGGTGGCTCCCGATCCACAGGTTGAACTGACATCTTAAAAATGATCACTTATGTTTGTTTATGTGAATGATCAATGATGATGATCAATATTCACAGGGTTTAAACTGAGGATGTAATGTATTTGTAGCACTTCTATTGTTCTGTTTGAGTAGAACTGGATGTACTGTACTGTACGACTCCTATAGGAGTTGATTTGTGACGTACTTCTGGTTTTATGATAATTCAATTACCCGGCTTCTCACTGTAAGCAGATCGCCAGATGCATTAGAATCCTGTTGTTGTGGCTCTCGTTTCATTCATACCCAACCACAACAACAGCTTTAATATTAAAACTGCAGCTTAGAGAAACACAATAAAGTTTCATAATGTGTTTGACTTTAATCATGATCTCAAAGGGTTTTCTGTTCAGGTGTTGTGTATTTGTTTTGCATACATTTTTTCTTTCCTTATTTTACAACAGTTTATACTATTACTGTACTATAGTATCCTACAGTATCCAGGATACTGCAGGATACTGCAGGATACTGTAGGATACTGTAGGACACTGTAGGACACTGTAGTATACTGTAGGATGCTGTAGGATACTGTAGGACACTGTAGGATGCTGTAGGATACTGTAGGACACTGTAGGATACTGTAGGACGCTGTAGGACACTGTAGGATACTGTAGGATACTGTAGGAGGCTGTAGGATACTGTAGGATGCTGTAGGAGGCTGTAGGACACTTTAGGACACTGTAGGACACTGTAGGGTACTGCAGGATACTGTAGGACACTTTAGGATACTCTAGGACACTGTAGGATACTGTAGGAGGCTCTAGGATACTGTAGGATACTGTAGGAGGCTGTAGGATACTGTAGGATACTGTAGGACACTTTAGGACACTGTAGGACACTGTAGGATACTGTAGGACGCTGTAGGACACTGTAGGATACTGTAGGATACTGTAGGATGCTGTAGGAGGCTGTAGGACACTTTAGGATACTTTAGGACACTGTAGGACACTGTAGGACACTGTAGGATACTGTAGGATACTGTAGGACACTGTAGGATACTGTAGGATGCTGTAGGACGCTGTAGGACACTGTAGGATACTGTAGGATACTGTAGGACGCTGTAGGACACTGTAGGATACTGTGGGAGGCTGTAGGATACTGTAGGATACTGTAGGAGGCTGTAGGATACTGTAGGATACTGTAGGATACTGTAGGACACTTTAGGATACTGTAGGATACTGTAGGAGGCTGTAGGATACTGTAGGACGCTGTAGGATACTGTAGAATACTGCGTCACCATTTCTACAAATGTGTAAAAAAGGAGAAACAAACTGTTCAAACCTGCGTTATATATCAAATATTAATCTTGGATCTCTCTCAAGTAGATCCTTGATCATTTAGAAATTGTATATTAAGCTAATTATAACATCGTGGTGAAATGTCAGTGTTGCTGGACACAGTACAGAACAGCAGGAATATGAGCCCAACTCAAAGAATATTCAGGAAATAAACATAAAAATAAAAGATGAAAATCATTCGTTTGCAGGTTCCTGTCATTTGTTTCTTGGTGTTAACCCTTTAGACAGAGACAGAGAAAAGGTGGAGCCCTGAAACGTTATAATAAGGGAAAGGAAAGAAAATGTGGGGACGTGTCAGTGGGAAGCCAGGTCCTGGATCTTGGATCATGTGAGAGTTCTGGGTCTTTCTGCTCTGAACATGACATCATCTGTTTTCCCGTGGTCAGGGTTCAATCACAGTTCATCTTGAAAATGGGCAATAAAACAACAATTTGAATTCACTGCTGATAATGTCATGGTACTTGAGTGAACAGTGAGTTAGTGTTTGCTGTATTGGCCCCATGCGCGCACACACACACACACACACACACACACACACACACACGTGTGGCACTTTGTGTTGCATTCTTTAAAAAGGCCTATACAAATAAAATGCTATTGATTGATTAAAATACAGACACATGCACACACAGACCACACACTCTTTCACAGACTCTCACTCACACACACCACACACTTTCTCACTCACACACACTCTCTCAAACCACACACTCTTTCACTCACTCACACACACACACATACACACACACACACACACACACACACACACACACACACACACATACACACTCTGCTTGCAAAGGCATGTGATCAGGATCATTGGGCTGAGAGCACTCAAGCTTTAAATGCAGCTCTGCAAAATCCTTAACGCTCAACAAATCCAGTCTCCTGTGCTCATGTCCCGTGGTCTTTAGTTTCGTGATTTGCTGACACGATATCAGTTTAATAAAAGTCTATTGTTAATTATTGTGCAAATGATTGCTCTAACACACTCCGAACATCTTTGCCTCTGCTGAATGTCATCCAAGTACAATCACATAGTCCAGTGAATCCTGTTCTGTCGGAGCCACAGCCTCTAGAAGTATCAAGAGGATTTATGTATGCAGAATGTGTGACTGAAGCACATCAAGTCTTTAGAAGATGTCACATTTGGATGTTGTTTTGCAGGAGCTGGTGGCCCTCGGTCTGAGTAACTCCATCGGAGCTTGTTTTCAGTGCTACAGCGTCACATCGTCTTTGAGCCGCAGTCTGGTTCAGGAGAGCACCGGTGGAAAGACACAAGTAACACACTGTCACAGTCTGGAATATGAATCAAGGAATTAGTATGTGCAATAATATGATTGATGATATTTCTTTTATGCTTTTAGGTAGCTGGATTTATTTCTTCCATCTTTGTTTTGATCATAGTTTTGAAAATAGGATCACTTTTTGAAGATCTGCCAAAGGTGCGGCCATGCTCGTTGTTATGTCATCACAACATTAAAAAATATCAATAATTAATAATAATCAAATAATAATGTGTAACAATAATGTGTAACCAGAATATTAAGAAAGCAAAAGAGTATTAGCAAAATAATAAGAGTTCATGTGATTTATAGGCTGTTTTATCAACAATAGTATTTGTGAACCTCAAAGGAATGTTTAAGCAGTTCACTGATGTTCCTGAACTTTGGAGATCCAACAAAGTGGATCTGGTAAGCCAAATATTTTCTGAATATTCAAAAAAGGGCAATAATATTAACATTTATGGTGTGTGTGTTTTCTCTAGATGGTATGGTTGGTTACATTCATGAGCACTATACTGTTGAACCTGGACTTGGGCCTCGCTGTGTCTATTGGGTTTTCCATTCTGACCGTGATCTTCAGGACACAACTGTAACTAACAATAATGCTTTTATGTATCACGCTGCAGTAGAATCAGTCAAATTCAATATGCATTTAGGTCAATGCGATATTTTTCTACCACAGGCCTCACTATTCCATTTTGGGACAAGTGCCAGGAACCGACTTGTATCTGGAAACAGAGACCTTCAAACAGGTACATGGAACACTGCTTTGTATATGAACTAATATTATTAATAAATTAACTATTAAACATCTGGTACATTTGTCCATTGTGTGATCAAAAAAGTTTGATCTTATCTTATTCCAAGTGTATTTAACATTGATTGAGACACAGAATGTAAAGTGGCATAAAACAACTTTGTATGTGCAAAACTTGATATTTTTGCATATTTGACCCTGTGGCTGAATGAGTGGTCAGTTTTTACTTTCCATCACAGTGGTTATAGGATGCTATGGGATCAACTGTTGGACCCTCATCAGTCCACTCCTAATATACACCATGATATACACTTTAAAAAAACACAGATGAGTATGGAACAGGAAGTGCTTGTGCTAAGACACGAACCAGGAAGTGGGCGGGCTCTTGGGCTGTACAGCCTATACTGTGTCAAAACTAAGCCCAATATTATCATATAGTGTCAATAATAATAATGCATTGGTTTTATAAACTGGGGCGACAGTAGGTCAGTTGGTAGAGCATTGGCCTTTGGGCCTGAAGGTCGTGGGTTCAAGCCCACCATAAGACCTACTTCACGACTCCCACTGATGACTGCTGTCGTTGTGTCCTTGGGCAAGACACTTAACCCCACTTTGCCTGAAACTCCCACTGAAAGATCTCAGCTCCTGTGGACTCACCACCTGCAGGAGGATCAGTGAGGGGCTGGTGCTCTGTGTACTGGGTGCAGCTCTGACTGCCACCCCCCCGACCCAGAAATGGATTAAGGGGAAGAAAATGGATGGATGGATGGTTTTATATAGCACTTTTTTGGACGCTCAAAGACGCTTCACATGTAATTACAGTGCCTTGCGAAAGTATTCGGCCCCCTTGAACCTTTCAACATTTCGGCACATTTCAGGCTTCAAACATAAAGAAATAAAAATTAGATTTTTTGTCAAGAATCAACAACAAGTGGGACACAATCGTGAAGTGGAACGAAATTTATTGGATAATTTAAACTTTTTTAACAAATAAAAAACTGAAAAGTAGGGCGTGCAATATTATTCGGCCCCCTTGCGCTTATACTTTGTAGCGCCACCTTTTGCTGCAATTACAGCTGCAAGTCGCTTGGGGTATGTCTCTATCAGTTTTGCACATCGAGAGACTTCAGCTCTTTCCACAGGTTCTCGATTGGATTCAGGTCTGGACTTTGACTTGGCCATTCTAACACCTGGATACGTCTATTTGTGAACCATTCCATTGTAGATTTGGCTTTATGTTTTAGATCATTGTCCTGTTGGAAGATAAATCTCCGTCCCAGTCTCAGGTCTTTTCAGAATCAGAATCAGAATCATTTTTATTGCCACGTAGGTAACAGGAGGTCACAGACTAGGAAATTGCTTTGGCTCAGTGCAACAGTCAAAAAGAGATAATAAAAATAAGAATAAAAAACACTTCTAAAGAATAAATTTAAATTTAAAATAGAGTTACAGTTACTATTTACAATATACAAGTGCACATGGTGCGCACAATGTAAGGTGACAGCAGTACAGTGAAGTAAAGTGACGTATGATGGGCAGTAAAGTGACATTATAAAGGGCGGGGGGACAGGTTAAGAAGTGTTCAAGAGTCCAACAGCAGAGGGGAAGAAACTGTTCTTGTGGCGGGAGGTTCTAGTCCTGATGGACCGCAGTCTCCTGCCTGAGGGGAGTGGTTGGAATAGTCCATGTGCAGGGTGAGAGGGGTCGGCTGTGATACGACCAGCCCGGCCTCGAGCTCGGGCGACGTACAGGTCCTGCAGCGATGGAAGGCTGCGGCCGATCACTTCCTCTGCAGAGCGCACAATGCGCTGTAGTCTCTGTTTGTCCCTGACTGTGGCTCCAGCGAACCACACGGTGACGGAGGAGGTGAGGATGGACTCGATGATGGCCGTGTAGAACTGCACCAACATCTGTGCAGGCAGCTTGGCTTTCCTGAGCTGCCGCAGGAAGTACATCCTCTGCTGGGCCTTCTTGATGAGGGAGCTGATGGTCGGCTCCCACTTGAGGTCCTGGGTGATGGTGGTGCCCAGGAAACGGAAGGACTCCACAGAGGTGATGGGGGAGTCCATCACGGAGGGTGGGGGCGGGGGGACAGTGCTCTTCCTGAAGTCCACAATCATCTCCACTGTCTTCTGCAGTCTTTTGCAGACTCCAACAGGTTTTCTTCCAGAATGGTCCTGTATTTGGCTCCATCCATCTTCCCATCAATTTTAGCCATCTTCCCTGTCCCTGCTGAAGAAAAGCAGGCCCAAACCATGATGCTGCCACCACCATGTTTGACAGTGGGGATGGTGTGTTCAGGGTGATGAGCTGTGTTGCTTTTACACCAAACATATCGTTTTGCATTGTGGCCAAAAAGTTCGATTTTGGTTTCATCTGACCAGAGCACCTTCTTCCACATGTTTGGTGTGTCTCCCAGGTGGCTTGTGGCAAACTTTAAATGAGACTTTTTATGGATATCTTTGAGAAATGGCTTTCTTCTTGCCACTCTTCCATAAAGGCCAGATTTGTGCAGTGCACGACTGATTGTTGTCCTATGGACAGACTCTCCCACCTCAGCTGTAGTTATCTGCAGTTCATCCAGAGTGATCATGGGCCTCTTGGCTGCATCTCTGATCAGTCTTCTCCTTGTTTGAGATGAAAGTTTGGAGGGACGGCCGGGTCTTGGTAGATTTGCAGTGGTCTGATACGCCTTCCATTTCAATATAATTTCTTGCACAGTGCTCCTTGAAATGTTTAAAGCTTGGGAAATCTTTTCGTATCCAAATCCGGCTTTAAACTTCTCCACAACAGTATCTCGGACCTGCCTGGTGTGTTCCTTTGTCTTCATGGTTCTCTCTGCGCTTTAAACAGAACCCTGAGACTATCAAAGAGCAGGTGCATTTATACGGAGACTTGATTACACACAGGTGCATTCTATTTATCATCATCAGTCATTTAGGACAACATTGGATCATTCAAAGATCCTCACTGAACTTCTGGACTGAGTTTGCTGCACTGAAAGTAAAGGGGCCGAATAATATTGCACGCCCCACTTTTCAGTTTTCTATTTGTTAAAAAAGTTTAAATTATCCAATAAATTTTGTTCCACTTCACGATTGTGTCCCACTTGTTGTTGATTCATGACAAAAAATAAAATTGTTATATCTTTATGTCTGAAGCCTGAAATGTGGCCAAATACTTTCGCAAGGCACTGTATTCATTCACTCCAAACACAGTGGTGATGAACTACTACTGTAGCCACAGCTGCCCTGGGGCACACTGACAGAAGCGAGGCAACCAGTATGTGCAATCGGCCCCTTCGACCAGCACCAACCATTCACACACACACCAGACTCATTCTAGGCAATGGGGGTGAAGTGTCTTTTCTAAGGACACAACGGCAGTTTGGCACTTTACAGCCACAGCCGCCCCACTGTGGCATCAGGTGTTCCCAGAGTTTAAGTGTCTTGCCAAGGACACAACGACAGCAGACAGTGAGAGTCGATGGGGAAAGTCTTTCGGTGGGCTCGAACCCACGACCTTCTGGCTCATAGGCCAATGCTCTACCAGCTGAGCTACTGTCGCTCAGTTGGTAGAGAAAATAGATCAAACCGTGATAATTCCTACATGACGAATAATTGATTCTGGCACCATTGAGAGGCGCCCTCTCCACATCCCAGTGATTTAGAAGGGCCAGAGACTGAAAGATATTCCTATAGGAGACCAGAAACAAGAGATGTGGGCCATTTAATAGTGTGTTTAGCATGACAGCCTGAAATACAAGATGGTGCCCCTCCGCAGAGCAATATAATGGTAAACATGTGTACTAAGTGACATTATGATTCAGCTCAGTGAATATTATGTGAAATAAACTTAATTAGGACCCAATCTAAATAATACAATGAGTTCATATGTGTCCCGACAGGCCGAGGAGATCCCAGGAATCAAAATCTTCCGGTCGTCCACCACCATCTACTACACAAATGCTGAGATGTATTTGGAGGCTCTGCAGGAGAAAGTACGTGTTCATAAACGGTGAAATCCCTGCTGTGCTTTCGGACGTGCTGCTAATGGCTCTCATTATCTTTCCCCCTGCTGCCTTCTGCACAGAGCGGGATTGAAATCGGAAAACTGCTTACCGCAAAAAAGAAAAAGGATGCCAGGTTAAAACGTCAACAACAAAAGGAGAAAAAGAAAGAAAAGAAACAACGAAAGAAACAAGCAAAGAAACAAGTATGAAACGCTTTAATCGAAGTAACATTTTGCAACTTGAGCATCTACAACAACAACATACAGAGATGAATCCATGTATGTGTTTTCCTGTCTGTGAAGCTTCAGAGGAATATTGGATCTGTATTATGTTAAAGAACGAAAGTATTTAACAGAAACATGTTCTGTTTTTCCTGTGTAACTGTAATCAGAAATTGTTGTTATCACAGATTGGACCTATACCAATAATATACACAATCAGAACATACATATCAACAGTAACTATTTTCAGTTGCATTCTTCATTTAGTTATGCTTCAAAGTTTACATACCCAGCCAGATATGTCATTGTTTTGGACATATTATGAATGATAACAAAATAATTAAACAGTTGTGTGAGGCCATTTCACTCAGGCTGTTATTTACACAGACTGAGTGAAAATTGTCTAAGATTCAAGATTAGTTTAATGTCACAGGTTAATACATTGAAAATACACATAAGAGAGACACACTACAGTAACACAGACATAAACCATCACCGCTCTGCTCGATGGCCTGCATTCAGGAGGTTCACAGATATGGGTAGGAACGAGTTCTTATACTGTTCTAACCCTACCCTGTGTTAGTGCTTCTGTAATAATCAATATATTTTAACAAAAAATTGCCCGGGTGTGTAAACGTTCAAGTACAATAGTACTTTGCTATATGTATTACATTTTGTATTGTGTATTGTTTTGTAACTATCCTGTGTTGCCAGGAGAACCAGCAGCCCGCTGGGGTCTTCACTCTGACCGAGTCGCAGAGGACAGGCCCCTCAGACCTGAATTCAATTCATTCAAACGGAGCTGCTTCACACTTGAGCCAAACAAATGGTCAAATAAACCCGTGTTATCAACACGACGCAGCCACATCAGAATCAGACTCGGACACAGAAGCTTATTACCAAAATGCAGATTGTGTCATAGACGAAGAGCAGCCGTCTCACAGCATCATCCTGGATCTGTCCACGAGCAGCTTCGTGGACACCGTGACCGTCAAGACTCTGAGAAATGTAAGAGAGAGAACACAACACATGTCGTCATACCACCAAATGAAACATATATAAACATATATACATATACATTGTCTTTTTTCAGAGACGTGGGGTTCACGCGAGTATTTGTTTAAAATATGCAAAATAGTAATTTGTGGACAGAGTATGACACTTTTTAGTGGCCCCTAAAAATATTTTCAATTATTATTATAAATTGCAGCATTGATGGTTATGGAAAACCAAGGCATGTTATACAAAATACATTTTCTCAGCCTAATTATCACCCTAATCTAATTTATTCTATAATCTTAACCCAACACATCATTAGAAGTTCATTAGCTAAATATAAAACAATGTGTTTAACTTTATATTCGTTCCGTTTGTGTGAAATCTAAACAACAAACACAGAAGGTATTAGTGAAACTGATATCAAATAAAAGTAGTGTCAAAATACCTTCATAATGTAAATTAAAAATTACAAAAAAATGACAAAAAGAAAGAATAAAATACATCCATTCTATTCTTTTGGCCTCTGACCAGTTCCTATTTCCTTTTGTTGGCCCCTGACCAAAATGAGTTCGACACCCCTGCTCTGAAGCTTTGTAACCACCCACAGTAAGGTGCGTTCTCTCAAGAATGTGGTTAACATTCTGCTTGATTATCCACGCAGTTTGGAAATTATTATTGAAAAAATATGTGGGTTTGGATTGTCAAAAAAATCAAGGATCATTTTAACGATTAACACATTTTTAGAGTAAAATGTCAAAATGTGATTCACAACTGACCCCCTCACCTCAAATTGGCGTCTTCACTCCCCTCACATTACAGCACAATAGGTTTATTTTAGTCTGTGTCTGTATCTTCTTCCCAATGTGTCTGTAAGATTACTAATGTAATGGTTGTGATACGATTCTCTCCTTCAGATTTTCAAGGACTTTGGGGAGATTGATATGGACGTTTATCTTGCAGGGTGTCAAGGTGAGTAGCAACTCAGACATAACTAAATGAAGTCAGACAAAAGCAACTTTGAAACTGGGGATGAAATCTACTTCAAGTTGAAAGTAGAAAGACTTTGAACACATCTCTGCTAATTGTCATCTCTCACAATGTAAAGGTTTTGAGTTTGCCTGTGAATACCACAGTCTTCCTTCAAATACTAGTCAAAAATGCATTATTACAGGGTTCTCAAACTGTGGTACTTGGAGCATATATTGTGATCCCCTCTTCCGTTGAATCTATTTCAACCACATTTATAGGTCATTCATATCTGAAAATATGTGGTAATGGTTTAGATTGTGTTCATCACAATACTAATACTAATAAATAGACCCATGGATTTTAAAATGATGGTACTCTGGCAGGAAAATCTTGTACTCAGTGGTACTAAAACAATGTTCAACAAGTAAAATGCAGATTTGTGCGACGTATAGAGAAAAACAACTGCAGAATTCTCCTTTTTGTTTGTTTTTAGCTTGCATTATTGAGCAGCTTGAAAAGGCAAACTTCTTCTCAAACGCCATCTCAAAAAGCCAAGTGTTTGTAACCGTCCATGATGCTGTCCTTCACATTCAGAAGAGGAGGAAGCGAGCAGAGAAGGTGAGCTGTGTAACAGGACATTATTCTTTGGTGTTGCAGTGTTGTTGTGGGTCGCTTGTGGAATATTTAAACTGAATTTCAATGAAGAACTGTAACCAGTGCAGTTTGTAAATATTTATACTTTTGTAAATTCCAAACCAAAAGAAAAAAACCAAACCAAAAGATTGCCGCACAAAAATAAGTTCTTAATCCTGATGACTGTATATTACATTGTATTACATCAAAGAAGAATTGTTTTAGTATATTTCACTTGATCATTTTTTTTTGTCTCCGGCCTTATTGAAATTGAGCACTTATTTGTATTTAATCCTTTTTTTTAAAGGAAACCTGCATCACTCTCATGTAACCAGCAGGAGTCATACCATTCCAAAGTGAGCAGCTGAATGCTGAATGGGGGAGAATGCACCTCCTCCACAACATGGCCGCCGGTTGCCTTAGAAACAGGGTTTTTTATGATATTGTGTAATGAGATTGAGCCAGCATGACGTCACCACTGCAGCTCTCCTCTGCTGTGAAAGTGGAGAGTGCACGGACTATAATGGGCATCTGTATAGAGACTAATATAGAGGGCAGGTAAATGCAACGATGAAAACCAATAGAAAGTCTCAGCTTTGCCAGAAGAACACGATGACAGCTTGTTGTTTGAAGTCATCAAATTAGAATATAGCACATTTGTGGTTTCAAGGGTTGTTATGATAAAAGATTAATTATATTACCAGTGTTGATGGGAAAGCCCTCATCTGAAAGTTTATCACAATTTCAAGCTCAGGGATCACACAATATCTATGAAATATTGATACGAACCTATGGACTCAAATGTACTCATTCATAAAATGAGAGGGAATTATTCTAACATTGAATAAAGGGTTGATATAGAGTGTCATTGTGTACCTGTGTGTACAGTTAATTACAATGATCTAAAACAGACTGTAAAATAGCAACACAAAGGCTTGTGGTGTCACCGCTGGTTCTTGTCTCGGTGGAGTGTGTCACAGGTCTCCAGTAAAGAGTTTCCTTTATTTAGAAGTGCGACATTTTAAAGCTGCCGTGTATTTCTTCTGACTAGTATCACATGTCTGACACTCCCTCAACATGACTGTGCTGTGTAGTTGTAGAGACACTGAAAGTTGATTATCTATCATTTTCTTTATTGTATATAGTGTCAGTATTATGTGTTATTTAATTAGACTCTGTCTTGTCTGCTAAAACACAGTGGCTTGTGGGTTTGTCTGGGCTTCCTGTTGCGGTGAGCATGCAGTTGGGTGCATGAGAGAAGGAAATCCCCTTGAACTGCATGTGACCTGCTAAAAGTTCACTGTGCATATCAAGTTTCTGTTTTCAAAAATATAACTTTTATATAATAATGATGAATGAATTATAAATAAAGAGCCATACAAGACATTTCTTCCTCTTGGGCCATTTATTGCACCGTTCCTCAGCTCAGATCGAAACACATCTGTCCTGTTTCCCTGCACCTGCCTTTTTCAAATGAAAATCTCTCATTATCTTGTTTGAGATGGAAATACTGATCACAGATTTTTACAATACGACAATACGATAGTTCTATTTTAACACACGTCTGGATGTGGTGCTGATGCAATGTCTATTTTTGAGTCGTCTTTGTCTGTAACGGAGGGTATTTTGGTACACAAAGGAGTCGGAAGAAACATGTTTTTATGGTTCTTTTCTGATCACAGATTTAACACCATAATGGTCATGGATTAATACTAAATATTGATCTCTAGCATTTTGATACTGCTTTGTAAATGGCAAATAATGGTTTACTTTTCTAATACGTCATAGCTTTTGATGTTCCAAAGTGTGACCAAGTGACCCAAATGAGTTATGGACACATATGTTGAGTTTCATTCATGTTGTTTCAATATAGAGAGCTGCACAATACTGTGAATGATGAACATGCATTAGCAAATAATTCATATGTGTATAGCAAGAAACCAGACGTAAGCTATTGTGTACTTTGAACTTGCAATTTTAAATAAAAAAATGAAAGAAAATCATTTGATGTGTCCAAATAATGGTTGATTCTAATATTGTGCAGCTTTCGTTTTTTAAATGACAGGACATTTGATGGTACTTAGATGATATTTGAACACAGAGCGGACATAGAGGGCAGCAGCAACAACACTGGTCACACCACAGACGAGACTGGACGGCACGAAGGCGATGGCGAGAGTTGCGAGGTAGAGTCAAAGTCAAGCATGGGGCTCCTTCTATCAATGGTTTGGGCAAAGCACTAGATTGTGTCTATTGTAATCTTTGGTCCATTCCCCATGGATTTTTCATGGTTTAAATCAGCTGTAAAGGTTCTAATTTGTGGGTGTATTTCTGATTATTTTGGGGTGTTTTTTTTTTTTGCACAGAAAAAGAAACATTTGCTGGGCGTATGATAGATGGTTAGATGCCACTCTCTAAGAGCAGTGTACTCTTGGTGCCTGTAGAGGGCAGCAGCTTGGCCTCGCTCTCAGGGGCCAGGTACTCCAGGTGGTGCCGGCCCCACACAGGAGTGGTGAGGTGCTGCCAGCGCTGTGAACACAAACCAACACATCAGTTGGACCGATAAAACACAGCTTCTTAGATCACATTAGAACCTGTGCAGGGGTTTTGCTTTCTTAGGACCATTGTCTTAAATAAAAGCATAGATAATTAGCTAAAAAAACTTTATCTGCATGGACATGGAACGTGGGCAATGGGGGCAATTTACAAATTAGAAAAAAAATAAAATACCTCATCCGAACAAACATTTCAGTAGTAAAAATCAAGCTGCACACTTGATTCAAAATAAATAAATAGCGGGTCTGATTCCACCTCCAGATAGGCCCTTTCTATGTGGAGTTTGCATGTTCTCCTGATGTCTGCGTCAGTACACTAAAAACATGTACAATAGGTCTGATAGTTGTGTGATCACCTTGGTCTGTTAATGTGCTATATAAATAGATTTGACTTGCTCACATGTTATATTCACTTTAGTAACCAAGGACACATCATTTACATGACTGGGTTATATATTGCCTACTGACCTCCCGCAGTGATCCTTTACATCGCAGCATTTTGTAGAGAATAGTGAGAGGGATGCAGAGCATGGAGGACAGAGCCAGGGCCCAGCCGAGCAGCTCTCCCCACAGAGGGTAGGTGTAGACCGTGTTGTAGGTCAGGGGTTTGTAGTTCACCACGTGGAAAAAGAACACGCCCTAAGTAAAGATAAAAAACTATGTTTAATGGTTTTCTTGACTGTAGTATATTGGACAAATGAAGCCCACTTACCACACAGACCAAAGGGGTGATGTAGGACCAACACCACTTCATGTAGGGCAGGGGCTGGTAGCCAATCATCCGAGCCACGTCGTCCATAAAACGATCAGCACCTAAACAGATCATGTTAGAACATTAAAGTTTACATTTTACACCAGTGTATTACTATACTTTGTTCCCCATAATGTACAATTTTGTGAAAAAAAATCACACTAATCTGTCTTGATCTTATTGGAAAAGAAAGAGCCTTGTGAAATATATGACATAAAAATAGTCATGCATGTGATCACTGGTGATTGATGCAAATTGTTTTGAGAGCCAGGAGCATAACATAACAACATAACGCATATATATCTATTTTTTATATAAATATATATTATAATGTACACACCAAATCATTTGTAATGCATTGCAAAACAGACAGGTTCTTACCATAAACCCATGCGATCGCCACACACTCCCAGAAGGCCTGCCACAGGAGCGTGATGCCACTGGCAGAGTAGTAGTCGAACAGCTGGAAGACATACATGCCTCCCTAAAAGAACACAGCAGTCTTCAGTAAGGACACTTTTAATAGTTAATGTGAGCTATTTTCAGCCTTCCATCAGCTTCAAGTGACTTTGTCTGCTTCTTCTTTCTTTCCAGCCAAATAGGAGCAACATGAAATATCAGTGTGTTTATTTGTGCTGGAGGTTACAGCGGGAACTGTGATTGGTGGATAGAGGAGACATTCACTGCTATTTTATTTCACAGTATCACCAACAATGCTTTTTCACTAAAGACTAAAGTGAACATCTGCTTTATTATGATGGTTGGTAGTAAACCACCACTATTTAGAACAATGCTTTTGTTAGGGTTAGGGTTATATATATATTATTATAGACAACAATATTTAATTGCCATTGTATAGTGAAATAAAAGAGCAGGTATTTTTCCTTAAAATTAAACGTTTGTTCAACTAAACTTTTGTGACAAGTCTTTCTTAACCTACCAGTAGTTGCACAGTCATAGCATTAAATTAATAGAAGTAGAATTAGAATGAAATAATGAGGGGTAAGCAAGTTCATGTGTTATTATGGCTTTATGGTCACGAGTATGAGCCAAAATCCCTGAATCTCAGAGCTGCGCAGTCACAGACCAGTGCTGTTCCATTTACACTGGACTTTATAAAATGTCTAAAAAGACCAAATAAACGAGCCATTCAACAATGACGTAGAGACAAATAAATATGCCGGTGGAAAATGTTTAAGTGATTAGCGGCAGGGCACCGTGTTATAAGCATGTGTCAAATTTAAATTGAAAACAATGAAACACAGATAATGTACTCTTAGGTGTAGTTGATAAAGCTGTGAGCCGTTCTGAACCAGATCTGGACCCGGACTGGAAGAGACCAGTTCTCTACAACATCTATCAGCATCCATGCTGGACCTTGACTGTCGCCCCTGCAGGATACTCTGTCTGCTCTGGAGAGCAGCTTCAGTGACAGACTGATCCACACTCAGTGTGATGGAGAGGTTCTACATTCTATTTTCATAACATTCATTATGAATAGGCTTAGAACTTAGTGCTGTCTTCTATTTAGACACTTAGAGCTTCTGAGCTTCTAACACTAAGTTTAAGAACCACATGTCTTTCCTTCTGCTGTCAGACTGTACAATAAACAATGACCGCTGCTGATATATCCTGTACTGTTTTGTATGTGCACTGCAGCACTGAAATGTCCCCACTGTGGGATAAATATGGTTTTAAAGATTTTTAAGAAGTCATTTTCTAGATTCCCTTTTACCATTGCGCACAATTCAAGTAAGCTTGATTAAAAAAGTGAATGTATCTGTAGTTACCTCAGTAACCATAGACATGTCAATAAGGAAGCAGATCAGGCAGCAGATGGCAGCCACCACCTCTCGCGGCAGGGAACCCAGGGGCGACTTGGGAGGAAGCATGTCCATGATGCCGGTGATCAAACCCTCCACCCCAACAAACTGGGGAGAAGGAAGGCAAACCTTTTATTAGTCACATTGAACATTTTTCCAAGAGTGGATTGGCGACGGCCACCAGAGCATTGACCACAATCATCCACACTTAAATTATCACAAGACTATAAATACCTCACTAAAAATAACAGCGAAATACAAACAACCAGTCAGGAAGCCCAGACGCTCATTTTGAATTACCTAATGAACGTTGAATGTTTCATTTCGGATTTCAATCTAGGTTTTCTACACACACACTCTGTTTGTTTAAAAAAGAACACACCCTAAGATTAGTATTATATATTAGACTGATGGTAGCGGGTTTATAATATATGAGTAAAGTAGGAGATTCCCGATTTTGCTCCCAATCTTCAGTCATTCATATTGAGTCTTATATTGCATGGAGCAACATTGCATCATTTAAACACATTCTAAATACTACTTGTTTTGAGCATAGTTCGTTCTACTGGAAAGAGGAGGCGTGAGTGACTGGAGTGACACAGACAGCTGCCGTGAGTGATTCACACAGAAGCTCATTGACAAATCTTGACAATGGACATAAGCAAGAAACTGAGAAGAGCATTCTTCAGCCCAAACGGCTTGTCTGGACGGGGTCAGAGTGTATTTTTGGGGACAAAGGCACATTTGGAAGAATAATTGCTATCAATGTGTAATAGATTAGATAATATATTCTTGATATTTTACAAAAAAAATCTAAAGAAAAGTAAATTATGGGTTGTTTTATATCTTACGATACAAGAATGAGACAAAATAGCAGCTCACAACAGTAGTCATGAAAGCAGTAGTTTTCACACTACGGCATGCATTTTTATTGCTCATTAACCCAACGTAGCAATTATTACACAGTTTAGTTTTTACTGTACTACCTGACTATCCAGGCCCAAGATGAGCAACATGAAGAAGAAGAGAGCTGCCCAGAGAGGTGCAAGAGGCATCAGTGTGACAGCCTTCGGATAGGCTATAAAAGCCAGACCAGGACCTGCACACAGAGGCATTAACATGATCAAAATCTGTCTATTATCAATAGTATCTTTGAATCATAACCAGGTAAATGTGTTAAAAGAAAGATATGCTTACCACTTTCTGCAACCTTACTGATGTCAACACCTTGCTCTGCAGCCATGAATCCCAGCACAGAAAACACTACAAAACCAGCAAAAAAACTAGTCCCACTGTTGATCATGGCCAACATGAACGCATCCCTGCAAAAGTACAACAAAGTCACAAAAAATAATTCACTGTATGTGTGTATTTGTGTGAAGATGTTCAACAAAGAAGATAGTCTAAAACAGTATTTTCATGATGCTTAACCAGTATTCATGAAAGTGTAAATTGCACTAACAAACAAGAGGGTCTTAGGGAACTAAGACCACAAGCAATATTTCTTTAAAAAAAATAAAGTGTTGTCAAAAAGGTTGTTGTTATCTATAGATAAAGAGATGGGCGAGGCATCAGACAGAAGGAAGACTGGTTGTATTCAAGTTTTATTCACTGGTTTGGACAGATACATACAGTAAAGTTCTGCTATGTTCTAGTCCTAGTTTAGTTGGATGAGGACCTTGTGACTAGACCCTCTGCGCTCCATTGAAGTCTGAGATAAGTTGTTCCCTCTACTGATGATGTGTTGGTGCATTTGTAGTTCTCTGCCTCCGCTGGAATCCCCTGTCTCTTTGTATCACTTTAATCTCACCACTCGCCCGTGAGCAGGTGTTTTTTTTCCACAATGAGGGAAAACGTCTTGAGCACTTACAAAAGAGGTGTATCAGAGTTTTAGAAACATACTAGGCAGAGTTCACTGCTCACTGACCCCTGATAGCAAAGCCAAAGTCCATACAATCAAATAATAATCAGTTATTGGTTTGATAAAAGGTCCTGCCGATTGCATTGCAGACTCAAATATCCAGCCGCATGTATTAATATGGGTTTACAGTGTGGGCTTGGCGGACCGTGCCACTGAGTCTAACCTAAATGTTATGAATTAATGTATTATGCATTACAATGTATTTAAGTTTTAGATCAATCTTAAGTATTAGTAACATGTTTTTCATTTTATATAAAACAACTCAACAATGCTTGAAGACAAATGTGCATTCTGATCTATTAATAAGTAGCCATTTCTCTTTGTCTACGATTACATCTGACAGCATTCGGCCCTAATGACTTATCTGGAGACTCGCAGGTATCTATTTAAAGCAGACCTGAAATGTGTTTATAGTGCACTGTGAGGATCCATATATCCCATGTATACTGCAACATACTATAGTAGGATATAAGTAGATTTTACAATTCATACTAAATATGGCTTTATAGTTACCTTATTTTTCCCCTAAACTTTGAATAAAAGTCTAGTCCAATTATTCATGGGTAATGGGAAGATGACACATGGATGTAAAGCTAACTCACTGGTAACAATTGTTGTGAAAGCGGTTATAGCTGCCAAGGGCAGTCAAAGCCCCAAGTCCGATGGCATAAGAGAAGAAGATCTGAGTCCCTGCATCGATCCAAACCTAAAACAAGTGATATGTAATTTAACCAACAGGAAGATCAGGTGAGGTCAGTGTTGACTTGGTTTTCTACCTGTGCCTCTCCGAGTTTTGACCAATCTGGTTTCAAGTAGTAAACAATCCCGTCGATAGCTCCTGGAAGAGTGACTCCATGCGCCAACATCACCACCAAGACCAGGTAAGGGAACAGCGCTGTGAAATACACTACCTAGAAAAGAGAAAAAGTAGAACAAATGAAAAGACTTTAGAGTTTTTCGTTAAAGAATCTAAACTACACATCTAGAGTAAGTATACAAAATGTCAATGTAGTAACTCAAACAGGTTAATCATATATTCTAATCGCTATTGGTCTAAGGTGTTGGTTTTATCAAGTATGTTTTCATTTTTTACATGATCACTTGTATTAAGCCATTACCTGCTGTAAATACTCATAAGAAGAGGCCCATTTGGTCCCTCCTGCAGATGTAATGGGCCTGTCATGTTACTTTGGAGAAAAGGTAGCCTGTAAATGGAAAGCCAGACAATTTGTAAACCTCCTGCAATAGCAGGGGTTTTTGGCAACCTTTTCAGACAAATATGACCCTTGTGACCAACTGCACAAATACGCTTCAATCTGTCAGTCAAAACACATTCACTGTTTGTTTTGTAAATGAACACAGACTCAAATCCCCTCTCTGGCCCTAAATATTACAAGTCAATAATCAGCTTAACAGTTACTAAGAACCCAGGGCTTGTATGTAAATCAGTAGTTACACCTATGCAAATAACATTTTCCAGTTGGTCCAAATTCTTGAAAAAAAGGACCCCGTATATTCGTGGGAAAGGGAAGACAGGGATCCAATCCTGCTCTTCTCTTTTTAAAGAAGATAAAGGCAAACAAAGATGGGGCAAACAATTTAGGGTCTAAACCATACATTTTTGTATTCATTGAATTGCCATCTTAAAATGTACTGCACTTGTTTAAAACCACAAACATAAATATTCTATTATTATCCCCCCCCCCCCCCCCACCCTATATGCTTCACACATCTGGAGACTGAAAGTCTTTCAAGTTCATCTTAAAACAACTCTGTCAGATCAGCGTTTGTGAACAGCAGTGTTAAGGTCTTTCCACAGATGGATTCAGTTGGGCTTTGGTCTGGACTTTGACTTTTTAAACCACTCTTTGTCCTGATGGCAGGTCAGCATCTACCCCAACCTTAAACCTTTTGGACTTGTTTCTGTCCCTGCTGAAGAAAACCTTCCACACCCAGATTTAACAGGGGGTGGTATGAATATTGAGTGATAAACAGACGTTTCTACCATGTGTTTTGTATTTAGGCTAAAGACATTTTTTGTCTCACACAGAATCTTCTGCTACACATCAAATGTGTCCCCTGCTTCAAATAATCACTGGTTTTCTGTTTACACTTGTCCATAAAGGCAAGACACTTTACAATACCAAATGATGTTTAATCTAAACATGCTTTAAACTTCTCCCTAACTTCATCCCTGACCTCTCTAGGTGGTTGCTTGGACTTCATGATGCTGTTTAGTGACCAGAATTCTAAATCGTTCACTTTACAGTTACTTTGTTGTGGTCTTTCAGATGAAAAAAAACCCAAAAATTAATAAATGTTTATGTTTGTGGTTGTTTACATGACAGCATGTTAAAAAGTTCAAGTTTTATGGGCACCCACTGTAGTTGTTTCTATTGTGGTTGATCCTGAACTTGTGCAATTGAGAGCAACAGAGTAAATGTATAAATGCAGGTTACAGATTAAATTCTCACAAAGTTACTTTATGTAAGATGATTTCATGAGTCTGAGCCCTCATTACAAAAGCTGAACCAGAGTCAAAAAGAAAAGCTGCATTAGGAACACGCTTTCTATCACCCCTGACTGGTAAAACTCAATGAACCTTAACATAAACATGTTATATCACAGTCAACAGATAGGCCTTTACCTTGCCGGTGGATTTAACTCCCTTCCACATACAGAAGTAAACGATGATCCAAGTGACAATCAGACACAACACCATCTCGTAGCTGATGGCACCGGGCTCATCGAGGCCTCCAGAGAGACGGAGAACTTTACGCCTAGAACACAAACAAAGATTTTAAACAACGTAGAAAACACAATTTAGTAGTTTGCTTTTTGTTATACTTGGATAAACTTCTTAGTTTTACTTCTATGAAATTAGAATCTAATGATGAGACTACGTACTCCCAAAACTCGATGACAGGGGAGCGCAGGCCCTCCTGCTCCAAGCAGCTATTGTTATTGAATAAGGCCGAGGACAGGTTGACCGGTGCAGAGAGGGACATGTTGGTGTTGTTGAGACAAGAGCGTCTGAAGTCCTGGGTGCAGTTAGGCGTGTTCCAGGGGTGTCCACAGGTGGCCCAGGGAAGAGGGTTTGTGAACGAGTGATACAGGAAGTATAGGCCCCACACCAGAATCATTATGTAGTAAGTGTTACAGAAGAACACAATCACCATTGAGGCCAAGCCCAAACCTAAAAGAAAAAGCAAAGACATGATCAATGACCACATTGCTTCACATTGGAGAATTACATCCAATCTCTCACAAACATTAGTTTTAAACCATCAACAACCAAAAGTATCTAATCTTTTAAATAAAAAGATATTTGCCATTAAAAGAATTTAAAAAATGGGCTCAGAGTTATTTGCTCTCAGATATGTTTTATTTTTGTAACTTACATTATTATCTTAGTTAAAGTAATATACCTTTGAAAAGCGGTACAATATTCCAAGCAGAAACCCCTCCTTGCTTCATAAATTGTCCAAGTGCAATCTCCAAAAAGAAGACAGGAATACCTCCAATAAACACAATCAGCAGGTAGGGAATAAGGAAAACACCTGAAAAACATACACACAACATCACTGTAAATCTGAATAACAGTATATCGTCGTTTAGAGGGTGTTAGATTCACTTATTTGTCCATTATTTTATTTGTACTTGACACAAACAGATAAACCGATAAAGGGCTGTAATAATATGTCTATTTTCTTTGGCAGACGAGGCCAAAGTTAAAACTCTATGTTGGAGATAACAGTTGTTTCTCATTCCATGGATGTTTGTCCGCTACTGTCCTTGACGCTATATAACACAAGCTTCTACAACTAATAAATCATTTTAGGACAACAATCCCTATCCATGTTTAGTTCCATTAAAGTCCAGTGTACTGTCTGTATGTTTAAGAATGTACTTAACGATTTACAGCACTGAGGAACTATTTATAACCTGTATGTTATTTTGTTGGCAATACCCTGGATGTAAAAATATATATTTACAAGAATAAGTCTATATATAACACATGAGTCTGGGTAAAGGAATCTATTTCCAGAGCGATCTATTTGGCAGAGCGAACACTAAAGATGGGAGGGGGATCATGTGACCAGCTCTGACGCAGAAAGAATGGGAAGGAAAGATGGACATATCACACGAAAGACAATGAGTTGGAAGAAGGCAGCAGTTGAATAATCAATAATGCACCCTTAGACTGTCATTAATAGGTATTAATTGACATCCATTTTTTGCTTGGCCAATGATTTCTTTCTGTCGCTCAATGAGAGGCTCATACCTTATAAGGAAACATCAGCGTGTGAGCGAGAAGGGGAGGGAATGAGACGCGGCAAAGAAGCAAAGACAGGCGAGAGTGCAGAGGACTTTTTAACACACCAACATCAACCGCCACAATGGGGACAGAGTATAGACGCCAGCCAATTTAACAATCAATCAAGCAATGGTCAAGATAAAAAGCCAAAGCTAGAACCCTCGAGTTTAGGTGTTCAGCTCTATTAGCTCTTCTTTTTAGTGTAATTTAGCACTTTTGCTCTACACCTCAAATGGCTCACCATTGAAACTAATGTAGACAACCATGTAGGCTTGGTTAATGTAAAAATAGAATATTGTCTTCAGTGGCATTAAATTGAAATGTTGAATAAAGAAATTATATAAAAGTATATATATATAATATACTTTTCTCTATCTCTACATTTTTGAAAAACTATAAGAGCACAGGTAATAAAGTCTTGGCTGTGACTAACCATAACCAAGGTCAGGAAGACGGCCCAATCTGCTTTGTCAAACTATATGTAATAACCACAGATATAAACTGTAGGGCTTTACAGAATCAAAGATCGCAGAAGTAAAGACCGTTGTACTGAGTCACAAGACAGTTACAGTGTGCCATAAACGTATGTCTCCTTATCAGTGGGAGAGCGACCTGCATTCAGCTGCCTAGGCCGGTTCTTTGTAAGCCACCTAAGCTGGGGCTGCAGGAGCTGCAGGAGCACAGGGGGCCATGTGTGAGGCCGCTCATTGTTACATGATACCAGAAGGTGGCAGAGCCCTGGGTCACAAGACCCAGTGCCAGGGAAGGGGAGCCATGGGGGTGGCAATGACATATTTGTACATTCATAAAATAGACAGAGGGTAGGGCTAAAGATAAGCACACAATGTCAACTATAGACTTCTGCTACGGTTACGAGTTCACTGAAGGACAGGTCAGCAGAGGTACAGTGAGTTGTAGAGAACAATGGTCACGGTAGTAGAACGATCAGCAAGAGTTATTTTGAACAACATTTGGGTTTGTCGTGACTGTTGTGAAAACACATGGACTTTAATAAGTGACAGATGTTACTGATCAATTACAATTGTATATACATACATACAGTTGTAATTTAATAAACTAAAGTGTAGACAATTATTCAAAATGAAACTATTTTACAGTTTTCCAATAAATTATGATTAATCACACTAAAGGATTTAGTATAGTGTTTGGTGACCGTATCTTTTTGACAACCAATTGGAACTATATATTTTGTTTGTGTTCCTTTTGATTGGCTCATATTAGATTTAACATTATTAATCCCTTGTTTTGTTTAGTTGTGTTTATTAATCAGGGGAAATGAACAGAATCCTTCATCTTACAAAAGAAAAGATGATTTGAACCAGAATTGAAATTCTGCTACTTTCACCTGTAGGTCTCTGAGGAGAATCACATTCGCTGAATGTCTGCTAAAATAATAATAATACTCCTTACAGTATGTGTGTAAGAGTGCTTATACATACATAGTCTTATTTTTATCAAATAAATGTTAATATTGAGTAAACCTTGATGACACTTACAAAATAGCCGTTAAACCTGAATCTTACCCCCTCCGTTCTTGTAGCAGAGGTAGGGGAAGCGCCACACATTCCCCAGACCCACAGCGAAGCCCACACAGGACATGATGAAGTCCATCTGTCTGGTCCAGGTCTCTCTCTCCACTATGGGGATCGCTACAGCCCCATTGGCCGCAGCTGCAGGACCCTCAGGATCTGGAGGAGGGCCTGCCCCGCTGTCATCACCACATCCTGAACCTGTGCTGGGCACTAGGGGCCGCACTGATCCAATGCCCTCCTCTTCTGAAAGAGTCCCTGCCTCCAACTGTGGAAGGGGTATCTCACCTGGACACACAAACATCACATGGGCCATCAGTGCCACAAGAAACATGGGCAGACTGAGATATTTGATTATACTAAAGAAACTACATTCATGCCACAATCTTTACCCCTGCACCAATAATGACTCAAATGCTTTCTTTCTCTAAACTATAATTATTTATTTCAAGAATCAGTTGTAGAAGATCAGGCACTGTTTTGTTTTGGGAAAGCAGCTCAGCCAAGTGTGGCTCTGATGTTGACACGCTGATAAATGAGCTGCAGTAGAAGGCATAGAACAGCATGGGCAGCATGCATCTCCTCAATGCGACTCTGCACACTCACAAAACAGAGCGTCCATCACGTCTTTACAATGATGTTATTACAAAGTGAAAAGGAAAAGTCACTTTTTAGTAGCGGTCTATTTACTGGCATCAAGTGAGATGCTTGGGTCTGGATGCAAAGCAAAGCAGCTCAATCCAGATCAGAGCAGTTTAAGGGGGAGCACTAACAAGCGAGGTAAATGCATGAATGCTACTTTATTACAAATGTTGGATTTCAGGTAAAGGTGGATCGCTCAATAAACTTTACATCCACCTTATTATGGGGTGTTCATTAAAATGGTTAATCTAAATGCAAGTACCCATTGTGGCAATATTATGATCCTCAAGCGATGCATAAATATCAAATGAAAACGTATATTAAATGATGTATTGACTTCAAATGTGCAAATAATACATAGCACTTAAGAGTGAAGACGAACGCGGGTGGGTTGGGGGGGGCACATTCCGGACAATGAGAATACATAAATAAATAAACAAATACGGGTTCTATCAGGGAGCCCGTGTTACTCACTGTGGTTTTTACCCTCCACTTCAGGTGACATGTTGTAGAGTTACAGTTGAATCTTTTTCTCAGACACAGTTGAGGTTGACTTATGTCTGGCTCAAACGTGCAAGAGCAGACTCGGGATGCAGGCACTTGGCAGCGCTCAGGCTTTGTTTTATCCTTTGAGTTTATTCTCTGTCTCGGTTTTAATAAAGACCTCTGTTTTAGGTTTTTTTTTTCAATCAGCTCAGCCAAAAGATTGGAATTCACAATGCACCGCGGTCAAGATAGCCGTAGACACCGGAGATTCAAAAGCAGTCGACGAAGCACTTGAAGGTAAGCCTGAAGAATCTCATGGATGACAGTAAATGAAAATAATAGTGGGTTTTAAGAAGAGTATCGCTTTGTAATAGAAACGGCGAAGACAGAAGAGCATAAGCTGCAGCTGATGCCGCGCCTCGACAATGAAGCCTGTGATGATGAAGTGCGCTGCTGTCGGAGTGACGGCCGCTGAGCCCGCCCCCTGCAGCCGCTGCGGACGTGATTGGACGCACGGCAGCAGAGGGCGCAGCATCATCAGCACTGTCTATCAGCGCAGTCACAAGGATGCTTTATTACGCTACAAATGTCCTTGACCTGATATCGCACAAATAACTCCAGATAAACGCTCGCAGTTGCCCAGAAGCCTTCCGAAAGACATGGACCATATGCGCAAGTGAAGTAAGGATTATCATATGAGCGTGCTGATAGGCTGAACGGATTCTAATCTGTGTAACTATAAGTATTTCTACGATCCACCTAATTTTTTTGGCCATGTAAAACCTGCGAAAGCTATGCCATGTCGCAAACATCAAAGTACAGCTATGACCAGAAACGTCATAGCGCCATGTTGTCCAGAGAATTGGGGGTCAAAGTCCCCGTAAAGGTTGGCCACAAATTTGACAGATCAAACAAGTCGTGACTCTCTTTTTACTGGAGACATCAGGAGAACATTTGGCGCCATCGCGAGGTTTATTTTACAAAGTGCACAACATTTCAAGGGATGCAAGGGTCAAGTAATAAAATGCTTCGTCTGAATCAACACATAATAAATTATTATTTGAACCAGATACAAAGATGAAACACAATAATTAATTTGATAAACTTTAATAAAGTAGTGATAATAAATAAACATGAAAATATAAGGAACACAAATATTGCAGTTGTGAAACTCAAACTGGTAATGACAACCAAAGATAGAAATGTGAAGTTTTTCATGTAAAATTGAGATCTTTGAATATTTTGAAATTCAATCTGCTCTTGCAACATGTTCACAAATGTATCTCACTAAGCTTCAAATACATTAGATTTAATACTGCAGAGATATTTTGACAAATTGTTTTAATGAAAGTTGCTTTGACAGCTGCCAAAATAAACTTGCCGGCCACTTCATAAAAACATTGCTAGTTAACACAAAGAATGTAGCTATCACCCAATCACAGACAGGTCGACTTGTGAGGACCGCTTTCTGAAGTTCCACCTGATCATCAGAATGGGTAAAATATGGATTTATGAGGCTTGGGATTTTGTATGGTTGTTTGCCTGAGACCAGCAGTGTCTGAGCTACTGCTGGAACTTTCATACAAGCGTTGTGTGTGATATTTGTATTGTTCTCCTCAGCACTGAATTTTAATATTTGTAACACAATTTTGATCGTCCAGGAGACAAAAAATAAAGGCATTTTAGTTGATTCTGGAAAATTTACAGAAATATTTAAGAATGTACTATATCCCAGTAAAGTAATGGAAAAGAATATTTAAAAAAAGACCTTATAGGGAGGTATACCTAATAAATGGCCAGTGAGTTTATCCAACGATAGAATGGGTAAGATAATATCGATTCGGCAATATATTGCAATGTGATATTCTATTATTCAAATTTTAAAAACTATTGTAAACATTTATTGCAGGACAAAATGTCCAGCACCTACACTCCTACAAACAGTAGCATTCAGCGAGATCTTATTGTTTTTCCAATTTCGAAAACAGAAAATTGCAATAATCGCCACAGTATCCAGATATATTGTTTTGTCATGACCGTGATCCATGTATCATGACACATAGGAGGAAATACATCCCCTTATATGAAAATTGTATAGTATTTTAAAGTTAGACTTTAAAGCTGATATGTACCTGAAGATTTGTATTACAACTTGCTCAACATTTTAAATTAAATAGAATACATTAAATTAAATACCACAAACATTTAAAAGTATACTTCAAGGTCACAACAATGGGGGTTTGTAAAAAGTCTCATTGAATATGAAATGATACCTTAAAATAGGGTTAGTTATATTTCTGGCTATAGATCCTGGTGGAGGTTGTTGTGTGAGATGGGATGGGAGTAGTCCTCAAGGCCTGATTGCGCCTGGTGTCTTTGGGAAACTAGTCTCTGGTATCGGGCCTGTTGGAGGTGATCTGGATCCACATTTACCCAGCTGCTGGCCGCCCACTTCAGCCCTCGTTTGACCGGGCAGTCTCCGCGGAGGGAGTACTCATCCATTTCACCCATCCAACCTTCGACAAAAAGTGATTACATTGAAATTGCAAAAGAAACTTTTACTCTTTTAATCATCAAAATTAGATTTAAAAAAAAATGAAGACCTTTATAGTTTAAATGGTGCAAATGCGTTTGCACAGTGGTCTTTTTAAGAGCTCCGTAAACTTCTTAATGTTTGTATTTTTCTACAATGCTGGTCCCTTCCATAGTTAGTTGGATCAATAAGTAATCCAATTGGCCAGAATTACAAGAATTAGGTTAATATTGACCCTGAAGAACAATTATTTGACCTAAATAATTGATTATCATTTATTAATGGATAACAGAAATATAAAATAGTGTAGTGAATAAACATTTAAAAAAAAAAAAAGGCATATATTGATATACCTTTTCCATCAGAGAGGTGATTGTACCAAAGCAAAGCAGTGCCAACAATGGGTTTGATTCGAAGGTTTCCACTGTGACACGTTTGTTGTGTATCCGTCAAATCAATACCATCTTGGACCAGACCCTAGTACGAAACACCATAGGTTAGAGCACGAAAACTACTGATATTAATTCATCAACAATCATCTAAACCTATTGTCACAGACAGCCAATATAAATATAGGTTTCATAAGAATAGGACAGCCTCAAGTGCAAAGTACGCCATCATCAAGTCCACTGGGAAAAAATATACTCACATCTTCATCATAGGTGCGATTATCTGCAACAGGGAAGGTGGTCTCACCCCCTTCCTCTACAGAGTTAAGGAAGAATTGCACTGTGAGATACCTATAAAAGAGGAATGACAATCTTAAAAGAAACATGCAAACACTCTAGTCACTTTAGACGGTTATAACCTGAACAGAGACCTCATCATGGTAAATATGCTTCTACAGGCTCTGGCTACCATTTAACTTACACCAATATATTTTTTGTTTGATTGAAAAAGTAGATTATGAACACAAGACAGTTGTGGTAGAGCCGCAGGATATTACAAACAATAGTGTGTGAACAAGAGAGCACTTGAGTAAACCTCATCTCCGTGATCCTGATTTTAATTTTAATGTGAGATATAACAAATAAAAACTGACCAATCAGGGACCCACTCATCTAGCAGCCTATTTGCTATCAGGTTTCTTAAAGCCAGCGCTCGTCAGGGATATCTCAATTGGCTACTTCTGGAAAAAGCCAAATGCTCCGGATGACGTCACACTCTGTTTTGACTACACACCTGCACGTGACTTCAGATAGCGAGGATGCGTTGTTGGCTAAGCGTGTGTGTGCACATGACGTCTCAGGGTTTGTAGGACTGCTGTCGTAGTGGGCATCACTGTAGTCTCCATGTTCATATCGAATCACCAGTAAAGGTTCGCTTAGCTCAACCAGCTGCAAAGGAAGACGAGTCAAGCCAATCACTCTGAAAAAAGAAAAGTATTAGGTAATAAAAACATGCACAAGTATCAAAATGTTTCCCTTCAGAACAATATAAACTAATATATAAACTATTACCGCTTTTTGAGTATCTGAAGTACATGATGAGATCCTTGGCCTTGATATAACCATGTATTTTTGTTTCTTTGCTTGTATTGATTTGTGAGTTTCCCAGTACGCTGCGTAGTGCTTTGGGATTCAGCATAGATATGTTGGAAGTCCTTCAGAGTGAGCGCTCCTGTCAAGCACACACACAGTCAGACACTGTCTACTTTCTCGCCTGTTATCCATCAGTCCCCTCCTTCATTTGTTGTCCAAAATATTTTCTTTTAAAATATATCTTTAATTAACCAAAGCCCCATATCCATCAATAGGAGGCCTCTTCCCATCGACAACAATAGGGGTGACAGGAGGTAACTGGTGAAGTGGGAGGAGGATATAGAGGTGGTGGGTTGCGGTTTTAATGAGACTAAGTATGAGGCTCATCCGGATTCTAACAAGTACAATGTGAGAAAGAGGACCTGGCTTTAACCATTGAAGAATTAGGAGCCATCAGCAATGCAGTGGGAAGTAAATGAGAATCTTCATATTCATGGTGATATTATCCTCAAGATGAACTTTTATGGTTTTTATATTAAGACATTCAAAAGTCAAAATGAAATAATTGCAGGAGAGAAAACCTGTTGAGCGGGCCTCCAGGCTCAGCAGTATTTGCCGCAAACTGTGTGCACTCAGCCAAGTGCCGTCTTGAGAACGGGAATGACTGACAATCTACAGTAAGATATAACAGAGGTTAACATACATTTAGAAGTCTTTGAACTTTGAAAAACAGAACCAACCTCTTGTTTTTGCAGAAGGCCGTCCTGGTTAAGGTCCAGCAGGCCTAAGACCTCCTCAGTGCTGAGAGACAGCAAGGGCAGTTTAGACTGATCATGGGCCTGAACCCGAGTTGGTGTCTGGGTCTCTATGAGGCCTTTCAGCTGAGCCAACTGGACCACCACACGGCACTCCTCCTCCGAAAGAAAACCAGGGATCTCTGGAGAATGATACTTAAACTGTAACTTTGCAAAGGCTGAGCAGCAAAAAACAAATTAACACAAAAGGCTTCAGCCACTCATAGATTCTAAGAAAAAAAAAACTTAAATGATTGAAACATTTATGAATTAAAAAATGTTAATTTGTTAAGCAGAAGTAGCATAAATAAAGAAGTCAGTTCAAAGTTTAGTAGCGTGCACTAGAAAGTGGTTAACAATAGGCTCATGGATTAAATATGCAGACAGGGCTAATCTTTCACACCTTTAACCTGCAGACGGTGATTAGTTAAAAGATTTAGCATTTTGGTGCAAATTACCGTACCTTAGTGTTCACATTAACCAGGAAAAATCTGCAGTGCCATAGAAACTTCATCACACCTGAAGTGGAGAGTGATTAATTGTTCTTAATGTTTTCAACTTGATGTAATTAGTGTTACTTGTGATAGCACTAACTCCATTATCTAAGAAAACAAGTCAATTTATATCGAAATAGCAGCTTATAAAACACATGAAGCAACATTGAGAACTCATTAAGTCAATTCAGATATATCTTGTAAAAGGTGGTAACGGTTGAGCAAGTATGGAACACACTGTAAATTATTCTATTATATTTCTATTCAATGCATTTCCTCCCACCCCAGGTTTATGCTTGAGTTATTTCGGCAAAAATTTGTGTTGTTTTTCTAATTACGTCAAGACCTAATAAAAACCTTCCGGCAAAGTGGCTTCCTGTACAGTGGAGGCATTGTTTGTCACTCGTGTCTTTACACTTCATTCATTTGGTTAATCCCATTGTCTGGTCAGGCCTCATTACTCTGAAAACTGATATGAATGACAGTGAACAGAAGTCCTCTCCTCCCACCTAACAGTTTTATTATTTTCTCCGGAAAGGAAGTGACCTGCTTGTCTGCACAAAAATCAGGCCATGAGCACGCAGCAGGGCAGCTCGTGACAGTTTAAGTCCAACATGCTCAGGAGTCTGAAAACTTCTGCTAACATTAATACAAATATAACTGAATACTGTGAATAGACACAAAAAGTGTATTTAAATTCAAATGTTTAAAGAAAGCACTTCCAATCAGTTAAATAGCAAAATAAATTATATATTTTTGTAACAACAACCATCTCATTAATGGCAATGGTTTCAGCTCCGCCCACCAGTCAATGCATGTGCCATCATCTGTTTGTATAAATACAGACCTCTAACCACTCTGGCACACAGGAAGACCCTCCAGCAACGATGAAGCTCCAACTCTCCTTCACATTCAGCTTGTCCTCTTTTTTAGTTACATTCCTTCTTTTGCTTCTGTTTGTAGAAATCAGCAGTACTTCAGAAAGTAGCTCAGCAAGAAGAGGAGGAGGAGATCAGAGCAGCTTAAGTTCACTCAGATCAAGTTCGAAAAACAGAGGAGACAGAAGGATCAGTCCAGAGGTGGATCCAGTGGATCAGGAGGACGATGGAGTCTGGGGAGACCTTGGAACAGATGCCGCTTTTAGATCTACTCAATCTGAAGGGGAAGGTGGCTTATGGGAGCAAAGAATATCCTCTCGCTGCGTTCCCATCCCATCGAACATGGCTCTGTGCCAAAACATTGGCTATGAAAACATGAGGATGCCCAACTTGCTGGGTCACGAATCCTCTGCAGAGGCTGTGCAACAGAGTGCTAGTTGGCTACCACTACTGGCTCGCGAATGTCACCCAGACGCTCGCATCTTTCTTTGCTCTCTCTTTGCACCAATTTGTCTTGACAGGTAACAGACTATCTTTGTATTTTCCAAAACATTTCTTTAATATAACAATGTTCTGTTTTAGGTTTATATCCCCTTGCAGGAGTTTGTGTGAAAGTGTCCGTGGCAGCTGTGCACCGATCATGAAGTGCTACGGTTATCCTTGGCCTGAAATCCTACGCTGTGACCAGTACCCTGCAGACCACCTCATGTGCATATCCTCTGTAACCAACACCACTGTCCAGCCTGCAAGACGAAGAGGTAACACAGTAAACCAAGCTACAAAGACTACAAAAATATTAAATTAAATATTAAGGAGTGAATATTTCAGTTCCACAGGCCAGCTGTCGAGATTGTGAACTAGAGGAAAGCACATCGACAAAGGAAACGTTGGAGACTTTTTGCAGAAACGATTTTGGTGGGTACTTAGATTCCATACCACATATACAAATATGTTGTGCTGAAGATACTATTAACTATACTTCATTTCATTTAAAGTTGTGAAACTGCGCCTTGCACACTACAAGTCCAGCCCAGCAAGTTTGTCTCATTTCTCATTGGCTGGCAAGTTTGATGTTCTGAAGCATGGACCACAGCTGGTTGGACAGCTTCGCTCCCGTGTCGAGCTGTGGCTGCAGAGAGATGCTAGCTGCGTGAGGAACATGACTCGACGACATCCACAAGGAGGAACTTTTTTAGTGACTGGGACAGTGCAAGGAGAGCGCCTTGTGGTGAACAAAGCATACTTCTGGCAAAAGCGTGACAAACATCTGATTGCCGCTGCACGCAGATGGAAGCATTACCATTGCAAAATGTAGAAAGAAACAGAAGCCTGCTATGTAAAAAAATACTAAGAAGCAAACAAAAATTTCCCCTTATTTTTTTGCAGACTGAAATTTAAAATAATATAACAATTAATCAATTGATATGAAATAGTTGTAAGCACCTGCTAACATGCATGCATAAAACTACACTTAATTTTGAAATATGTTGTATATTTATCATTGCATTGGTTTATCAAGGAAGGAATAAAATATTATAACAAATAAACAATTACTAAAATTGTTTCATAATTTCCTGTGGCTTACCAAAAATCAATGGCTTTAGACTGAGGGTCTTCATCATAACAGTTGTGTCCGATGCAAGAGAAATCCGCTGGACGTGGCCGACCTAAACAGGTGTTAACACTGACATTATTTCCAAAAAAAGATTCAGACGCACGTGATTAACAGAATCTTACCCGTATTCCCTCAATGCGTGGAAGACTAAAACTATAACTGCTGTCGTCCACATGAAGCTGTGCGGTGGATGATGGGACAGCCCGGGGAAAGGCGCTCCCTCCACCGTCGCCACCTTCACTGTTACTGGGGGAGGCAGAAGCCATCTCACTGGGAATGGGCTCTTCTGGGCCGTTGTTGTAGTGTACGTAAAGCAGCAGTGCGATTACATTTATGATATAAACATGAAAAAAGACCATAACAACCACAAAGTACGCGCGGGAACAAACATTACTCCTTTGTATCTGTAAACGGGTCGAGCGAAAAGGACGAGGGGGGAAAAGTAATTTATCACTTTCACTGATATCATCTTCTTCCTCGTCCTCCTCATCTTCCTCTTCTTCAAATTGCTCTTTAAAGTCTTCGTTTTCCTCCATTTCAATTGAAAACCTGACTGCCAAAACGAATAAAATGCAATATCACAAAATTAATAAATGAGTGTCACAGAGCTTCTTATATCCGCAGCAGAGGAGCTAGCTAAATGCTAACGGCTAAAAATACAACCTCTGCTTCCGGTCTACGGCTCCAGAGGCAGGTCAAACAACGATGCTGCGATGAGGCAAGTCCGCTCACTAATAAAGCGTCTGCAAAATTCTTATTCAACAAATAGTATACAATATGATACACCCATGGATAATGCCGACATCACTGGCACTCATCTACTGTCTAATCTACACAAGCGCTGCCCTGACAACCACCGCAGACCGGCTAGAGGCTACAGCGACCTCTAGCGAAGCTTTAGTGACACTACCACTAAACTAGTTTCTCTCGAAGAATAACCCTAACCCTTACTGCCATCAATATTATAAAAATCAACCTAATACTAATGATGGTCGTTTTTAAATATCGTAATTTACCAAGCACTCATTAGTGTGAGACAGGCCTCCTCAATGACAATGTTTAAAACCAGGTTAAAGACAGTTCTGTTTAGCTGTGCATACAACTGAGGGATTTTATATTTTTAGCTTTTTTTTTAAAGTTCTGTGATTATTTATGATTTTAATGCTTTCTTATTTTGTTCAGCACTTTGAATTGCCTTGTGTATGACTTGTGCTATATAAATAAACTTGCCTTGCCTTGCCTAGTATTTGGAAAGGCCTTCAGGCAAACAACAAACAACAATAATATATAATAACAAAGCCACTTCAGGGAGGAGCAAATGTCATGAACATTGTCTTGCAGTTCTTTTGGACATGTATTTATTTGTTGCTATTTTGTAATTATGTTTTTTATTGTATTTATCTACGTATTTAAGTATTCATCTATCTATCTGAGAGTAGGCGTGTGGATGAATTCATGCACTCAATAAGAGAAGAGTTGTAAACAGTAGGCTTATGGCAAGTTACTTTCACATTTAGTCAAATAAAATATATATTAAATCTAATACATTATATATGTATCCTGCACATCCTGCATTGCTACCATGTGACTTTGAGAGTAAAGCTATGTGCACATCGCCCCCTTGTGGTACTACTGCGTCTCTCCAGTCGGGACCCACAGCAGCAGCAGCAGCACAGCAGCAGCAGTCAGCGATATGGCTGGTCATCGCCAAACGGGACAGTGTCGTGTGTTAGGCAAAGTTACTGGGCAATCCTAAATATGAATTCTGTACGCGACCGGGCATCATTACGAACCGAATAACATCGCCATCATGGGACTATTCTAAAGGAAAAATTGGCTACCGGCCGCGTTACCGCAAAATAGTTGGGGGAACTTGTCGCAGTGGATTCATCCCAGCGTGCCGCCTGGATTACCCCACACAAGGGGAACAATAGTCATCTGCAACAGCAACACTCACAGGTCAGCATTCATATTTTGTTATGCTCGTTTTGAGGTTGTTGTGCTCAGCAGTTTACACATGAAACTAGTGTGATCTTCCTGACGCCTACACGTACGCTACTCGTGGAATGTTCGCTTCTGTGCTATCCAATGTTTTGTTGCGTAAATGAGCTACCCCTGCCTGCGATTTATTCAAATAACTAAATATGTCTTCTTACTCAAAGTCTCCATAAAGCCCCGCGCATGAACACTGTAATATCGTTGTAATAATAACATGTGTGGTTATTATACCTCGACTTAATAATGCTCTCAAAACTAGCCTCTTCTCCTGAGTTCCTATCCCGATGGACCAGAGGTGTGTAACTTTTGTTTGCCCTGCTTGCCTCTCTTCCTTCCGGATAGTAGCAGCAGGAAAACACGGGGAGAAGATGGGCCCTTAAGCAGAAGGCCCTCCCAGTGAATCCAAAGATTTTATGTTGGACTTAAATAAATGATCGTTGCGACTGAGCCTTTTGAGCTGGTGCTGAAGTCAAGTCAATGCATCACAAGAAGCTGGTCACAGGCCTTCAGAGCTATAGTGCCCAGACCTTTTTTTTTACACAGATATGTCCTTTTGCTTGATCTACATTATGTGTTTTGATTTGATAGGAGAAAAATCAGAGACCATGGTAAAGTTTAAGTTTGTGCTTGAAACTGGCTCACACGTTTTGATATCCCTCATAGATCTTTCATTCAACTGATGAAATTGACGTGCTGTGATTTTTTCCTATTTCCAGGATGGCTATTACATGTAAGGAGATAATTGGAACTTTGTATGATTATGTTGTTGGGCAGAATTGGGCCATTACTCATGCCTCCTCAGGGCTTTGCTCCACAGGTTAAGATTTAGAGCCACGTCCACTCAATCTGTGTGTGCAAGCATGCAGATGATTCGTGCATTTCAGAAGAACACTGGCCCCTGAAAGAGCTACAAATTTGATGATGATGGGTTATTATTGTTATTGTTTGCTCACAGTCAAAGTAGTTATCAGTGAGGTCAAACATTGTTATGTTGGTCACAGCGCCTGCTCACCCGAGATGGTGACAGTATACATTCTCAGTTGTTCCCTCTTTCCTCTCACTTTCAAGACATATTTGGGTTACAAGCAGCAAACGTATTTGCCATACTCAGCGTATTTGACCAAGAAGTTATAGTTATGTGACTTTATTACAGTCCTTTACATTATATAGGCTAAAAACTTTGGACTGGACTTAGTAGTAAACACATTATCTACAACTACATATCTATAACTACTGGTACTACAGTAAACTACAACTGCTGCAACTACTACTACTACTATGACTACTATTATTAATTGAATGAAACTAGCAGGGTGATTGATTTTGCCCCCATCATGCAAAATGGTGGCAGAAATCCTTAATTACAAAAAGGTTATTTCAGCGAATGTATAGGCCTAGATATGACTCAACTCTTGGCAGACTATGTCCTGTTTGTGGGAGATATTGGCTAAGTGCATCCTCCTGGTGAAAAAGCTAGTTTCCCTGCATAAGGATGACTGAGTTTGAAATCCCTCAGAGGAGATGCTTTCTCTAATAGGCCTGAAAGAGCCAGGCTGAATGGATGAATAGCTTTTGTTGAAGCCTTCAAGGTTGCACACAAAGAGGAAAACACCAGTGACGTTTTTGTATGGACTTGTGAGTGTTATAGCCATAATATAAAATACACAAGTTAGACTGAAATATTCTGCCCTGTCTCCCTGTACCTCTGGGGCAAAAGCACAAAGCAGTGAAACTTTAGACTCAGAAACCCCCCTGAACACATCCATGCATTCTTGTTCTTCTAAAAGCTGTAAAAAGTAATATGCAACATCATGTTTTAATGGCACAATGATTTATGTTACAAATTTCCAAGTCTTTGCATTACAAATTAAAGGTTAGTGACATAAAGACCTATAATTTCAGTGTCACAGTCTCGTAGTTTAAACAGACAGTAACACAACCTTTTCCAGAGTGCGCTATTTTGTCCAAAACCTGTACCCCATGAAGTTTTCTTGGTTTATTGTAAGTAATTTGATGAATATTTTGATCAATAAGAGCATGGACACATGTTGTTTGCAGCTCTAGTGGAAAATGTAGTGAGACCGCATTGCCACCTAATGTAATGAAGATATACAGGTTCTGGTCGTAAGTGCGATAATTGGGTTGATTGTGGTTTTAGGTTAGTGACGGTAATCCCAATGGTATTCACTCAAATTGTCCTTTCTTCAGGTGTTTGGAGCGCAGTCTGGAGATGGACCGAATGAAGATTATCAAGAGGAGGCTGTCCATGTCTCTGCGCAGCGCCCGGCCTGTAGATGACTCTCTGTCTGAATTGGCAGAGCAGATGGCTTTGGACGAGACCACCACAGTACGGGACAATGGTGAGACAAGTGCTTCTGAAATCACTGAGTATGTTTACAAAGCATAGGAATACGGAGTACGTTCAAAAATCAGACTCTATATGCTGCTTCAAACCTGTCTGGACACTATACTCATGTGCCCCACTGAGAAGATGGAGGCTTGTGATGCTTTCAAAGGCAACATTGCCTTCGCTCTCAAACCTTCAAACAGTAATTGTGAATACAATTGCTATCGTTAAAGTTTTTAAGCAAAACTTTGAAATCTTGTTACTTTGAACCTTTGATTTTCACACATGCTCAACTGCAGCAGCACAATTCATTCAAATTTAAGTGCAATTAAATGCATCATTGGTGCTATGTGAACTGGGTGCAGCTCTGACTGCCACCCCCCGACCCAGAAATGGATTGAGGGGAAGAAAATGGATGGATGGATGGATAAATGCATCATGTTTACTGCTGTTATCGTACACATTGAAACCAAGATTCAAGTTTCAGTTTATTTGCCACTTGCAGCAAAACCACATTGGAATACTTGTGCAACAGTACCTCTGTGTGTACCAGACAGAGCAAATAGTGTCACAGCACTCTGTCTCGACATGTTGGACCAAACTAAACAATGGCATCCGAACACAAACATTTCTAATATCATGGCTTTTTCACGGTAGATTTCCAGTATAATCTGGTTCTCGTGCCGGTGTAACCGTAGTAGAAATGGTTCCATTCAGTTATTCCAAATGGACTGGATCTGCATAGACCTCAATTGCAGCACACAGGATTAATTGAGTCTTGATCAATCAAATTAAATTGGGACTGGACAAGGAATCCGGTTATCAATCAGGCTTTGTAAACATACTCAGTGAAGATAAGATAGATATAAGATAAAACATTATTTTCTGTTGTGGAGTAAAATGAACTTAAATGTAACATTCACACGCTTGCTCTTAAACTATTTGCACACCGTATTATGACGTTTTATCATTTCGACCATTTCATTCCATCTCATTTCAACTGGTTATTGTCAAGGCATCACGCTGCAGGCAAAGAGGAAAACATCTTCCCCTTAAATACATTTGAAACGTTTAGAGCTGTAGCAATTATTACATTAACGCAGCCTCTAATCATGTTTATTCAATAATCTCCAAATATTATAGTCATTGTTTAATTGTTAACTGCGCTATATACATGTATGTGTGTGTGCGCTGAGAGATGTGGTTTTAAAACTCAAACAGAGCAATAACTACATGAAAGAAATCATTTATTGCTTTTATAAGGACTGGATAAGGACTTTATGCTGGATAAAAATTGATTAGTTCTATACTAAGAATCGATTACTGTTATTGAAAGAATAATTGCCTAATCGACAATAAAATAATCGTTTGTTACGGTCCTGGAAACATTGACTACGTTTACCTGCACACATTTAAGAAACATTGTATCAAAGTGAATATTGAAATTAATATGTTCATATAAAAGTAAAGAATGTTATGGCAAAAAAATACAAAACCTGGAAATCTGAAGAATGGGGAGGAGGGGGTTTCAATTCATAGCTTTGTTTCATTGACATTTTCAATAATAAATAAATCAGAGGTTTTCTATAACTTAGTATTATTGGAATGAACTTTAGATAACACACAGACATTTGTTTTTAAATAAGTTCACGTTTTAAACTGAATCTATTACATTTATTTCAAAGATAGTGTGTTTTTTCCATATAAAATATAGTGTATTACAGTAAACTGACCAAACCAAACCTGACATTGTTCACCAAAAATGACTGCAATCACCCGCTTTACTTCACGTAGCAGCGAAGCCTCACAAAGGACATCATAGGGAAAAAGACATTCGAGTGACATAGGTTACTTGTGTGTAGGGAGGGATGTTTTTGTAATCCGATCCGATTCCGATATTCTTAAATATTGTTTTGCCGATACCGATCTGATACAATTTTTTCTAATATTTTCAAAGCATTAAAGATTTTGCATTTTTACCTGAATAAATACGTTTGTCGTGTCAGCTAACACATGTTAGCAGCCTTGTTACAGTCACGGGGAATGAGGCTCGAGGAATATGTTCACAAGCAGTCTCCCCCATAGTTAGTCCTGGTGAAATCCTGGTTTAGTCCTGGTTTATCTCCTGTTTTGTGTCCCTATGACAGCTCCGTGCAGCTCTCTAATAGCCGCACGGAGGAAAAAGTTCATAACTTTCTTTCTCCGCATGCACCAGGTCTCCGTGTCCACTGCCTCTGCCACACCACACATGCTACTCCTGACACATAACCATTGACACGGCATTGAAAAGTATCTTTAGATCCATGAACGCTACGCATTGTGCGGTTGTTTTTGGCATTTCCCAGAAAGTTTTGCGGTTCACGCTTGGCTGTGATAGGTTGAGAAGCCTCTGCCTACATCCCCCAGAATGCCGCGCGCCTCTGACTCGGCTTTACTTCCTGTGTTTTTGTCCTGTTTTTTCTAACGGAGTGATGTTAAACTAACATTCTATCGACCCCGTTTTCTATTGACACGTGTATATCGCAATATATCTCGTTGTCGTTTTATCGCCCAGCCCTAGTTTTACACTGGATAGGGTATTACTAGCTTGTAGCTGAATAACCCATGTGCTCGGGGGATTCTCGCGGTACTGCAGACTGAACCAGACTAAATTCACGAGGGCTACCCAGAAATTTTCCCCATAGAACTCAATGTAAATTAAAACAGCTCAACCTCAGCTGACAGAGAACCTACAGCTTTAATAAAGGTCGGATTTTGTGGGGATTTTAGTGTCCCTTGTCATCCTAAACTTTTTTTCTTCTTAAATCCTTCGGTTTTGTTTAAATCCACACTTTAGTGCCACAAACTCTGCTCGTCTGGTTCTCGCTCTAACTCCCGCTCTGATGAACTGCTCTGATTGGTCAGAGCGCGGCCGAGCCCCTCTGTGCACGTGCGTGAGACCCGGCGTGAGACCCACACACACGTGTTTGGCGCAATGCATTATGGGAGATCATCCACTGCACAGAACCGGGAGGACCAGACGATGCCCAAATACAGGCGAGTTTCCCATGGATCTTTGCGAGGTTTCAGGCGACTTCCGTTAATCTTTCAGCCCCCATGCCGTCACAAAGCGCCACTGAGCACAACCATTAATTTGAATAGGGCGCCATCTTGGATCGCCGGGGCTTGGTTTTACATTGTATTTAGTTTATGGCAGCCGTAAAGCGTGAGCATGCTGAAAAGTGACGTAAAACGGCTTCATATTTAACAAATCCGATATTATCCGATCCTTACAAAATACCTATATCGGCCCCCGATACCGATACTGAATATCGGATCGGTACATCCCTACTTGTGTGTCCTATAAATGACCCCTGACTGTTAGAATAACAGAGGCTTTAACTCATCTATTACATTTCCACAAACATTACACTTTATAATCTCTTATGTTTCACATAAGAGATTATAAACATGAAACACAAAAGCATGCATCATCATTGTGGCGCTCTTGGCACCTCCAGCACAGATCACCGCCTCTAATTCTTTGGAGAATTCTGCTTTCAACACATCCCATGGGTGTGTTCCCAACTTTCCAGGCAACGTCATTTATGTAAATTTCCCCAATAACATGTGATTTAAAATGTGAAAATGCCTTCATTCAATATCCCTTCAAATAAATAGCCAGTTAATACCCTAACGATACAGATTTGTTGGCTTTTTACTACTTTGTAAAATGTTTAATAGAAATACTAACTCAGTGGAGTTATACTGATTGTATTGTACCGGTATATCAGGGCCACAATGGCCTCTTTAGAAAAGTATATGACACGCAGGGAAGTGAGAAGTCATATTGTAGTGGCCAGACTTGTTTATTTATAACCAGTATTTACAAAATAAAAACCAAATCAACTGTTCAACCCGTACAAAAACAAATGATAGGAAAGGAAAAGGAAAGGAATAAAAATACTGCATTACATCTTTGTTTGCATGCTGCCTTTCTCTTTCTTACTCTTTCTTTGACCTCGTTCTCTCAATACATTTTTCACTGCATGCATCTCTTGACTGAAACAAATCACTCCCCTCTCATCCATATAACATGACAGTGTTGGCATCAATCTTACAACGTTTTATACTTAAAAACAGTATTACTCTTCTATTTTCCTCTGTGGTGATGTTTCTCTTTGTTCTTCCCTGTCTGTCTTTATTTCATTTACAACCCTTCCCTTGATTATTTGGTCGGCTGCTTCATGTTTGGGCTGTGTGGGCTGGTGTGTCAGAGCCCTTGGCGGTGTACCCTCCAGCCACTCACAGCGCGCCGTCTTTCCTGCGGCAGTACGCAGGACACCTGGGTCGCACCGCCCTGCGCAGGGAGCTGGGAGGGGGGCTGGAAAGAGATCGCGCATACTTCAACCTACACAGGACTGGATCTCTGGGTACAAACACACACAGTTCATGACATCTGTGATGCTTCTACTTTGTCAATTAGAGTTATTCCAACCTTAATATTAAATATCCTGTCTGTGGTTCTGAAAAACAAGTTCTTCTCACACAATATGAAAGCTGATATTTTCACCTCATGTAAAAAGTAAAAGTAAAATAAAAGCATGTGATGCAGTTCATTGAGCTTTTAGCCTCGGCATTCTCCATTAGCGACAGCGGAAGCTCAACCCGAAGGGTCTAAAGCTCTTCTGTGTCGGAGACTGTACAAACAGCCAGCGCTCGAGAATTTAGCCAGGAAACTTCAGATGCATGTCTGTAAAGAGTGACACAATTGGATTCAAATTTCATTTTACACAATCATGCATTTTCTAAACAATATTTACTTTTCTAATTACTTAAGTAATAAACATCTGCAGCTTCTAGCTGTAAAATATAACATTAACTTTTTATAGTCTTACAATTCTCCTATTCTTATTTTGGGACAGAAAAATCACAGGCATAACATCCTGTACCAAATAAATGCTATATTATCTACAGTTTTATTTTAATCTTCAACGTAGATACAATGTATCCATTGTTATTACATAATATATAGTTATAACTACTGTGTTGTTTTTCTGCTTTTGGAACTCATTCCCATTTATACAAAACAGTACTTACTGTAGAGACGGCAAGTGAACACTCTAAAATAGAATAAAATAGAAACTGATATACATCTGTTATGACCTTAATCCAATTTACACCCGTGCACACACTTGAATAGACAGATTACTATGGATTGCAGAAATGTATGAATTCACAAAATAATCCTATTTCTCATTGTATGTTGCCTAAATCCGGAGTATGAGTGATCCTATTGGAGCAGGACAAGCTGAAGGTTGGAGAATATGAAGCTTACATTTTAAAGACAGATCCACAAACACATGAAGATAGAAACAACAGGGACAGAGAACAAAACAGGAGAAAATAGTTACTTTACAGTTTAGTGTAATTCTCAGCAGTGTTCAAATCGTTGTTCAAAGAGCCAAGGTGTAGAGTGCACAAAGCTCTTAGGTCAGAAGAATCACAAATCTCACCAAATAATTAATCGATATCATTTGTAACATTATCTATATATATTAATGTAATAATGATATTTTTTATTTGTGTACTATAGACAGGACATTTCACCAATTAGATTAAAATAGGAATCCCATAAAGAAAAGATAAGAAAGTTTGACTCCAGATTGAATCATCACTTCCTAGGATGAAGATTTCCACTGTCTTAAGTTTTAGGTGTGGTCTGAAATGTTAATGGAGTGTGTGTGTGTGTGTGTGTGTGTGTGTGTGTCTCGCTGACTCACTGTGCCTCTCAGCAGTCGCTGCACGAGGCTCGATTTAAAGAGCAACCTCTATTCTGACTGCACACTATCCTTCCCATAACTGTTCATTCAACTTTAATTTCTCCACTCACTGGACTGCCTCTGTAGAAGAAATGAAAGTTCAAAGTAAAAGTTGCCTCGACTGTCAATAAGAATGTCAACGGTATTCACAGGACAAATAATTGTAATTTTCATTGAACTAGTATATTAGAATCAAAATGAAGTCACTCAGTTCAGTTTAGCATTTTCATTTGATCTCATTAACGTGGACATTAGAGCATTATAAGGTTTATGCATTAGAAATATTTTCGTGTTGTTGAATTGTGTTTCTATTCTCACAATAACCATGTGACATCTTGGTTTAAAAGAGGCTCCCATCTGTTATGATATACAAGTGGAAGAAAGTAAGGGAAGATTTTTTTTCTCAGAATTAGCTGGATAGAGCTGGACAAAAACCCCAGGACAGCAAAAGAAGAGAAGGTTATGTTTTGTGTATGTGAAACCATGAACCCTGTGCTTCATAATGTCTCACACTGATATTTAGCACAGACTGTTTGAAAATACATCATAAAAAAGTCTTCATTAAGCACACGACAAACGCAAAGAGAAAACAATTTCATCTCAACACAGGTCCAGAAAGTGTCCTGATGTGTGTGAAACTGCTGCACAGGTACAAGTAGTATTTTATCAGGGTCGGGAGTGTTTGCATGAAACTTCCCTTGGGCGCAGCCTATATCAAAATTCTTGTAAATATCTCCTTCCTTGTCATTTTACGGCTGATATGTCGTACAGATGCAAACCACCTGCTGGGGTTTGGGAATCTGCCCAAACTCTATGTATTTTGTATGATTAAACTACTTTTTAAAACAATGGACATAAACCAGCTGTATTTCCCCAACAAACTGGCAACCCAAATGAGAGACTCATCCTGGTCTCTGATTGGACAATCTGCTTGAAAATTGTAAACTAAAATTCAATTTTGGACAATCAAGTCCATTGTATTTTGAATTAAGAATATCTAAATCAAAGATGGAGATGTAATTTAAAAGGAAAGTATTATAATGTCCCTTTAACTTCCTACCATCCAAGGGCCCTTTAAGTTTACAGTTTAATATGAGCTACCATGGCATGTTATACCTCATCTTAAAGTAATTATTCTCATTTATGGTACCCTGAACCAGCAATCCAAAACTTTTTGTGCCGTTTTTTGTCAGACAAAAGTTGCACAGACCGGCACCCAAACACACCCCACCCCCAAGAAGCAAACACCACAGGCGCCTCATTACATTACATTGTTCGATGCGTCATTCTCTTTACTTTGTAATGCTTGAGCCTCTGTGCACCGTCTTCAGAACACATGTGCGGCGGAGGGACATTTGTTCACGTTTCAGCGCTATCATGTCATGTGACCAAGGTGTAAGGAGGATCGTTAAGACTCAGATATTGAATACAGAAAATATTGAATCTTTTCTTGGCGGCCCGGTCCGAATAACCCCTGATCTAAACAATAATGCAATAAGTAATATTCCATAAAATGAAATCAACCCGTTTTTATAAAACTCAAACTTCTTAGTAGCTACTCCTTTGGTTCTGGAAACCCCACCAAAAAGAATATCTAAACCCATATTAATATTGATAATTCATGCAAATATAAGCACAGACACGCATGTTGTTATCCATGTTCCTTCTCTTCATTTAATGAGCCCCATCACATCAACACTTATCGAGGCATTTCGCAATGACCTCTAGAACTGGCTGACGAGCGTATTAGCGTGTGGTCTATGTGGTGTCTGTAATTGTGGGATAAACAATCCGGCACGGTGGCTGAGTGGATAGCACTCTCGCCTCTCAGCAAGAAGGTCCTGGGTTCAAATCCCGGCCGGACCAGGGCCTTTCTGAGTGGAGTTTGCATGTTCTCCCCGTGTCTGCGTAGGTTTCCTCCGGGTACTCCGGTTTCCCCTATCACTAAAAATATGTCCAATAGTTCTGGCATGCGCCTCCTGTACTGGCCCCGCTCCCATCTCTGTGTGGAGTGAGAGACAAATGCCCAAAATTAACAATTGTAAACCGCTTTGAGACTCAGATCTGCAGTGAAAAGGCGGTATATAAATAAAAAACTTACTAACTTACTTACTTACTTACAATCGTTTCAAAATATCCTTATGTCTGTGGTCAAATATCTGTGTAATTACATACAATCTTACTAAATCTCAATTTACAACTCCTGTAGTCGTCTTTTGAATCATTCACATTGCAGAGCAATCAGGTTTGATATGTCGATTGAGGAAGCATCAATAACTTTTGTATTATATATTTATTAGCAATGGCAGTTTACCTACATTATCATTAAGAATTGTTTCTGTATTCCAAGTTTGCATTTTTTTTTTCAATTTTAATGTTTTACTGTTCAATATCTGAATATTAGTCCTCATACTAAACACCAGTGGCCTATTTTAGTCTATATAACATTCCATATATGGGTTTAGTGCATTAAGAGCAGCCCTCACTCACTGCACTCAGTCTTCCATTTGCACAACCTTAACATGAACAATAGAACCCAGCTTTTATGTCCTTGATCGTGTAATCTCTGTGGTCAGTGTTAGTTACTTCAGTAATGACTTACATGTAGAATACTTTGGGCTATGGGGGGTTATACAGGCTTTATTCCATTGGGATTCCACATATTTACTGGAGGCGATTGAGGCGGAGAAATATAATAATAATAATATAAAAGCACTCCAAATGCACTCTGATCCTTTTTTTTCTTCTTCATCACAGTTAGGGGAGATCACAGTATGCCGTGTGATAACAGTGTCTTGTGATTACTGTTTTTAATGCTAACAATAGTCGACTGTTTGATTTCATAAGTTCAGCCTTGTTTTCTATCTCAAGTAATAGTTGTTGAAATCAGTACATAGTATACTATTGTCAGTTTTTTAGTTCAATAGTAAAAGAAAATCACCATCATTGTAAAATTGTAAATTAAATCATTGGAATGACTTTGTCTATTGTGCTTGTAAAACTTAATTTGAGATAAATAAACAATATCCATAAAGGTTTTGATCTGACAACATTTGCTTTGGAAGAGACGTCCCTACCACGACATGTCAGTTAGAATTCAAAGCAATAAAAGGGAATCGGAAATACAGGTTTTGAATTATTTTGCAAATCCGTCCAGCCGTGATTCCATTCTCTGTTAGTGTTGAGAAAGGATTTTGGTTAAAATAATACAGTACAAAGCATTAATATTTTATAAAACATATTCACAAATACAATTACAAAACATAATTAATTGATATTCATTCCATACTTCACACAATCCTTCATGAAGTGTTTATAGCCCGGACTAAAAGAGCGATTAACACAGGAAAAGTACACGAGGAGAGGGAAGAGAGAGAGTTATGTATATTGTATCACATGAGAGGGAGGAGAGAAGCCGCGAGGTGTGGGGAGGGCACATGCAGGCGCCGACAACACTGAAGCTGATCGGGGAAAGGCGAGTGGACCAGCGCAACCTGATTACAGACTATTATGCCACACACCACGAGGACATATCGAGGAAATGGGACTATGACAGTCTAGTAAAAGGATATTTTGCCATTTGAGGATTATACAGGCAGGAGATGGACACCTGTAATTGTGGCATCGTAACAGTTTGCCTGAGCTTGATATTGTTCAGCAATTGACTTTGACCTTCCTTACTCAGCAGTCTGCGTGGCTGTGTGATGTGAGAAAAAAGATGGAGAGGCGGAGATAGGGAGTGTCCACCGGAAAACAGAAAAAGTGGAGTAGTAGTCAGGGGAGTTGATGCATTGTGAAGAGAGAGCAAATGCAGAACGACATTCTCTCCCTTAGATGGATTCACGTTTGCCTCCAAACTTATTAACTAGACTGTATTCTGCATTACGAAGCATTGACATCAACCTCAAATTTTGGCCCTGTCTGTAAAACATGGACAGTTCAGGAAACCCCCTGAGATGTCCTGCTCGGGTGCCCAGAGCAGTGGACAGTAGGACAGGAGAGGTTAGGGTGGGGGAGATCCCTCTGAGAGTGTCACCCTTCAGAATGCTTCGAATGTTGGACTCATGCCGTCCACCTGGAAATCGCATCGGTGAGTTTCCGGAGGCTTTTGGTCAATAATATATATCTTTATTAGGGTTATGTTTTTTTTTTTGCTTGTGTGATGGAAACAGGGCACATTCATGTACATGTGTAGATACAATGTAAAAATTGTAGATTATAGCAGTTGTCCTTTTCATTTTTTACAAACTATTTTCAGCCTTGAGGCTTTAATTTATTGTAACCTTTCAGAACTTATTTATTCATTTTTGTCAGAGTAGCCCAGGGTAGTGCACATGTTCTGTCACATGGACACAGGCATGATCTTTTTTTTACTGAGGTCACAATTGATGAAGTATATATCCATGTCTACTCTTTTTGGAAGTGTGGTTATAAAACATACATTTGTGATATTGATAGTTATATAGTAATAAATATATATTTTTTCTTTTTAATCACTGGCACATGGCCAAGTGATTTAAGGACACATGCATCATCTTCTCTCCTCTAACATGAAGTGTACCCCAAACTAGGCCAGCTCTGCCCCATTTAGGCAGGAACACTCAATGACTTTGGGCTGAACTTATAAAGCAGAATATAGGAATCAGGAATAACAGGAATAGTTTGGTTTAGAGGCATAATAGAAATGTGAATGTCTGATGTTTCTTGTTTTTAACAAAAATCTTAAATAATTAGTCTGAACCAACCTGTGATCACTTACTCTTACCTACTGTATCACCTAACATCACAACGTGGTTAAGGGCACAAACATGTCCAACCAGTGGTTCAATTGTATGCACTTGTCTGTTTACACAAACACAGGCCGGTCTGGGATGTGAGATCATGTGACATAATAGGGGCATCTGGGAGCCGTGCAGCTGTCACCGGGCACATATCGAGATCAATTTTCTTCTTCTGGTGACTCCATGAGTTTAATATTTCAGCTTCATGGTTACAGAAACCAATCTTTGAATGATCATTGAGCAACAATTTCTCTTCAGTACCTCTGAGCCACAGAACATTAAAGGCCCAGCAATTAAACTGCTGAATTGTCGACCATCTTTTGTCATTGTATTCTTTTTATGTTAATGTTTCAATAGAGCTGACAGCAGATGCACACTGGACCTTATGTTGATTGCTGAAAGCTGATATGTTTAAAGTTGGAAGACTCCATTAGGTATTGACATCAATATTGAAACTAAAGGTATCTTTAAAAGGTATATCTTGAAACTAAACTGCATTTATTGTTCATCTATGACATTTTCACATTAACCTAACATTAACTGCAGCCTAACACTGACCAAAACCTGCCTCTAGTTATTCTCTGCACAGCTGACACATAGGCCACTATAATTAATGGTCTGTGTGTAGATATCCCACTGTTCCCAGTGCAGCTCTGATGTAACGCTCACATTACAAGGTCATCCTTCCCTATTCCTACATTTAGAATTATGGCAATGCAATTATTGTTCATAAATTGATAATATGATAATTAATTATGTTTTAAAAATGAAAGAAAGACACTTTTCTAATCTACACAAAAAGTAAAGTGGTGTTGCATGCCATCAGTACATTCTATACTGGTTTGGAAATCATTTTCTTCACTGGTTAATTTCAACAGCCTAGTAAGTAATTTCATTGAATAGTTTAAATTATGAGACAAATACATGTATTTGTGTTAATGATATCTTCTCTTATCTCTTATACTTATTATGAACCCCAATATATATTATCACTGTTTGTTCAGAGTATTGTTCAACTAGTATTTCCTATTTTTATCCTTTGGTCCTGATGTTCTGTGCCGGACTTAGCTTTGAAGCATTTTGATAAGTAATTTGGACCTTATGGTCTAGTAATAATTATGTTGTTTTGATGGTGTGTTTTTTTAATATTATCATTGCTTTCATATGACTAATTGTTATCATGATTCTGTTGACTTACTGTTGATTGTAAGTTTGACAAGTCCATTATAAAAGGTATCTTGAGAATATTTGATTCATGTTTGATGTGAAAGATGAACACCATAAGTGCAGAAATTACTATTTCCAATGTCACTTATCGAGGTACAGTCTGTTGTCCATGGTCTGAGCTCTTGAATCTGGAGCACATGCTGCCCATCCCCCATCACCCCCTCATCTGTCCCCCTCCACAGACTGATACCCAGGCTCTCACCCCCCTGAAAGAACCATTCTGCGCCAGTCTCATTAATCAGATAAACTCTGATGGAGGTGAGGAGGAGCAGCAGGAAAAGGGCAGAGAAGAGATCCCATTGCAAAGAATCATCGATTTCTATCTCTCCAGTCCTCCCTCAAAAATGGCAATTTATTCAGTCTTCATCACATGCTGATTGAGAAGTCACTTTGAATTTTTACAACACAGAGGGTAGAGTATAATAAATATATATATTATATTGCAAACAAGAGTGTTAATATATACAATATAAGGCAGGGGGCCAGAATGGATCATTGTGGCACTTTTTCATATATTTTTTAAACATATTTTAGTGGCCAAAAATGTTCAATGCCATGTCTTTCTTGTCTAGAGAAAAAGTAGCATCTTGCAAGAGATTTTTGTTATCATCTTTTTCCCAAAGTCATATAGAAAAGTTTACAATGATATTATCAGGATATATCACATTGTGATACATATCTGCAGCCAGATACAGGCTGATGCATACCCCTAATATCAATATGTAATGTTAAAATGGAGTGCCTTGGTAAATGCTTGTGCCATGTCCACACCTGTGGGACGATAAAAGGTCCTCTTGCCTAATGGCCCTTGATGTGTGTTTGCAGGGATTGTCCATGAGAATGTGAAGATGGGGTCCGATGGAGAGAGTGACCAGGCCTCTGGGACGTCCTCGGATGAAGTCCAGAGTCCAGTCCGGGTCCGAATGAGAAATAACCATCACCGAAGAATTTCTACTGAGGTCAGACATATTGTAGTCTCCTATTATGTTTCTAAAAACGTTTTCATTCACAATACATTTGGGAGACCGTACTGTTTGTATCACAACTTTATGACTTTTGTTGATGTAAAGCACCAACATTTACACTCAACTGTGTAACATATGGCACTGTATAACGACAACAAAATGTTAATGCAATAATATTATCAAACCTTTCCACAAGTTTGCATTTGCGTATATTCTTTTCTGATTGTGTTGGTTGTGCATACTGTGAGTGGTTGGGACTGATGGAGACGGTTTATCTCAGAGGGACATGAAACAGAGGTGGGGGTGGTGCAGCATAGACAGTAATTATGGAAGTAAGAATAATTATCTCTGGGACACAGGTTTAAAAGGCAACAAAGATGAAAAGAAACTGCAGAACTGAGATGAGGAAGAGAAAAACATGGCTGTGTCCCCTTCCCCCCACGAGCCCTCAGGAGTCTCCTGCATCTTTTGGCTCCTCCTGTTATATTGTGTGATGAGTATTACTTTGAACATTACCCCCAAAAAATAAAAACCACAACAACAGCCATTTTTTATTATTTGCAAACCAGTGAAGACATCAGAAATAGAAATTGAGAAAGAGAACAAATGTTGACTAAGAATTTGAACTCTGAAATAACACAAACAAATGACTTGAATCTAGCTTTATGAGTGATGATGCAATAGGACTTAACATTAGTTATGTATAGACTCTCAAACTCCTCCTTGTATCTCATGCCCAATAGTACCATCCCCTCTGTCCCTCGCTCAACCCCCCTCAGCATCATCGCTCTCTGTCAGTGCGTGTTGTCATGTGGCCCCTCAGACATGGAGCAGTGTGATTAGAGACTTTTAAGAAGAGGGACAATGAAGGACCAACGAGAGCTGCTCTGCTCTGGGAGTATAGAGGCTCATTGTTCAGTGTTTCCAGTGAATTACAAGGCATTTGTGGCAGTGTCTCTTGTTTGTCTGTCTGTCTGTCTTTTAGGGCAGTAAATCGCAATTTGATAAAACACAGAGCATGTAGATATTGATACCACGGTTATGCAATATCACAAATAATAAATATATATGAATCATGAATGATTTATAACTACATTATTTTCTACTTTGGAACATAATTTCAGTAAAACTAGATACAGGTTAAACTCGGACAATTAGAATATTGTTCAAAAAATGTATTTCTATAGAATGTGAAAGGCTTGATACAGCTCACTTTGCATAATAGGTCTATCATAAATTAGTTCCACACTGTAATCTGAATTACACAAGTAAATGGACTTTTGAACGTGTATCAAGGTTTTTTAGAATTAGAATGATGTCATTTTTGTGCAAACGTTTGAGTGGGAGAGATATTATTATTATTCTCTATATTTCTCAAGGTCAAAAATGAATGTTCTTGCCGAGCCCCATTGAAAATCACCATTTTTTGCTTCACCATCAGGTAAAAGCTGATAATGCAAGCTCTACCAAAACCATTACATGCATCATCCCTCTGCCTTAAATCTCGCTTATCACCAATGCACATGTAAAAACACACACACACACGCACACGCACACACACACACACACACACGCACGGTGCTGTAGGGCACAGGACAGGCTCTATTGCCAAGCAAACAGGATGTGAAAAGCAAGTCCTAATTTCAATAGAGAAGGAAGCCTTGTTTTTGTAAGTGAACCATTCCCACAACAGAGACATAATTTATCGTTTGTAAAAATCAAGCTGCTTTTTCAAAGGTTATATTTTCTCTAATCATTGCTCTGTGAATGTTTTTGTGCGTAGTGCGATATTAACAATCCTTCTTGTGTGTGTTCAGGACATAAACAAGCGTTTGTCTCTCCCGGCCGATATCAGACTACCGGAGGGTTATTTAGAGAAGTTTGCCATGAACAGCCCGCCTTTTGACAAACCAATGAGCCGCAGGCTACGGCGAGCTTCTCTGGTCAGTATCTCTTAAAATTCCCTTTTTACTAATGGCTTGTACTATATGTCTTTTTTCAGAACAGGAATAACAACTTTTCTTTGTGTATCCAATGTGTGCTTTGCAATAAAAGCTTGCAGTGTTATTTGGAAATGGCTCCATGGTTGACACACTCTATTATATAATTTATTTCAACATTGCCTCCACAAAAACATGAGAGTGAACCATGTGATGGAGATTATAATAGCCCAGTAGGAGGCAAATGATGCATTTAGTAGTATGCATCCAGGCCAACAGCATGAGGCCTTTGAATGACAAAAGGAACTGGAGGAACAGATTATGCACATATTTTTATCTTGTGTACTTTTCTACACTGCACATTAGACATGGAGTATTATATACTACGACCGATGGAAAACAAAATGCACAAATAGTGAATCCAGTGAATTCCAAACATTACATGCAACAAAAAACAGATTACATAGGCCAAAAAAAGTCTCTTGTGAGTTTTCTTTTATCGGCTAGGACAATTCTCGGTTCTGATGTTGGCCGATATTTTTTAACTTATTATTCTAGTCTAGCCTCCAGCAAACAATAGTGGTACAACAAAACTAAACACACACAATTATAATCCTACTGCACATTCCCACTTATTGTAGTAGTTAAGTTTACTTTGGTCAAAGTGCTTTATCTCTCCAGTACTGCTGTTACATAACACCCAGTCTATACATTGGGAGTTATTTTTTACAGTTTTTGTGTACTAATTGGTTGACCTCTATTTTAAAGACATTTCTGTACATACTCATCTAAATAATTAGAATTCACTAAGAATTTCCTGGATCCTTCCTGATTCAGACTCTTCCTAAATCTAAAACTATACAGCGTCTTGTGTCCACTTATTCACTCTTGGAGGTTGTATAACGCAACAGACCAACTAATAATTTAGTGACTCACATTTATCTGCAGCTCTGATCCGCTCTACACACCAGGGCACCTTGAAAGAACCAGTGAGCTTGAAAAATAAGAATCCAGAAGTTAAGATTTAAACGAAACGTAAAAAATCTCAGCAGATCTTGAGGAAAAGGACAAAAACATTGACAGATGTATATGGGCTCTTGGATTTAGCAGAGCTTTTTCAGTCCTTTGCATACTTGCAGAAATATATACTTATATAACTTATACAATTGCAACTTAAACAGCAATTGGGTTTCTGTGCCCAAGAGATTATCGAAGGTACATTTCCATGGTCAGAATCAAATGGCGTAAAAAAGAAGAGAGTATTTTAAACTGTGAGACTTTTAATTCACTTTGTCTGTTCCCTATAATTATTTATGACAGTAGTGCATATGTCAGGTGTCTTGTGTCCGATCCCGTCATGTAAGACAGAATTTCGATCTTTGAATCGCTTCCATTCCAAAGTATCAGTGTCAGCTTTCCACTAATGCCTAATGTTGCCCAATGAAATAAATTATTCACAGCATTCCAAGGGAGTAATTACTTGAGAATGCAATAATAATTCCAATAGAAAATGACTGTCCCATTTTCATTGTTGCACATTGGTATTGTCCGTAAACATGTTTCCAAAATACAAAAATACATACAATCTGGGGAAATGTGTGGACAACATTTGAATTATACCAACTTATATTAAAGTGACTTGAAATGATCCTTAAAGTACACTATGCAGATGTGACCATACTACTGCAGAACAACTGATAATTATTAAAGGGTTAATTTATTCTGCTACTTCCAACCGAAATTAAATATTAATTTAGAAACGAGGTTAAACCACTGATTGTTTGTTATTATTTATATATTATGCTTCTTACTTTTGTTGCCACTGTTATTTTGGTTCTGAAACTGAATTTTGACTGACCTAAATTTGCTGAGAAAGCTCACTGGAGCGTTGGAGTGAATGAACCCAATGACTGCAGAATCTGCAACCATCAGAAATGTCCTGATACTACAGCTGAAACGTGAGACGATGATAGAGATGGATTGATCTCAAATGCAGTCTTGCAATATACAAGTACAAAATTAAGTATTGTACTTTAGAATGTTCAAGTTTACTGGTTTGTGAAACTAAAGATACTATAGATAAGCCAGAACAGAGTTATATCTGTAGTTGAAAGTTCAACTATATTCAAGGCCCAACCCTTTTGTAATACACGCTTGTATTTCTGCGCACAAATATGTGTGTATCAGACACAACTGAAGTAAAATGGCAGTTTGTCTATTATGACATAAAACACATGTACTTTATGTTCTGACTGATGTTAAAATGATAACTACAATTACAACCAAAATCATTGTTGCCAGGTTTGCGTGTAGACTAGAGCACATATAGCTGTGATTATCATGTGCTGCAGGTGCTGGGTTTAGGTAGTGCCAAACAAGATTTTACCAAAGAGACTGGCAATTCGAAACCGCTTGAGAACTAGTGTTTACATAAACAATGTGGGCATCAGAGTAGCTGTTTATGAAGTAAGAAAAACAACAAATCAGAAAATACCATTATACCTTTACCTTTATCTCTGAGAGATACAGATTAAATATGTAGATTTGGCTAATCAATTATTCAATTTTCTAAAACATGAAATATAAACACACTGTAAATTTATTCTCAAGGTCATTTAAGGAGCAGAACTAACCATGAATAATGTATAATGTTTTGCTATTTTCCACGTGTGAAAATCTATAATGGTCACAGCATCGCATTATACTAAAGGAGTTGTTAGCTGAAGTGATATGTATTTTAGAAATGATGAAAAGATGTTGTGTGTTGAGAGAGCCGACAGCAGGGGGCAGTAAACAGCAGCAGGACGCTCTGAGCACGTCACAGCTGGACTCAGCCTTATCCATTATTCAACAGTGACAGCACAGAGACACATGCATTATGCAGCCTGACTTTTAATAATCACTTTAACTCAGCCATTTGTAAGCGTTTATTTCTATAATGTGCGTTAGTTTCCATTTTTTGTAACTTGTATTTTATTACAATAGTATGAACATTTTTGACTAGTTCATTTAAATTTTTTGTGAATAAAAACACAACAACTTATAATATATTGAGTAACATAAATTCACCCAACTAGGTCCTCGCTCTTAAAACAATTTGGTTCTATCACCAGTTTTCACATGCATGTATTTTTGGCTTCTGTCACATCATTAGATCAGCCAATGAGACTACCCTCATTCAACCTTTCAGCTCTGTGCCCAAAGATTACATGTTATAATCAGATCATGAACACATCATGTTGTGGTCTTTTACAAGACTCTGTTTGTTTGAAAAACATGTATTATTCATGAAAAAATAAAATGTAGCTTTAGTATTACAGTTATCTTTGTTATTGTGAGATTACATATACAGTAATTATTATGTCCTTTTAATTGAGTTGATTTTACACTATTCTGGGGGAAGACTGAAATGTTGAGAACCACTGTTTAACACACACATCTGTGTGAATTGTGCTCTACAAAGAGAGCCTTGCCATCTTCCACTACTGTTATTGATCGAAGTCCTTTCTGTCTGTCTAGTCGGAAATCGGATTTGGAAAACTTGAAACCTACATCAAACTGGACAAACTCGGGGAGGTGAGATCACAACAGCACTTATTATTCTGCTTGATCTGATTTCTGATTCATTATGGTGTGGATATGTTCAGGGCACCTACGCTACGGTGTATAAAGGCAGAAGCAAACTAACGGACAACCTGGTGGCTCTCAAGGAAATCCGACTGGAGCATGAAGAGGGAGCACCTTGCACAGCCATCAGAGAAGGTATCAGAATGTTTACTACCAAAAAATAAATTCAACTGATTATTCAATGCTGCTATACCTAACTTTAAAACCACAAACATTATGAAATAAAATGCAACTAGTTCCTGGGTCTCATAATAGTTTGGTTCATCACTAGTACATGCATGCTTTTTTTGGCCTTTGTCAACTATCAGATCTCAGCCCAAAGTGTCAAATAGTGACTTACAGGGCTCTTTCTTACAAGTATGCAAACAATAACATGTTTTCTAAGAAGATAAAGATAAGATGGTTTTGGGCGGTACTCAGTTAATGACCATATATTGTATAGTCATATTACTATACATATTTAAAGAATAGAACAAAAGCAGTTAAAGTTAAAGCCAAACAAATGCGTGAATGAGGGATTACAATGATTTGTTTCTAAAACAAACAAGTCTCGAATTGAGTTCAATGCCTTTCCATCAGACAAAATCATCACAAAGTAACTGATCATGTGGATTGGTGGAACTGTTTTAATGGCAGCTGTCCTTCTGTCGGTTTGACTGACACTCTGTGATGTCTGTCTCCCCAGTGTCTCTGCTGAAAGACTTGAAGCATGCCAATATCGTCACCCTCCACGACATTATCCACACCGACAAGTGCCTGACTCTTGTGTTTGAGTACCTGGTGAGTGCCTATGCAGTAGTTTGCTTTCAGACTAGCCTCAGGGTCTTTCAATCATTAAAAAGGTATAATGTGATGAAAGGGGCATTACGTATTAGAGATTGTGGCATTAATATTTCTCCATGTCACATGTCCCATGCTCTGAAGTGTTGCAGATCATCAATCTGACAAACTCTGGTGTCAGCGCAATATTTTTTCCAGATTCTCAAATTGTCTCAAACCGTATAATTTGAGACAATAGTTCAAGCAAATCAACAGTAGTAGTGCTTTGCTGTCTGGTTTGATGAACGCCTGAGGAAAGCAAAAGTAGCGTTTGGAATGTAAAATATCTTTTTAATAGTTACATAGGAAATGTGTGTTAGTTCACCTGTGATGGTGGCATTACAATTTGTCTTAAATGGTATTAAAATACCTTTTTAGGTTGTACATGTTTTTTTGACCAAACTGGGGCTGCACTGGGTTTGTACCAACCTTTTTCAGACCAAGTGTCTTAAAAAAAATGATTGAATGTAGTTACAGTTGTATAAGTGTAGTTATGCAGCTATATATGCAGCAATAATGCTGATTTTCTTCACCTGCTTCATTATTTTTAGGAAAAAGACTTGAAACAGTACATGGACGACTGTGGGAGCATCATGAGCATTCACAATGTAAAGGTATGAGAAGGGTTGCCATAGTTACATATCAATTATTTCACTTTATTTTCATATATTTTTTTTCTGTCTTTAGATCTTCTTGTTTCAGCTGCTGAGGGGTTTGGCATACTGTCACAAAAGAAAAGTCCTGCACCGAGATCTCAAACCGCAAAATCTGCTCATCAACGAGAAGGGGGAGCTAAAACTGGCGGACTTTGGTACAGTTGAATTTGATTTGATAACATGGTCCACATAGGGTTTAGTGATTTTTATTTTATTTTTTACATCACCTGCTTGTATTATTATTATTTTTTCTATAATTCCACTTTGAGGTGTAAGCGACTAAACGAAGGGCTTGATATTTTAAAGGTTTAGCACGGGCCAAGTCTGTACCAACAAAAACATACTCAAATGAAGTTGTGACTTTATGGTATCGCCCTCCGGATGTGCTTCTGGGCTCCACCGAGTACTCCACCCCCATCGACATGTGGTACGACGACAGCAAACTAACTGCCCTTGTGCGAACACATGATCTATTCTAATAACGTGTCTTTGTGAAGGGGTGTGGGCTGTATTTTCTATGAGATGATCACCGGGAGACCCTTGTTCCCTGGGTCAACTGTAGAGGATGAGCTTCACCTAATATTCCGTATACTTGGTAAGGTTATAAGTTACTCTCACGAAATACACGGTGGCTAGCTTACATGAATCATATTTATGTTTCTTAGGTACTCCTACTGAGCAGACTTGGCCCGGGATTGCAACAAGTGAAGAGTTTAAGACTTACAAGTTCCCCCAATACCAAGTTGAGCCCCTGGTGAACCACGCCCCAAGGTACGACCTGCGTGAACTGAAATCATGTATCATTGGTGCACTTTTAAAGGCTCGATTAATGTCAATATGATTTTTTTGTGCCTCATACAGGATAGACAGTGACGGTCATGACTTGCTGTCGTTGCTTTTAAAGGTGAAGTATCTATTATTATACTCTCTCAATAACATTATTCACTTAAAGCTGGGGCACCAAACTTCAATCAAAAGTCATCCATTTTGTTCCTAGCTCTCAGTACAGTTTGGTTATATTACTAGATTCCACATGCATGTATCATTGGCCACCCTCACTCAGCCAATCAGCTCTCAGCCCAAAGTGTCAAATAGTGACTCACAGAGTTCAGTAGGCAAGGCAAGGCAAGTTTATTTGTATAGCACAATTCATACACAAGGCAACTCAAAGTGCTGAAGAAAACAAGAAAGAGACAGTCAGACAGGGCATTAAAATCATGAATGAAAAAGAGAATTATTACACGTGTGCAAAAATAAAATGTGTTCACAACATCTTACTTTTACAAGACTCGTTCTGTTGAGACAAACAAACATGGATTATTCAGTAAAAGATAAAGTTAGGTACCCTAGCTTTAATATGGTGTGACTTTACTGCTTTACAATAGGCCTTGCTGTGTCTTTTGTTTTAGTTTGAAGCTAAGAAAAGGATATCAGCAGAAGAGGCGACAAAGCATGCTTATTTTAAAAGTCTCGGGGATCAAGTTCAGATATTGGCAGACAGTAAGTGCCTTCATTTTTTGTGGGGGCATTAAAAAAACGTGTGTTTGACTCTTACTTTTAATTTGTTTTTAGCAACATCGATATTTTCTGTCAAAGGCGTCGCACTACAGAAAGATCCAGGGAAGAGATCCACAATCTATCCAGAATCAAGTAAGTCAATTTCGCAGACGGAGGTGGAAAGTGATATTAATCATAGATTAGTGGCTATGAGTGATGTGGTTCTCTCAGTATGGAAGCAAGGACTATTGTGACAAAGGATTTTACAGCTGGGTATTTACATCTGTGAAAAGATACACATTCCAGGCAGTTTAGTCCCAGTATCTATTTTACATGACACTTTTATTTTGAGGTTTACACTACTCTTACAGTTGTGCTTGAAAGTTTACAACCAGGTAGAATTGTTTTTATTTTGTTGGCCATATTACGGACTGATAACATGAAACTGCTATTGTGTGAAGCCATTAATTGTGAAATAAATGTGTTTCATATTTTCAAATTTCAATGACAACAAAATCTAGTCAAATGACCCTGATTTTAAGTCTACATCCCGCAGTTCTCAATATTGTGTATTTTCCAGTGGTATATCACAGCTAGAAGTACGTTGCTTTTGTTGCAGTCTGGCTCCATGGCTGTTCTAGTTCTGACGGCGGAAATATAAATACAACATTGAACCCTATGGCCACTTTTCATAAGTCAAAAACGTCTTTAAAGCCTGGTTCAATATGCAAGTCAATGCTGCGGTCGGTTTGGCCTTTAGTATGGAGGTTTGCAGAAACTGTTGCTATTTTGTCCCAGTACAGATCTGGCATGGTCACATGACACTCTCCACAACAGCACCCTATTGTGCTGCTTGGCACATGCACAGGGACCGCAAAGGATTTTTTTTCCTGCTGGAGGGGCCGTCTGTGACAGCTTATGGCCAGCTCCATAAGTTGATAACTTTGTCTTAATGAATACATGGGGAGAACAGGCCATGTTTTGTCAATACACACTGTCATCTATGATAGCTTGGAGTTTTTTGTGGATGAGGTCCCTTCTCCTCTTTGATGGAAAAAGCTGCTCATTCTTCCTGACAAAAAGCCTCCATATCCTGTGACTGGGTTGATTATTTATGAGTTATTTCATAATTTGAAAATAGAAAACCTGTTTGTTTCACAATACATGTCCCCACACAACCTCTAACCATTCATAATCTCCATAATATGACCAAACCAATGAAGTATATGCCTGGATGTGTACACTTTCAAGCACAACTGCTTCTGCGTGTCTGTCTTTGCTCGTGTCTCCTCATGCTCCTGGGCCCATTCCTCTTATCGTCTTCTCTTGTTGTTGTGCACATTTCCTTTACTCTCTCGTCCAACTCTTGTTCCTTTGTGTAACTCTAAAATCTTTCCCGCTCTCCTCTTCCTCTTACCTCTTTGAAAGCCACGAGCTATAAGCTTGGCTCCGCCCCCTCGCAGTACTTCCCGAGAGAGGCAGCCAATCCCAGGCCTCAGAGCCACTCTCTCTCCTCCACTTCCACTGGCTGAGTGTTCATCCCTTCTGGTAAATCTTTATTCGCTTTCCTTTTTTCCTTCAACCAGTCTTTCACGTGTGCATTGTCTATAGATGTGAGATCCTCTGTGTGCGCTCCATTGAAAGCTGATACTTTTCTTGTCTTTCTTTTAAACACACATCTCATCTTTTACAACCTGAACCCTATTTCACCTCAGGCCTTTTTTAAGATGGAAGACAAAACATAGACAGAAACCTGAAGAATGAAATAGGATACTCCAACACTTTTTTTTGCAGTTTTCTTTAGGTTTCTTCAACGAGAGATGTAGCTTTTTTGGTAAATTATCGTAACCATGATGGGTAAGGGTATGTGCGTGTTTTCGCAGACTATAAATAGTGATGGATAAAATGGCTAAAATCCCTTTTCGAAACTTGATATTGTAAATTATCTAAAGGAGACATATTATCTTCGAAAACTAGTTATAACATTGCTCAATGTAGTAGTTTTTAGATTCACACTAATGCCACACACATGTGACTCTGACCTTTCTGCCTCAATGCTTATGTCACAAACCTGGTATATTATGGTGTAATTTTCACCTTATTACATCATCATAAGAGCAAATTAAAAATTAATTTGGGAAATTTCTCAGTTGGAAATATGTTCTCTACAACAACGTGGCACATAGAATATAAGATTAGAATTTGAAAAGAAAAATGTAACACCTACCTCTAGTGGCTGAAGAGGGTAGTACAGGGCCTTCTTTACCCAAAGGTAGAAATAATTTTAATAAATCTGTACTAAAAATGTATTTTACATTTGTAAAACATGAAATGTCAGTGTTGATAGCCTCTTATCATGTGTAACGACCCAAAAAAATGTATACTGTTTTTTTTTATATATATATATATATATATATATATATATATATATATATATATATATATATATATATATATATATATATATATTATGTACGTAAATCACTCTCCAAACAAAGTAAATCTTGGCATTAGCACTTGACAATTTCACTTTTCATCACTATTTATACGTGCACGATTGCTTTGGTTGCTGTGTGAAACCAAAAACAACAATTTGCAAGAACCTTTTGACAAGCCTGTTTTGTAGTGCAGTGCAGATTTTGGGCATTTGCAGCTCATAGTGAATATCATTCATTCTTCAATCTCAAATATGGGTGTTTTTGTTGCAGGTCAAGGAAAGAGCAGGAGGCAGAGTGTGCTGTTTTAGTCCTGGCGGCGCTGCTGTGGACCGATGAGGACAAGAGCGACGAAGCGGTCCGGTCCAGGGTCACTTATTACCTGTCACGTGTCTACACTGAAGGAGAGACCAATGCACACACTATACCCCATATAAACCTATGGAAATGACAGAAATTTAGCTGAAGACTTGATACTTGATAACAATAAACAAAAGAAACACTCACAAGTAGGTTAATCCTCCCTTGCTGCTGCTACTACTGTTGCTGTCCACAAGAGGGCAGTGTTATTACTTGCTGTGAGAAAGCTGTATGAGAAATATTCGGGAAAATTGCAGTCATTGCACCTGAGTACTTTCTGTCCTATTTAAAAGAACCACACAGTCTCTATACATCTCAAAAGACACACCATACACTGTCCAATTGGAGTGTGTGTCTTTTAGAGTTTACATTGATGAACTATTAGCACCTTATTGTTCAGTAGACATCAGGGTGGCTGTCATAACTTACCTCATCCAGCACGAACGTTCAAAATGAAGTTAACCAAAAAAATTAAATACAATGGACATCTACATTACAGTTCATGAAGAAACATGCTGTAAACGCTTGCTTAGCACTTCTGCTTCAAGATTATGTTCACAAGGACACTGCTGCATACTTCTATTTTGCTATCCTTGTAATGTTTTAATGTGCACCTGATTTTACCTCTTTAGACCAAGTAGAAGGCCCAAAAACCTCTTCTGCCTTTTTATGTTTAATCTGTATATATTTGATACAACTTTTTTTGAATTTGGAGTCGTATGACTGAGGACGTGTTGCACATTCCTTAAGCTCAGGACTCTCTGCGATAGTGTGATGATACGAATGCTGTAAGTAAGTCTTCACGTCCTATCTTGCTGGGAAAAAAAAACCTCAAGTTGACTCAAAGTGACACCCAATCAGTCATTTTAGAGCAATCAGATGTAATATTATTTACAGTGGAGATGTCTTAAATATCTTTTGGATGAGTCTGTGGAAGGCCATGGTTGTGGTTCAGGGGGAAATGCTCAATCTCTATTCCTTAAAAGGCTATGTGTTCAGTGGATGCAATAATATTATGTCTGATTGGTGTCATCATACATCTTCTTAATTACAGCCATTTTTTTAGTCTTGCCTATTCTGTCCATTGTGAGCATGTGTCTCGTATCCTCTTGTGCTGAGTTTTGTGAAACACTTACCATCAATGCAATACTCTCCACTAGTTTGCATGTTTTTACTTTTGTACCCACCACGCTGACCTAGTAAAAAGCATTGACAAATCACAAGCGTGCGTAACTTGGTGCTTTGGACAAGAATAATGTTGTTTCGAGAGAGTAAAGTTTCCAAGCTGCCAGAAACAACAGGACCAAAGCTTAAAGCACACGTCTCATAGTTTGTCCATACTGTACTGTAAAAGAAGGTTGTGTTGGTGTTGCAATTGCCCTGATATTGTCACTTCTGCTCAGAAACGTAGTGAATGGAAGAGAAATGCCTTTGTGCCACTGTCATTCTCTTAAAGCCACAAAAGAAATCCATGTACCTATGTAATACAATCCATGTTTATAGTTACAGGCACTAAAATAAGTTTGTTCTTCCATAATTTTGACATGCATGTATTATTGGCCTTTGTCACATCTTTAGATCAGAAAGTGAAAACGAGAGGACCACCATCACTCAGCTCTGTCCAAAAAACAAACAATGACCCTCAGAGATATTTTTCAGAAGTTTGCAAAATAACATGTTTTGTAATGATGGGAAGAATCTCTATTGAGGCAAACAAAATGTATTATTTATGACTAAAAAGCATCTGAGATTTAAGTCAATATACAGGTGGAATTTGGTAAACTAGAATATCTTTCATGAGTCCATTTACTTCTGTAGTCAAGCCTTGATTTGTTATAATAATTATTTTGTAATTATCATTGAATATTTGTCCTTTTATTTGTGTTTTTTTACAGTGGCATGAATACATTTCTTTACTGTTTGATTAAATGGATGTCTTGTTAATAACCCAGAGTGTCACAGTATGTAGCATGTCAAAGAGAAAGCCCTCACTTTGTTGTAAATACTGTATAGGTTTGATACTGCTGTTCTTGCTTTCATTTGATTGAGATATCATAGCAATATTTCTATAAGAAGTTAAGAAGCCATGGTGATGTGAGGATTGGATTTGAAAGAATATGACTCTGTGAATGAGTGAATTGTGAAACTAGACTAAATAATGATTAGATACATGCTTGATCCAAAAGGCTGGACTGGACTTTATGTTGCAAAGAAGAAACAAACACTGATTTTGTTTTTTAATTTTTTTACCAATGAAAGCCATATGGTCATAAGCAGGTCTGCGGATTATGTGGGAGAAAGAGGGTCACATCTGAGCACAGACCTAATAAAGCAAAATGAGGTGTAAACCTATTTCAAAACAATGTTGTGATGTTTGTCTTTTTTTAAAGTCTACTTTTACGGATAAAGTGCGATTGTGGGACAACAAATGCAAAGGATAGAATCTGTGTTCAGTAACATACACTGCCCCAACCTTTAAAAACAATTAAATAAAATTCTATATGCATTGTGTTAAACTTTATTAAGTCGGACACATTAGGCACTATTTTAACACTACTACATATGCAGAAAGTCAGATATAGGTACTTCCCATAATAACCCATAGATGGCAAAATATATTGGGATAATCAGTTGTGAATAGCAGATAAATTAGGTCTTATTTGGACAAATCAAGCAAACCATTTGTCTGGTCAAGATCTAATGATTATAAAGGTTGTCATAGTTTTCAAACAAATATCACATATCAATTAGGTTGGATATATATCAATCAACTTCATTCAACTTTTATCTGTAGAGTTTCTTTCCTACACAAGGCAAAAGAAAGCGCCTCACAACCCATATCACATCAGGCATAAATCATGAACATAAAAATCTACATACACATTAAAAAATATGATTACAAACATTAGATCACAAGAAATATTAAAAACATGGAAAATAAAATCACACAAAACATTAAAATCATCAGAAATATATTTAGCCACATTGCATCTAAAAGAGTTAAATCCTTCGGTTGTATGCACCGCTAAACAGAACTGTTTGTAGGATTTGAAAACTGCCAGAGTAGACACCTGTCTCACATTTTCAGGAAGATTGTTACAGGTTTTAGCTGCACATATATGACAAATACACAATATTACATGCTTGGAGGACTATTGTATTTCAGCAGTTATGTAAAGCAATAAAACAGTATATTATCATTCCTTGATGGATTCTTTAGGAGACACTCTCTTGCTGATGGAGGATGCAGCAGTCTCCCCCTCTGACAGCTGTAAGTCTGAGGCCCAGGGGTTCCAGCCACATAGGATCGCAGGGACGGCATAATTTCGAAACTAGAGGAACAAAAACACATTAAAGAAATCGTATTGAAAAATATAATAAATATACATTAAATAAACATGTTTTTCTGCCAAGGCTATGGCTAGGGCTAAATCTGATGTAAGCTCCATGTGGGACTTTAGGACTAAACTACAACAAAAGGGACGGTAAATGAAATGTGGTTAAGAGGTGAGCGTTTATCCCAAATGAATCCTAGTTAAATACATGCACAAATCAAGAGCGTACTTGAACTTTCAAACCACAAAATTAACAGTAATAAAAGTCAAAGTCACTAGTTCCTGGCTCTAAAACAGTTTGGTTCTATCAATATAGTTTTCACACACATATCTTTTTTGGCATATCTTTTGATCAGTGTTTTCCAACAGAAATGTCAAACATTTCTTAGCCAAAAGAGGATTTCATTAAAAGTATGCAAAAGAAAAAAAAAAAATTCTAGTATGATGAAGACAGCAAGTTGGGATCTGATTTGTCCAGGAAATTTTACTTTTACAAGATTTTGTTTTGAAGAACATGTTATTTATGGAAAAGATAGGTACCCCAGCTTTAAATCAAGTATAATCTTATTTTCGGTCAGAGTTTGCAGTGTTGGCAGATGGTGCTTGCCTGTCTGTTCATGAAGATGTAGATGATGGGGTTGTAGACTGTGCTGCTCTTGGCTAAGAACACAGGGATGGTGGCTATGACTGGGTCGATGTACAGGGAGGGCACCAGGATCACAGCCAGGGCCATGGACGCGTACGGCAGCCAGGTCACCAAGAAGGACAGCACCATGACCACCACCATGCGGGCCACTTGCATCTGGACACGCTGAGTACTGCCCCCCGCTGACACCTGCAGCTTACTCACCTGCAGCATGTCGTTTTGATATCAGCATGAATACAATGGTGTAAAGAAAACATTATTACTATCATCAGTTCATTGTAAAATTCATGGATTACACATTTGTTGTCGCTAATATTATTCCGCTCCACTCTTTCAAAAGCAAAGCAGGAGCGACTACAGCAAGTACCATCAATAAGTACCAGCATTCTAGTTCTAAAAGGTCTTCTCTGTGCCACTGATAAAGTATGTGATCATGCTAATTGAACCATCGAGGAATCTACACAACTGTTTGAAAAAGATGGGTCTGAAGCATACAATGATTCAAGACTAGCTCAAGTAACTGAGGATGTGTTCACACTTGTTGGACTGATTCACTTAACTGATCCAAATTATTCACACGTGTGTTTTAAAAAATGTAAATTGGCTTAAGAGAATGGAGGACTCATATTCACTCATCTGGCAGTTTTACATCCACTAATAAAGCATTTTGTGATCCCGTGCTGCAAGAAGATGTTTTGTATAAATGTGATCTACATTCACTCAATCACATAATTGTAAATAATTATTGTAAAATAATGGTTTTTCAGGCTATAATATTTGCCCCAGGTCACCCAGAATTAGCCCACCATTCCAAATGAACCATACCAACCAGTGTGAACGCACCCTGGATTGTCTTCCCAGCACTGAGAGGTTCACCTGGTGCAGCGTCCACAGCAGCCGTGTGTAGGACAGCATGATGATGGAGAAGGGCAGAGCGAAGCAGAGCAGGAAGTACAAGATGATGTAGGACATGTTGCCCCCGTCCCGGCCATTCCAGTTGGGGGCACAAGAGGTCCTGATGCCCTCCAACTCATAACTGCCCCACCCAAAGAGAGGGGGGGTGTTCCAGATGAAAGACCAAACCCAGGACAGCACCACGCCGGCAACAGCATGTCTGTATAAGAATAGCATGTGCATGTTATTCAAACAACAAACACTGAGACAGGATCCACCAACCACTGGCTTCAGGTGAGACTGATAGAAAGAACCTCTTCACCATCATCTACTTCTCTGATGTAGGCGTAATACTAAACAATCTGTGATGAGTGACAAACGTACCTGGTTTGGAACAGCACTGATCCCATAGGGTAACACACCACGACAAAGCGTTCGACTGAAATCACTGCTACAGTGCATAAACTTGCTATTCCTATAGAGAACACAGCCATTTAAATCACATATTCATGGTATTTACCAAAACTATTGCTTGTGATCGACTCACCAAAGAAGGCCACAGCAAAACCCTCTATGACACATCCAGCCTGTCCCAAGCTGAAGTGTCCCATAGCAGTGGTTATAGTTGTGGGTATACCTCCAAAAAGAGAACAGCCCAGGTCACAAATGGCCAAGTTAACCAAAGCATAACTCAAGGGCTGTCTTAGTTGTCTGTATTTCATTGTTACTACAATGACCAAAACATTAAGAATGACCCCTGAGACTGAGAAGAGGCCCATTATAGTTGCAAGTAGCCTGTATCCAGTTGGAGACAAAAATGGTGTGTGGTCTGGCACATCAGAAGTATTTGCATGGAGAATCATTTTGCGGTTCCAAAAATAATAAAAACAAAGTTTTCAAAAAATCTTTTCTTGAAGAAAACAATAATAATCAGGCCTCATGTACACACAAACAAGCAGTGGCCTCCCTTACTCACAGCTGTCCCTGTGCATGGCCAATCTGTGTGGTTGATTAAGAAGGACCCCTCTAAACCTTGCAGAGAGGAGGGACTGGGATTTAAGATCACCATTTAATTGTTGAAAAGCAAATCCGGGATTGTACAGGCATAATTCTGTCCAATATCTTGTAAGACTGCACTTTCCATGATTAGCAGAGGCTTTACATGTGGTGGTGCTCCAAATGGTACAGTGTGGGCTTTAGGTTCAAGTATGTGAAGGTAATGTTTTATTTAAATGACAAATTATATAAGCTGTAGGTTGAGTTCCAAGCCTGAGTTGAATAGCACTCTGAATAACACGCCTACACTTTTCTATTATACAAAGGTATGAGTAAAGGTAAGTTCAGAGTATAGGTCTAGAACTCCTTTGGTGTAACTCACAAGTAGTTTGTGACTGTATTCAGATTAGTAGTTGATAAGTAGTGTAACGCATTACTTGACACAGACAGTGAGGCTGCTCACTAAACACCTAAAACATATATGTCTGATATTGATGTTTACAGTTTAATCACTTATTAGTTGTTTACCGCCAGTAAACAACGTGAGACGCGAAGAACATGAACAAATGTTGTTTTCTCTCCCTCATCCATAGACTTGTATATATTAACATTATATACAGTCTATGATATTAACCCTCATCGCGTCTCTCCCTCCTGTGCCAGATTTGTTGTTGGGATTATTAAAAGATTATCTTATCTTAATATGTGAACGTTATTACATTGGCGAATTAATGCTATCTTATTATTATTATTATTATTAATAATCTTTATTAAGGACACAATAATCTTATCAGTATAAAGAATGTAAATCTGATTTATGTCAGTGCCTTCCGAACATTGTTTGGTCAAATGTGTTACATCTCCCTGTCAGCAGGGGGCGCTCCTCCCTCTCTCTGCTCGGGCTGTGACTGTAAACAGGAAAGATGGCGGCCTCCGTGAGGAGAGCTGCGCACGACATCGAGACTCGAACCCGGAGCGAGGACGTGGTGCTCGGGGTGAACATCAGCTTCAGCTCTCTGCTCCTGTCCGCGCCTGTGCTCCAGGGCCTGTCCTCCGCGGGCTTCCAGAGGCCCTCCCCCATCCAGCTCAAGGCCATCCCGCTGGGCCGCTGCGGGCTCGGTGCGCCACGCTCATTCATGTTATTAAAGCCTCTCAGCTTCAGAATCCCAATATACATCATCAGCTTTTTGATCTTTTTTGTCAAGCATGAAGACGTGCGTTTACCGTGAATGTCAAACATATATTCCGTTTGTCTATTCCGCGTAGAATGTTTGATATTAACTTTCCACTTCCTAAAGTTACTTAGTTTTGTTAACGTATCTCAAGTCTGTTCTGTTCTTCTACGTCCGTTTCTTTTCATAATGCCTTCTATCTTTCTTGTATTTTTCAGATTTGATTGTCCAGGCAAAGTCTGGTACTGGGAAAACATGTGTTTTTTGCACCATTGCCCTGGACTCCTTAATATTGGAGAATCCAGCCACACAGGTAAAGATGACTAAAAAAGTTAAGTTGTAAGTGAGGTAAAGATGTTTCCACAGCTATGTCTCAGTTTGGAGAGCAGGATCAAACTGAAAAATTAAATACATAAATCCAGGATTTACTGTATAACAGGTGCGTCAGAAAACCAATGGAGACCTATTTGTTGTGGGTTCGAACACCACGACCCATGTCACCTGCTCCCACTGATGTCTGCTGTCGTTGTGGCCCTGAGCAAGACACTTAACCCCACATTGTCTGAAGCCCCCACTGAAAGATAAAGGCCATCTCGTTGATGACGGAGAAGCCATCATCCTGTGGACTCACCACCTGCAGGAGGTTCAGCGAGGCACTGGTGCTAAGAGACTTGGGTGGCAGCTCTGATTGCCACGCCCCGACCCAGAAATGCAATAATAAAGGGGTAGAAAATGACATCATGACATAATATAATTGGTATTTATTATATTCAAAATCATTATTCTTTTGATACGAATATCTAGTGATAACATTATCTAGGAGATTTCCATAATTTCCATAAAGTTGTTTTGTCACGTTGCACATCATTTACATTAATTAAGTGTCAGTTAACGTTTTACTTGTTAATCAAGGCCGTTTGTTCGTTCAACAGGTTCTGGTCCTGGCGCCAACACGGGAGATAGCTGTGCAGATTCACTCAGTGGTGATGGCGATAGGCTGTGCCATGGAGGGGCTTCAGTGCCACGTGTTTATTGGAGGCAGGCCTGTGGCTCAAGACAAAGCACATCTGAAAAAGTGCCACATTGCAGTTGGCTCACCAGGTACAAGCAGAGAAATATGAAGATAATAAAAGATGTATGACCATCTAGTATAATGCCTTGTGTCTGCCTTGTCCACAGGTCGCATCAAGCAGCTTATTGAGTTGGGCATGTTGTCTACAGCTAGCATCAGATTGTTTGTCCTGGATGAGGCGGACAAACTGCTGGAGGAGGGAAGCTTCCAAGAGCAGATAAAGTAATATGTCTACCACACCCTAGCATGATGTATACATATACGTACAGTATTTATATATCTCTTACTACACCAGCCTTTTTTCTCTAAAACAATTCAAAAATGTTGGAAAAATTAAAACAGAATATATCTCAATCTGTTTGGAGCACAAACAAATGACTGGACTCACTGTGAAGCTGAGGCCTTTTAGTTTTGACCTTTGATGACTCACTTCGTCTAATTTATGGGGAACAAGCTCTGGACAAAGAAAAATCAGTCCTCCTTAATTTGTGATGATAAAGGAGGGTATAGCTGGTATGCCATTTGTACTCTCACTCCACACAGAGATGGAAGCGGGGTCGCCGAACAGGAGGCGCATGCCAGAACTATTGTACATATTTTTAGTGGTAGGGGAAACCGGAGTACCCGGAGGAAACCTACGCAGACACGGGGAGAACATGCAAACTCCACTCAGAAAGGCCCTGGTCCGGCCGGGATTCGAACCCAGGACCTTCTTACTGAGAGGCGAGAGTGCTATCCACTCAGCCACCGTGCCGCCCACTTTGGCAGATGTAATAAAGCAAAAAGACCCTTATAAGGTCCCACATGTTGGGACTATATTTTGTTTGTGAGTTTGGAGTTCAAACTGTACCAGGTTCATCACAGAATGTTTAATTTGACTTTGAATAATAGGGACGCATCTTTTTCACATTTCCAGGGTTTTGATAGAGGGGAGGCAAAAAATACAAAAATAGAGTAAAACCCTGCATAGGCACATCTGTAAGGTATTAAACTGAATTTCTTCTGCCCAGCTGGATCTTCTCCTCTCTGCCCGTGACCAAACAGATGCTTGCTCTTTCTGCCACCTACCCAGAGTCTCTCGCTCAGCACCTCACACGCTACATGATCGATCCCACTTTTGTCAGACTCAACCCTACCGACATGGGTCTCAAAGGTAACCTGACAACTGAACATGCTTGTGCTGGAGTTTAGATTCCAAGTATGTATCTGTAAGTAACTGTGACTCTTGCAGGTTTAAAGCAGTATTACAAGCTGGTGCAGAGTCACGCTTTGAATCACAAGATTTTTGAAGAGAAGGTGCAACACTTACTTGAGCTTTTCAGTAAGATTCCCTTCAACCAAGCGCTGGTGTTCTCCAACCTCCACACAAGGTTTGTACAGCGGTTATGCATCATACGGTCTCGCACAACCTCACAATGCACTTTCAAATCTGTTTGTTTTTGTCTCCCAGGGCTCAACATTTGGCAGATATCCTGTCCTCTAAAGGCTTGCCTTCAGTCTGCATTTCAGGTGAGTGTCTTTTTGATTGTACATAATAAATCTTGCACTAAAGAGACTTTCTTCTCACGTCTTTTGCACAACCTGATAATATTTATGCCAAATGTGACATGTACATTTCTCCATTGTGAGATCAATATCTTGATCTGTCTGCTCATCTTATCTTTCTTCCATTATGTTTTACGTTATGTGGCTGTCAGTGGACTTGACATCGGTCTCGATTACTAACACATCAGAATCAGAATCAGAATCATTTTTATTGCCACGTAAGTAACAGGAGGTCACAGACTAGGAAATTGCTTTGGCTCAGTGCAACAGTCAAAAAGAGATAATAAAAATAAGAATAAAAAACACTTCTAAAGAATAAATTTAAATTTAAAATAGAGTTACAGTTACTATTTACAATATACAAGTGCACATGGTGCACACAATGTAAGGTGACAGCAGTACAGTGAAGTAAAGTGACGTATGATGGGCAGTAAAGTGACTTTATAAAGGGCGGGGGGACAGGTTAAGAAGTGTTCAAGAGTCCAACAGCAGAGGGGAAGAAACTGTTCTTGTGGCGGGAGGTTCTAGTCCTGATGGACCGCAGCCTCCTGCCTGAGGGGAGTGGTTGGAATAGTCCATGTGCAGGGTGAGAGGGGTCGGCTGTGATACGACCAGCCCGGCCTCGAGCTCGGGCGACGTACAGGTCCTGCAGCGATGGAAGGCTGCGGCCGATCACTTCCTCTGCAGAGCGCACAATGCGCTGTAGTCTCTGTTTGTCCCTGACTGTGGCTCCAGCGAACCACACGGTGACGGAGGAGGTGAGGATGGACTCGATGATGGCCGTGTAGAACTGCACCAACATCTGTGCAGGCAGCTTGGCTTTCCTGAGCTGCCGCAGGAAGTACATCCTCTGCTGGGCCTTCTTGATGAGGGAGCTAATGGTCGGCTCCCACTTGAGGTCCTGGGTGATGGTGGTGCCCAGGAAACGGAAGGACTCCACAGAGGTGATGGGGGAGTCCATCACGGAGGGTGGGGGCGGGGGGACAGTGCTCTTCCTGAAGTCCACAATCATCTCCACTGTCTTCTGGGCGTTCAGCTCCAGGTTGTTACCACTGCACCAGGACACCAGCCGGTCCACCTCCCTCCTGTAGGCGGACTCATCGTTGTTGGAGATGAGTCCAATGAGGGTGGTGTCGTCCGCGAACTTGATCAGCTTCACGGAGTTGTGGCTGGAGGTGCAGTGGTTGGTGTACAGGGAGAAGAGCAGGGGAGAAAGAACACAGCCCTGTGGGGCTCCTGTATTTATAATCCGAGAGTCCGAGACATTCTTCCCCAGACGCACTCGCTGCTTCCTGTCCGTCAGGAAGTCAGTGATCCACCTGCAGGTGGAATCGGGCACGTTGAGCTGGGAGAGCTTGTCCTGGAGCAGGGATGGCAGGATTGTGTTGAAGGCAGAGCTGAAGTCCACGAACAGGACCCTGGCGTAGGTCCCCGGGGAGTCCAGGTGCTGTAGGATGTGGTGGAGGGCCAGGTTAATGGCGTCGTCTACAGATCTGTTGGCTCTGTAGGCGAACTGCAGGGGGTCCAGGAGGGGGGAGGTGAGGGACTTGAGATGGGAGAGAACCAGGCGTTCAAATGACTTCATGACGACAGACGTAAGTGCTACAGGTCTGTAGTCATTGAGTCCTGTGATCCTGGGCTTCTTCGGGACGGGGACAATGATGGAGGATTTGAAGCAGGCCGGGACATGGCAGGACTGCAGAGAGGAGTTGAAAATGTCAGTGAACACAGGAGTAAGCTCACTGGCGCAGTGTCTCAGAGTGGCCGGAGACACGTGGTCCGGGCCAGGAGCTTTGCGGGGGTGCAGCCTCAAGAAGAGTTGTTTAATCTCTTTAGCGGCTATTGTTTGGCTGGGGGCAGGGCTGATGGGTGGGTCGTTAGAGTAGTGGGGGGTGGGGGAGGGAGAGGTGTCAGGGGCAGCATCAAAGCGACTGAAAAATAAGTTCAGTTCGTCAGCTAGCTTGTGGTCATCAGCACAGGGGGGGGCTTTGGGTTTGTAGTTGGTGATCTCCCGTAGGCCCCTCCAGACAGAAGCAGTATCGTTGTTACCAAACTGCTCCTGTAGTCGTTCTCTGTGCCGGGACTTGGCTGCTTTCAGTTCTTTCCTGAACTGATATTTAGCTGCTTTGTAGCCGCTGCGGTCCCCCTCCCTGAAAGTAGACTCCTTTGCTTTCCTGAGCTGCCGGAGTTTAGCAGTGAACCAGGGTTTGTCATTGTTATAGATGACCCTGGTCCTTGTTGGAATGATGCTATCCTCGCAGAAGTGAATGTATGACGTCACAGTGTCCGTGTATTCATCCAAACTATCTGTGGCAGCTCTGAAAAGGTCCCAGTCTGTAGATTCCATGCATGCGCGCAGCTCTTCCACAGCTTCATCAGACCACACTTTGGAGCTCCTCACTGCAGGTTTTGAGAGCTTTAGTCTCTGTCTGTAAGCAGGAACCAGATGTATCATGGAGTGATCTGAGAAGCCGAGGGCTGGCTTGGGAACAGCGCGAAAAGCTCCGCGCACGGTGGTGTAACAGTGATCCAGAGTGTTCTCCTCTCTGGTCGGGCATTTGATAAACTGTCTGTATTTGGGTAATTCCTGGCTCAAGTTTCCCTTATTAAAATCCCCCAGGATAATAATCAGAGAGTCCGGGTATAAACGTTCCATACACAGTACTTGCTCTGCAAGTGCGCGCTGAGCCTCGCGCGCGTCCGCGCATGGCGGTATGTAAACAGAGGCAAGAATGAATGAAACAATTTCGCGCGGGGAGTAAAATGGTTTACAATGGATGAAAAGATATTCCAGAGCAGGAGAGCAGTGCTTGGAGATCACTGTCACATCGTTACACCAGTTTGTATTGACGTAGAAACACAGCCCTCCGCCTCTGCTCTTCCCTGAAAGCGCACAATGGCAATCCGCGCGGAACAGCCCAAAGCCCTGCAGCTCCAGAGCGCAGTCCGGGATCCGCTCATTTAGCCAGGTCTCAGTGAAGCAGAGGACACAGGATGTGGCGAAGTCCTTGTTTCTTCTCATGAGCAGGCTGAGTTCGTCCATCTTATTGCCCAGTGAGCGTACGTTGGAGAGAAAAATGCCGGGGAGAGCCGTGCGCGCTCCTCTCCTCCTAAGACGCACGAGCAGGCCTCCGCGCTTTCCCCTTTTACGGGCCCACACTTTTTTGGCTAGAACATGAACCAAATCAGCCGCAGATGCCAAGAAAACAGGCAATAGGTCCATGGGAACGGTGGGTCGGATGTTCATAAGTTCCCCACGGGTGTAACACTGTACTGTTGTGACTTGGGACTCTTGCCTTTACCTGCAGGAGGACTTAGCCAGGACCAGAGATTGGAAGCAATGTCTAAACTGAAGCAGTATCAGTGCAGAGTGCTCATCTCCACTGATTTGGTAAGACTTTTCTTGCACCACTTCTGAGATAACATCATGTTTGTAATTGTATTAATTTATTTGATTTTTTTTCCAGACTGCCAGAGGTATAGATGCCGATAAAGTGAACTTAGTCATAAACTTGGATGTCCCGCAGGACTGGGAAACCTATATGCATCGTATTGGACGGGCTGGACGCTTCGGTAAATTTGCCCCCCTACACTTTTTCATTATCCCCAAAGTCCTTGGCCCTGCCGCATCCTAATCCATGATTTAATTCTGTAATCATAGTAGTTGGAAAGTCCCCTTAGCTGAATAAAACACACCTTGTCATATCTGTTAAATATGTAGTTCATTGATGTTATTACATTTCTTTTTAAATGCCTACATTACCTTTGGCTGGATTAGCTTCACCGTATTTAAGTGGAAGTAGATTGTACTTTTGTAGAAAGGTCAATAGCTTCCTCATCACCATGGATTTAATTATAATTACAGAGAATTACAATGACTTGGAAACTCAATTCAATCCAGGCCCTGAAAGGCTGTGCACAACCGTCTCTTTGTTAAAGCCCACTGCTATCTTTTTTTAGGCACTCAGGGTCTGGCTGTTACCTATTGTTGCCATGGAGAGGAGGAGAATAAGATGATGGCGATTGCTCAAAAGTGCTGCTTGAGTTTGTCTGTGTTGCCCTGTAAGTACCATTTTAATTTCTGCTGAAAAATGACTCCGATTAGGGGTAGGACATTGACACACCCTGCTGCTCCGACTGAAGCAAAGATCTTTATACGTTTTGTTGATGGGATGACATTTCGAGTGTTGGGCATCTCATCATGCTTAAAGCTGGGGTACTTCGCTTCCCACCCACAAACAATTTGACATTAAAGTCCATGTAACTCATTTGTCCCTCTCTAAACGGTCTGCTTCTATCACTAGTTTTCACATGCCTGCATTTTTATGGCCCTGTCACAATTTAGTAGAAATAAGTAGCCCAGTTTTAACAAAAACAAAGGAATTCTTTTAACAGTCTTTGTTGATGCTTAGTTCAGCCCTCCTCAACTCTGCAGAGATGCTAGGAAAGCAGTTATTCTGGGCAAATTCCCCTTCCCTAATTGCTACTCAAGTGTCCATTTGTGATTTGCAGCCTCCCTGGAGCCCAGTTTAATGGAAGAAGCCTGTGACTGGGATGTTTGCACCGAGGCTTCCAATGCAGACGTTCCGGTTTTCCCAAAGACAGAGAAAAAACCCAAAACCCGCAATAATCTTCAGCAGAAAGAGACCTCGACCAAAAGAAGGGTCACTGAGGAAAGGCCCAAGCACAAACTCTGTGATGTGGATGGCGACTCCGGCTTTTCCTCCCAAACGCAGACTGTAGTGAGTCAAAAACCACCTGAAATACGTCATTTAGACAATCAAAAACGGACTCGCAAAGAACAAGAAGAAGCTCTGCCCAAGATCCCTCCTCTGAGCTCCTTTAAGACCTGTAATTCTAAGTTTGTAACATTAGGGGAAGCTGAGCGGGACTTTCATAACTTCATTACAAAAGGTTTGGGGAGGACCGTAGAGGTGATCAGACAGTATGGCGGGAGAGACGAGGGCAGCTCAGAAGACTTCCAGGGATATACAGAGACGTTTACCCTTAATGACAATAGCGGGAAGAGCGTTGAAGCTAGTGAATATAGGAAGCAAATAAGGTCACCCTCTGTATCGTCAAGTTCCCAGTCTGACGAGGAGGAGAATGACTTAACAGGTAATTTAGACGAAAAGGAAGACAAACCTTTAGCCATCATGTCCCCAAGTGTGGACAAACTAACTTCTGTCAAACCAAAGGGAGGTTTACACCCTTATGGCGTTTGCAATTCCTCTTCAAATTTGGAAAAAGACATCGGCAAAGATTATAGTAAATCAAATTGGCGAAAGGACAAATCGGCTGCAGAAGGGACGGACCAAACCAAATTTAGAAAGATCAAAAAAGAAATAGAGAAACAAAAGCAAACCAGTTCAGGGCGTAATAATAAAAGGAGGAATATAGCAGCTGAAGTTGAGGAGGAAGAAGAAGAAGAGGAGGAAGAAGAGGGGGAGGAGAGCAGCGCTGACAGTTATTGGAGGATGTGGAGCAGCTCGTGGGATCAGTACCACCCTCGTCAGCAGCAGGCATACTACAGTGCAGCTCAGTGGATGGCTGCATATAGAATGAATGCTGTCTATATAGAAGAGCTCCTAAAGTATTAACTGTACTCTGAAGAGGGCAGGACTTCATTGTTTTTGTTCAATAATTTGACACTTTTGCAATAAATTGTGTATGCATCAATGTGTGTGCATGTAGTCATTGTTGTTCTATTTCTGTCTATGGCATTATGAAAATGAGAGGAGAGATATAATACATACCATTATTTTTGTTATATATTTATGATGTCTTGTTTTCACAGGACTTTGAAGGTTAGACAAAGTTAGAAACCTCTCCTCGTGATTACAAGCGTCCTGTCGTCCTCTAATCAGCACAAGTGGACACTTACAGTTTAACCATAGAATGTGGTCCTTTAGTCAAATTAAGGATGGAAAGACTATTTGTGTCCGTGGGCAGAGGATAATAGAAAAGCAGTACTCAGACCATGGGTCATGGGTGGAATGACACAATCCTGCATCTGAAGCCTTGGGAAGAGAATGCTTTTCTTGTTTTTAACTGCATTATTTTGAGCCTGTCGTTTATTTTCGGCTTGCCTGGAAACCTGTGGGTTTGTTGGGTGGTTTTCCGGACCAAAAGTCTACAAACATGTAACAATGCTCTGTTGGTGAGTCTTGCGGTCAGTGACCTGCTGAAGTGCTCTGTGGACACCCCTCTACTGCTCTTCTCTTTCCTGCACTATGACAACGGCGCGGTCCCCCCTGTGTCCGTCTGCACGCTCCAACAGTTCACCTACGCGCTGTGCAGCTGCGTCCAGCTGCTGACGCTGCTCAGCATCAGCGTGGAGCGCTTCCAGGCCATCGCCTTCCCCTTCCAGACGGACAAGAGGAGGATGCGTGTCCGTCTGTGGATCATGTCTATCTGGGCTTGGGGCGTGTTCCTGGCTCTGGTCTCGCTAATGTTGTCTAAAAACGCACTTTTCTACATGCTCTGTCGGCCACATATGATGTGGGCCAACAAGGAGCACGTCCAGTACTCAGATCCGTTTGGACCCTTTGTCCTGGTACCTGTGTGGGCCATGTCTTTAGTCGTCATTATCGTTCATTATATTCGCATTTTTCAAGTTGTCAGGCGACACAGGAAGAAAGTGTTCAACTGCGGCGTCCAGCTGCGACCGGCCGTGTCCGTGCGTGTGTGGGGCATGCTCAGCGCGCCTCTGCACAGCGGCCCCAACAGGTCTCTGCCCGCGGTGTCCGCCTGCAGCCCGCCCCTGGCTCACAGCGGGCCCCCTGGGGGTCTCAAGGCTCCGGAGATAGTGGGTGCGGTCTGTCTGCTCACGCCGGGCGCACGGGAGCAGGGCAAGAAGCACATGGAGGGGAGACTGGCTCAGCGCTTTGGATACATCATCATCGCCTTCACGCTCTTCTGGGTCCCGATCGTAGTCGTTCTGCTGATGCACGTCTTCTCTTGGCAGGACACAAGCACAGTGAGTCGGCATGTGTTCTGACCCAATGTATGGCCTCTTTCCATATAATTTTCAGTTGTCATCATTCAACACACATAATTTGCCTCCCTCTTTATTGAACAAAAGCATTTCCCTTTAATGTAAGGCCTTGGCCCATGTTAGTTAAACTTGAATATTCATCTACATTATTATTATTTTTTTTAAATCATATAGTCAAAGCTTTTAGACGAGTCTGGAGCACGTTTAAAAGCTGTGGTAGCTAATATTGTTTAATAAATCATGCATTTTAATTTTCCCAACCGAAAGATTCTTGTAAAAATAATCAGACCACAACATGCTGTCTTCATCGTATTTTAAAACATCCTTTCATACTTCAGAAGCTGATCTAAATGTGTAAAAAAATATTAATTTTGAAAATTAGTGATGGAACCAAACGGCTGTAGATGATTTTAAAAGTTGAATACCCCAGCTTTAATGCATACAATCGCAAGCAACAAGCCTATTCATTTTTATTGCCCCTTGGGGATAAATAAAGTGATTGATTGATTGATTGATAATTTATGAATTACCCCTTTATTTCCCAGACCCTGCTGGAGCTGGAGACCTCTGCCGTGGTCCTGACTTGTATCCAAGCTGCTGTGGACCCCCTCATCTACACACTGGTCACACGGCAATTTCGCTCCGAACTCAGCAAGATCCTCTCCTCCCTACCCGCCTGCCACACCAAGGTGTAGCTTTGCAACACTCATGGATGCTTTATACCTTTGTGTTGAGGTCAAATGAACCAGACCTCCCGAAAAAACATGGAGACAAGGTCAGGACCCACAGACTCAAAATGTGTGGCAGATATTGATGTTTTATCAGGCGCTTCACAGTCGGGACACAAGACAAGGTCATAAATAATATCCAACACCTGACAAGATACGCACAGCAGTAGTCTGCACAACGACAGGTGCATAAGAGGGAAAAGCAAAAGAGTGAAGGAAACTGTCAAAGGAGGACAATCAAAGGAGCACAGAACACAGAGACAATTAATACAAGTATACAGACTTCTGTTGCTAAATAATAACACAGTTCTTTGACACTGAGTAAAAAGATGGGTACAGAATATTTCATAGTCTGTTATTGAAGAGACACAACATGGCGCATCTTGAAACAGGGAAGTAAGAAATGAAATCCTTGTAATCACAGTCCAGAAGACAAAGTGAATCTTGTTTCATACCCTGTTATTTGTCTGAAATGTTACGCAGCCATTTTAAAAGTTTGATATGTGCTTGTCTATTTCGTGATACTTAAACGTGTCATACCAGTTTCCCATTTAGAATAATAAAATATGAATATTAATGAATTGCCACTAGTCTGAGATCTAGCATCATCAGCATTATGGCTACAGGATAACATATTTGTCTAATCTATATTTTACGACTAACACCATATTGTTTGTATAATTGACTATATACGTTGGCTACTTTTGTTTGATATACAATTAGGTTAATTTCATTTATTGCTTAGAATGAATTAGAATGACTGATAATGGAGAGCTGCTATTGTGGTGCATCTGGAGTCTGAAGAGGCTGTGCTTACATCTCAGGTTGTTGCTGTGTCTGCCGGGCTACAGCTGTTCTTGAACGCAATACTGAGACCAAAAAGGACGTCGCACACATAAAGAGGGCGACAGAAAGTAGCCCTCGATGACATTTAAGATGAAAAGGCCGACAAAGAGCCATTAAATAGCCATGTGAGTGCTAAAAGGTCAGTGTTCATTGTTACAAAGGTCAACTTTCAGGGCTGTGATAAGAGACATATGGAGCGATCTGCGCAGGACATACTCAGGCAAAACATTACGACCACCAGCCTAATGGTGGAATGGATGTGTGTTATGCCTCATTATGATTAATTTGGAAGCCAATCAATCCCTACAAAATAAGTTTTCCATCAGCATTTTCAGTTACAGGTATAGTTTGTCTGTTGGAAGTGGTGATGATCCAGGACACTCAACATTCAAAAACATTTATGGACATTTATCAACACTTATGGACCAATACAGATGTGTTTTCTGTTATATTTCTAGTTTGATTCTCTGATCTGTGTTGGCGAATTCAACGGTTGTGTGAAGTCCTCTGAGATAACTACTGTTGTGATTTAGGACTATACAAAAATAAATTGAATTGATTTGAATTGGAAGGCAACTTTTACAAACTCAACCTCATCATGCTGAGACAGGGGACCCAGGGAAGACACTGACCCCTGCAAGGACCCCGACGCCAAGCAAAGGATGACTTATCACAGTAAGATTGTCCAAGATGTATTAAATGAATAAAACAAAGATAAAAACTAAACATAATTTACTGTGCTTAACAGTTTAACTAACTATAATGATAAAACAATACAGTTCTGGTCATCTTACTGTTATGCCTGTTTGGCCATTCTGTTATGTTTGTCCCGCTCCGCAGACTTCCCTGCTTCAAGTTCTCCAGAAGAGACAAGTGAAACAAAAAGAAACCTTAAAGAACACCAAATAGGACTTAAAGTACAAACATCAAGTTTTCCTAACCACATAGTTTACATATACTCAACAACTCTGAAAAATGCCCGCTGAGATCTTAAGGAAGAAAGAGTCAACAGCAAAGACTACTGAAAGCAAACTGTGCACACAAGAGGTAGGGACAGGACGGCTACAACAGAGAAGAGAGAGGACGGCTTTTCTAGCTCTGCCAAACAATGGTCAAATATTACAAAATAGTCTATTAACAATATTCACAATAATTCAGGCTCAGAACATATTTGTGTCAGAAATTCTCAGCAGTTGCCTTGTGCTTTTTCTATTTGTATGGTTTGACTCCAAAATATACATATATATACTTTATTCATATTTTTGGTTCTAAGGTTGAGTAGGTCAAGGGTTGTAGGAGGGATATTCAGAAATAAAATCTTTCTAAAGCAATAAGTCTCTTCACTGATACAGGCACATGTCGTGTAAAAAGGCTTTTGGCTGAGAATTTTTGACAGAAATGTGCACAAAGAGCCCTTTAGTGTGGCAGCTAGTTAAATTTACCATACACAGAGCCATAGGGACTTCCAGGGTTCAATTAATGGACACAAATACACCAGGCATACACTCTGTCACACTCTGAACCAAAACATCACAATTCTCTATTCCTTGAACACACGCTACAAACCACATGTCTTAAATTGTAATATGAAACCTGAATCGTGGCAATTTATCTAATCTAATAGAAGACAAAACAGAAGGGCAAGTTTTGATAACATACTTTCCCTCATCACCCCTGCTGAAAATACTTACTGTTTAGCCACGCAAATGAAAATCATAAAAGGTGCTTTGTGCACAGTGACACATAAAATACTCTGGTATGATACGCACGCTCTTTCCCAGTCACACGCTCACACAATCAGTCACAATGACAACTAAATCACAGATATACTGTATCTAAAAGCCACTCTTCATCTGTAGAGTCCGTCAGTACATTACAGTACTCGACCAGAAGAGGGCAGGCTCCACCCACGTGAATGCACAATCCCGTCAATGTCTATCCTACACAGTCCTGTCTGTCTTAAAGCGCCATGACTTTGCTCCACCACATTAGTCTTCACAGCGCTGAAACCTTGACCACGTTCTGGTGAGTGGGGCCTGTGGGCAGGTGGGCGTCCCCCTCAGGAGTGGTCACTGGTGGCGTGGGGATGCTGATGATGGCTGTGGTGATCTGACTGCCCTGGCAGTTCAGAGGCGACTGCTCATCCACACGCATGTTCAGACTGGAGCGACTAAAAGAGGACACAAACAGATACGCATGATTAGTGAGGTTTATCATTGGGTTTTTATGTCATTCATAAAGGTTTTTCTACACTGCCATAACAGGTAGAAAAACAGCTTTTCATGGAGAGTGCATTTAACACAATGGATTTATGGAAACAGGCTCCATTGACAGGAATTTGGAGGCAGATTCGTGGGAAGCAACGACCTAGCAACCAAAAAGCTCAATGGGAGTGCCACTGGTCTGTTCCAGCTCGCACTACTTGCTAGCCATAGCCTATTTTGGGCTATGGCTATGACCCAAAGCACCTGATTGGTCAGGTATTAGGGCTCATATCTGGATTTACAAACACAATATCCAAATATAAAACCAATATAATACAAAGTGGTGAACCACAGATTTTCATGCCCAAAATGGTGAATGTGCAGGAGGAGCTTACTTTTCAATGGAGGAGCCAAATACTGGAGAAAAACCTTTGCCATGAGAACTTCACTATTGGGCTTCATAGAACTAGCGAATAGGACTAAATAGATATTACCACTACATATAATATATCTAATATATATATATAATATACTTAAATATTGATACATATTTCCACTGTCTCAGTAGCTTATTTATTATTAAATTCTCACAATATTATCTTATTATTATTTTCAGATTGTTATTTTATTGTTATTTTTATTGTGAAAAACTATGCAAGCTACTGTGACAACGCAATTTCCCTTGTGGAATAATAAAGTCTGTCTAAGTCTAAGTCTTGATATAGACTTGGTGAATAGTATGAATTGTATTACTATGGAGCTCCTCTGAGAGTCCGTCACCCCTTCTCCACTGGCCCACTGGGAACAAGAGGAGGAGGGATCTTTCTAAGGCCACTCCACCTACGTACTGTAAATGACACTGTCCATCTGTACAGTCTGTGGCCTCAGCCCAAAAGCAACCACACCACTGCCCTCTAAGCCTTAGACTAAGGCACTCTACACGTACAGTCCTATGTCCGCTGGCTGCTGAGCCTCACCTGGTGCTGATGTGGATGGTACTGAGCTCCTGGAGCCCCGGTGTGTGCCCGTGGGTCAGTGAGGGCATGTGCACGGGGCCGCTGGCGTTAGGTAGAGGTGTGTGCAGCTTCTTGCTTCGGCGACTGCAGCACGTGCCAGTAACGCCATCTTGGCTCGACAAGGAGGGGCTTCGAGAGGCGTAGTTCTGCATCCCCGCCTCAAGGTAGCTCTGCTGATAATACTGCTCATCCACAAACTCATGGTTCTACACATGAGAAGGAAAGATAAGATAAGGGAAGCTTTATGTGTCCCACTTTGCCAAATATCAGTGCCAATCTAATTTTGCATTACAGGACATTTTTTGTAAAGAGTTTTGGGAATAATTCAAAAATGCTGTAAATATTAAGTGAATAACAAATCTATGTGCTTAAGAATCCTAGCTGAGTAAAAGGCTACATTAATAATTGCACATGGGAAAAGTAGCTTATATATTAAGACTGAGAGCTCAATTTAGATGCGAGTGCTGGAATTATTATTAAAATACCATAATTACCAGAGACTTCTGATTTGTACACATAACTATACCTTTCACAAAATCTCCCATTGGAATCAGACGGTTGTATTTCTGTCTACAGTGTTTCAAGATAATGAGGTTTAAAGTTCCAATCATCAGGTATAGTGAAACAAAAAAAACTATAAAATATTGCTAGTAAGCAGAAGGATCCAGGACTAACAATTTACAAATAACACATTCAAGATAAAATGTCACTTTCTATTCTGAGAGGATTACAAATAGGCCAAATCCTAGACAGATAAATACAATAATTGCTATTGTAAATTTCTCCATTGTGAGATCAATAACGTTTTAAAACATTATTCCCTCTAAATAGCAAAGCCCTGTTATTATTATTGCATGTTTACAAAGACTCAAATTGCATAAGGAATAAGCGTTTTGATAGTTATCATCAGACATGGCAGATATGCAAAGTAGAAAACGTATTACGCAACGCCTCCTTATTGTTTCCTCAGGAGTTATGCAACGCCATGTATAGAGATTCATTTACAACCCCAGCCTTTTCATGGTATATCATTGTATCATTATAAAACATGGCTTTCACTTTGGAGCAAACACAAGTAGATGTAGTGTTTATGGGCCGTTGATTTATTCTTTAAATACTCAGGAAGACAAGAGTGTATCTTTAGGCAAATGTAGCGTACTAGACATCAAGCTACAGGCACAGAAACACATGAATCATAATAAGCTCAATGCACACGGATGTCACTTCATCATAATGGTCTGATGCAGAACTACTAAAGGCAAGGCTATATTGTCGCTGTTTTTCTATTTGTTTTTTATACACATATTTGCTCTCTTCACATAAAATATTACATGGGATTTTGTCCTTTCTCAAACACTCAAATTATGGCCATGTTCTTTAAATGTGTTGATACATTCGAGTTTGTTCCTGTCACGAGTTCTGCTATGTCTAGTATAATTCTTTTCCTGGTGGTTTGTATTTTTTTGTTACCCCGTTTTATAGCTGTATTTTTACCCATTTGGCTTTGATGACTTGTCTTTCACATTCTTGTTATTGATCTACTTCTTCTACCATTTTACACCGTGATTTTTGTTACCTCCCTCATCATGGCAGAGCTGGGTCGTCACATTTAACCATCACTGAATTGTAAAAGGAAACTAGCATTATGATCTAGCAGTTTCAGTATTCAGACTAAATTATACTACCACAGGAATATTTTTTTTTGCTTTCAAACCTTTGCCAAGTTGGACACTGATGCCACTTTCTCATTATTTCTGTTTGGTTTTTGAATTTTAATATCGTGCTTTTGTTTGTGTTATTGTTGTGTTTATATAGGATGCTAAGTGAGCCCTTCTGTTTGCAATGAAAAACAAAACCTAATTATGTCTAGTTAGATCCACAAAATGAAGCAAAACAGTTCATATCGAATACAGAAATCGAAGTATTTATACCTGTATGTAAACGCTGCATAAGCTGGACCTGATATGAACCGTATAGAAAGGAGGGACTCACTGTGGTCTTCTCCAGACAGTGCAGCAGGTGGTGGCGCTGGCTTTCTATTAGGGAGGTAGATTTGCTCAGTCGCTGCTCCTCCTCATTGGATCCCTGCAAAGCAAACAACCCAAACAAAAACAGATGTTCGTAAGAATGAATACTGTTGAACAATCATCTCAAATGATGGGGTGTGTGGGCGGATGCTTTCTCTGTACCTGATCTGAAAGGTTGATCTTGTATGGGATATGCTTCGTGGGTGGAGGGAGACAAAAAGGGAGAGTTTTACTTGGAGCTTTGGGTCATGATCATACAAGAATAACACGCATTACTATTCAAATGCTCGGAGACATGTCTGCTAACATCAGTGGAGCCAGGACATTGATCTGAGCTGGAAGCACTACTTTAAGACACACCTAATGGACACCAGCCTCATATAGCTCCCTGCATCGTGACATTTCGCTCTCTCTTTATAGCCTACAGCAAACTGGTTAATGACATGTTTTCAGCCTTTGGCAATGGGCTGTGTATTTTTCTGCATCTTCGTGCATCATCAAGACGTTTATTTATTTCACAAACACCGTGGTGGTAAAAATGTATTGGAGTGATGGTGAGTCATAGCTGTGGATGCACTTTTTCTATTACCTGCGTCTAAATGTGAACGCAAGAGAATGACGATATTGTTCACAATATTTTTCCCCCAATGATCAAATGAATACTTTTTTAATTTTGGATTTTCTACACAAACTGTAAAGAAGGCTTCTAATATACAGACAGTCAGACCAATCATATTATTATTATTATCATCATTAATTGCGTTCTGGGTTTAATGTTTAGAATACATTACACAGTGTGGTTGTTTTCTTGAGAAAAGTAGCTTTAAAATTCCCAAACTTTCAATGCAAAATCTGATTAGGGATGACAGATGACAGTTAGCATGAGCAGCCTCTGCTCATGCTAACTGTGTTTGGAGCTCACGTCTCACAATATGGATCACATTTGCACGTGGATAGCGTGACCATACAATGATTGAACCGGGAAGCGCGGAGGAACGAGACTTTCTTTTGGATGGCTGTTTTGTTGTGTAAGCAGTTCCGGTAACGAAGACACGGGAAGCTTCAGGTTAGCCTCCGCCGCTTGTTTACCTCAGCTGTCTGTGCCAGTGTTGCCAACTCCTCAGTAAGGAAAGTAGCTATTGGCTGTCCCAAAAGTCGCTAGAAGTCGCTAAATGACGTCATCGCCTAATTTGCATAATTTGCAATTTGCAAATAACTGTAACGGACGGTGTAGGAGAGAGGAATAAGGTCGTGGGAGAGACAAAAGTGAGTAAAAACACCCTAAATATGTTTAGAACTACAAATGTACAAAAATAATTTCAACATTAACAACATTTAATGATTTTAATGCTTTGTCTAGATCCACATTACACACATCAGTTTTGTCCTGTATTGTTAAATGTTATAACAGCAAATGTAATCAAAAGATTGTTATGTAGGGTGAAATTGCTAGCTCTACAACCAACCCTCCTCCTTTATCCGGGCTTGGGACCGGCAAAGTGACCCAAAAGACACACTCTGGCAGAGTTACTTAGGTTTATTTTTGTAAGTTTTTTTTTTTTTTCATAGTTTGGCATAACAAATGATTTAATGTGACCCACTACTGAGAGAAAACACAGTCACGGACAGAGCTGCCGCGGATGGAGTGGGGGGTAGTGGGGGGGTGGCGGTGGTAGGAGTGGCCGGGGAGCTTTGGATGTGTGGTGGTGGTGGAGCTGGAGTTCAGTCTGCAGCAGCCTGAAAACTCCCTGTGCTTTTGAGTCTCCTCTCTCTCTCTCTGCTCCGCCCATAGACTGTAGCTGGGACTGCTGCGCAAGGCTACTGTGAGACTGGCCGCCTGTAAGTGCTTTGGGACGGGGGAGGGGCTCACGTTGAGGACTGCAGAACAATACGTGCTTCACGAGTCTCCAAAACACCAGATAAGTCGCCAAAACACCAGATAAGTCGCCAATAACACCAGAAAAAGTCGCTAGATTTGTCGCTAGTCGCTTTTTTGAAAAAAAGTCGCTATAGGGGTCTGAAAAGTCGCTAAATCTAGCGACAAAGTCGCTAAGTTGGCAACACTGGTCTGTGCTAACAAGAGACCTGTGGCTTTTCTCAAGAAAGTGGGGGCCAGTAGTCCGCTGTGATTGGTCACAATCGGGACCCGAAACAAATTATCTTCCTTGTTTCACCAAAACACCTCGATCTGAAATTAAATGACACACCAGCACAAATCTGTGCTACTTTTTCTTCAAAAGGACGTATATCCCAATGCATTGCATGGATATGGATTGAATTTTTGTAATAAATACAAAAATAAAGTCAGTTAGTGCAGCTTTAAAGTACACCATGTGAATCCTCGCGCACACCTAGTGCTCTGTGCAGCCTCGATTGGGAAACCCGTGAGACAGTTCTTTTATCTAAGGTTGGATAGTGATCTGATACCATCACTGTACCATCGCATTATACAAACACATTGATTAACTCCTTATGGACACGTAATGTGTTTGTTTTGTTTCTTGTGTTCTATCTCTGGTCTATTGTTGTCAAAACAGCAATTTTGTAAAGTCCTCCAAGATGACTGCTGTTGCGAAATATGGCGATACAAAATAAGTTAAACTGAAATGAATTCTTTAATGTATTGTGACTTTAAGAGGCTAAGGCTGCAATAGTAACATTTGAGAAGCGGCACAAACTTTTCAAATACCGTCAATTTGGAAACAATGTCATATTGTTTCGTGGAGCACAAGATCAACAAAGAAGATCAATGTGTTTTTCTCCAAAGTGCGATCTAAGGCTTCGTTCTTGGCAAAAAAACAGAACTCTACACCTCTCTAAACATTGCCAATCATAACCTCTCCCTTCTCCCGCAAACACATTTCCAACACTTGTCAGCAGCAGTGTTCGGGAGCGCTCTCTCGGATACAAACGCTTTCTATATGTTGCATCAGTCTTTTTCCCGGCACAGTCTGCACTTCTACAGTTTGTTAAAAAACTCAAAAAAATGCTGCCTTGATTATTCACACTGTAAGATTTGTTGTTTTCCGTGGGCTCATCTGTGTATTATGTATTAGGTAAGCTAAGGCGGCAGTAAAACGCAGGTGTTTAGACAGAGTTATTTCAGTGCGTGTCGTGTAAAGGGCCGCATCAGCACTCAGGGGCCCACAGTGCTGTATGAGCATAAGCCACAACACACTAGCTCCCTGAGACAACACAAAGTCACCCATCAGAATTCAATCATAGTTTTTATTGTGGCCATCAGATGACAGCCGTTTAAAACTAGGAAACAAACACCAAATATTTGGAACCTGAATGAATTGAAGTTATTTTAGTAAGTCAATGGAAGCCATTCTGTGAACAAACAAAATAGGACTAGAGAAGGTGTAAAAAACAAGAACACAAAACCAACCACAACATAGTTAGAATTCTACAGAATGATAGAGCACTATAACTAAATTGGTTCCATCACTGGTTCTCAACAGGAATATGTCAGGACTCACCATCAACATATAATGTCAAGCCCAACTGAGCTTAGTGAATGATGCCATTGTTTTATAAGCATTGGAAAATACAAAGTTATAGCTATGGACACAATAGCTCCAAAACTGGAAATTAAATCTGGATTAAATGTGTCTTTGAGTCAAGTAACACATTTGCAACCAATCTACCAATGGGGCAAGTTTTATATTATATTTCAAGTAAATAAATATTTTAATACCATTTTCAGTGTGTAGTATAACAAGTTGAATTATGTTTTTTTATGTTACTTTCTTAAACCAAGATAAAAAATAATTCAAGATTAAAGCCGCAAGCGGCGTCAAACGGCCCTCGCCGCACCGCGCAACTCACCGCACTGCGCCACTTCCCGCACCACGCCGCACCGCTTATCGAAGGTGGCGCCACCGCGCCATGATTTGGTCCCGTAGCCATAAAAGAATGTTTGTGAAATTGTAATAAATATGATCAGTTGAGTTGGTTTGGCTCCCCATGTAAAACTTGGCCTCAGTCTGTTGGGGGCGCTAATGGGCCAATTTCAAATACTTCACGTTCACATGACCTAGACCCTGGAGTTGAACAATGTATTAAAGTTTTGTGGAAATCAGACTTTGTTTCTGCAAACAGAAGCTATTTTTCGATCGTAAAAAATGGCAAAAAAAGGTCCCATTTTGCCACTCCGCTGCTCAAACATCAAAAATCCCAGGAGTCATTTTTAAGGTACTTGTGCTGAGATGATGTGGAGCGATTTTGAGGCCAATCGGTGAAACGGTTGAGGAGGAGTCGCTTTCCAACCGACATGTATGAAAACTTTTGCTGTTCATTTTTCCATTTTGCAGTGAAATTCATGGGCTTCCTTTTGGTCAGGGGGCGGGGCCATAATGATATTTTTTACATGTCTTGATTTGAGGAATATGTGTACCGAATTGCATGGCTCTACAACAAACTTGATCTCCAAAACTCCCATAGGGGTACTATTTTGGCTGTTGTAGGTGGCGCTGTTCTGGCATTTTTTGAGTACCATAAAAATAAACACCAAAATATCAAATTTTTCGCAAGGTCTGATTTTCGGACAAAAGTTTACAACTTTTCATGCATGTTCAGGGGGTCAAATTAAGGCTCAAAGTGCAGAATTTGACATCTCTCGAGCAAAAACAATAGGCCCTTTCCCCGTTCGGGGCTCGGGCCTAAAAATGTTGCTAATGGCCAACTACAAATGACACAGTGACCCACAGTTTGGGTCGCATCCAGTGGCCAACTTAACGTGCGCTGACATGCTTGTAATACCACCCCGGGCCGATGGGGGTGGACCCGGAATAAGAATTAGCCAATGCTAACATATAGCATTAGCTGACCTCTCGAAAACGTCTTTACAGGATGGTCCAAAAGTTGGCTCTTGGCCCAAAGCTCCGTTCCACATGTGTGTCAATGCTGAGGGGAGTGAATTTTTTTGGACCACTCTGGTTTAGTCGCTGTGAATTTTTGAAGGCACTCCGTCAAATGAATGGGGCTCTCGCCAGCTGACGCATGCGCAGATGCGTTTTTTCACAATTTTCTTGTGGGCGGGACCCAAGCCCCGGCGATCCAAGATGGCGCCCTATTCAAATGAATGGTTGTGCTCAGTGGCGCTTTGTGACGGCATGGGGGCTGAAAGATTAGCGGAAGTCGCCTGGATCTCGCAAAGATCTATGGGAAACTCGCCTGTATTTGGGCATCGTCTGGTCCTCCCGGTTCTGCGCAGTGGATGATCTCCCACAATGCGTTGCGCCAAACACGCGTGTGTGGGTCTCACACCGGGTCTCACGCACGTGCACAGAGGGACTCGGCCGCGCTCTGACCAATCAGAGCAGTTCATCAGAGCGGGAGTTAGAGCGAGAGCCAGACGAGCAGAGTTTGTGGCACTAAAGTGTGGATTTAAAGAAAACCGAAGGATATAAGAATAAAAAAAGTTCAGGATGACAAGGGACACTAAAATCCCCACAAAATCCGACCTTTATGAAAGGTTCTATGAAAGGTTCTCTGTCAGCTGAGGTTGAGCTGTTTTAATATGCATTGAGTCCTATGGGGAAAATTTCTGGGTAGCCCACGTGAATTTAGTTTGTTTCAGTCTGCAGTACCGCGAGAATCCCCCGAGCACATGAGTTATTCAGCTACAAGCTAGTAATACCCTATCCAGTTATTATAACTGGATAGGGTTTTATGGATAAATGACCACTCGCGGCCATTTTGGATAGCTCCAGTAGAGCACAATTTTTGGCCCATTAGTTTGAACGGCAGAGATACGCGTGACTCTGTCCGTTAATATTTACAGTCTATGGTCGCAGCCCACCAGTTGAGAGCCACTACAATAGAACATGGTGAGCTACTACATTGTCAAAAAGTATAACACAGTTTCCAGTAGCCTCCCAAAGGCTCTTTGTATCTTTAACTAAGCTGTCCCCAAAAAGAACAGAGGTTCAAACAGCTAGAAATAATGTACTTGTTCCTCCACCGTCTGAGCACAGAAATGTGGTGTTGAATTAGTATTGAAGCCAATGTTTCTGTGGAGCTGTGCATATCCTCCAGGCCACTCGACTTTGGGACGGCAGCATTTTGCGAGGCGGGAGAGGTTTTGTTGTGTTTACATTTGGTGCATTTGGCCTTAAGCGTGTTCCTCGGTTGGACAGCTGGGTTCAAAGATGCTCTGGCTTATCAAATGAAAACACAGTTTGCCTTTCTGACAGAATGGGCCGGCTGGATGAATTCTAAGAACTGATAAATTAAGTTTGGAGTGCCATGGTTTTAGGGACCTCTATCCAACCTCCATTGTGTGCTGCAATGGAACATGGGTGAGCAGCTTAACCTGGGAGGAAGGTAGTCACAGATAGTTTGGACTTTTTGTGACTTAGATATTACAATATGGCAAAACTATTTAACATTTTCAATTTTATTCCTAATGAACATATTACATAGAAAACCTTTAACTCAATTTAAACGTTCTTACAAACCCAGAGAAATGTACTACATATAAACCTATGTAGTACAAAAATGTTTTTGTTAAAGGTGAATTCCTCCACTGGTATTTTGTGAAGTGATCCGATATCTACAGTACGTATTGCGAAGGATATGGATATGTTATTGCTTTGCTTGAAATGTCGCTCAGTGTTGTTTAAAACCTGCACATTCATCAATTATGGATGTACAGATATATTAGCCTTGCCTCGCCACAGATAAAACTTGCATGTTTCCTATGTAAAAGAAAAGGTCAATGACACATATTCAGGCAAAACAACAACATAACCCAGGCAAAACACAGACCCACCAGGACAGTTGAGGAATGCACCTTTAAGTTATGAATTGTGTTGATGATAATGTTGAAGGAAAGGTTCTTTGGATTCTTAATGTATGCATGTGACTTTGTGTTGTCCTTCTTACCGTGAGCTCCAAGGCTTCGTTGAACAGGCCGTTGCCTTTGCCATGGACGAAGGGACCTGAGCTCCCCGTCTTGGTGAGTCGTATCCTGGCCAATCGTGCTTTCTACAGAAACAAAGACATATTCAGTGACCACCACATTCACATTCAAGTCAGAAATACTGGATTATTTTGACACTTCCCTCTGATTCCAGCTACAACATGTCTCATTTTATAAAGGTGTGATCTTGTGGACTAAATCAAACATGAACAACTCAGTTATTCACTTTCATGTGTCATGATGAATTCACTCTGATCTGCAGGAATACTTTGAATCATTTATGCGGACTACATGATACACTCTCTTCTTGGATGAGACCAGTTAGTGCAACAGCAGCAGGAGCATAGAAACAACTGTAATGAGTGGAAGAAAAGTGGTACAAGTGTTTTAATGAATGGCTTTCAAACATTAATACTAATTAGAGGGGCACTCTTTATAATTTCTATATATATATATATATATATGTGTGTGTGTAAACAATAAAATAGAATAAATAGAATTTAAAAAATCTGTTCGATGAAAAGCAGCAGTGAGTGCCTTCTTTGTAGTTTAGTGTTGAATACAAAACATTTAGTATCAAAACTGACCAGATAAAAACATGGTAATAATCTCCAATATAAGGACAAATAAGACATCAATTAGTCCCAATTTCCCCAATTAGTGTCATTATAATTTAATGGTCTGTTTTTTTAAATAAACTGTGCTTCTTTTTTAGAAATGGGCTTAAATTATATCACAGTATAAAAGTAAAGTATCAGACTTTAAACATGTCCCACCCAAAAAGCAGCTTCTTTGGGCTGGACACAACTTTTTTGCATCACATTATTAAGTTAGGGATTGGCCACGGATCACAGCTTTCTGAGAATTCCTTAACTTCTTTGAAGATATTCACATATCATTTGAAGCTTGGAAACCTTTTCAAATTCCTCACAGATCCTCTTAAGAAACTGTATGACTAAAACGCTGTACTTTTTAAGACATTTGAGTAATTTTCTCTAAATGGCTGTTCCAACCAATCTTCTAGTCTAAAAAATGTCAAACATGCAATCTATTTTACACAGTCCGTGCCTGCTTTGCTTTGGTGAGCCTGGACTCTAAAAATAGAACAAACTGGGATCTAATTAAGTGAAATAGAAAGTAAAGTGTGGACAGAAGCAGAGCACTCTTTAGCTGAGTGCATATGCGCTGCAGCGGGGTTAATTAGCATGTGGCTCTTGTTTGCATCTCTCAACGTGCACTATGCAAACATACATTTCTATAGGTGAATTTTACTCCATACAAAACATAATCTATCCAGCGAAGGCTCAATGCACATGGCAAAGATTATGAAAATGTATGGTAATTTGTCCTCATCCCTCACTTAGATTTCATTGAAAGTAAGGCAATGTTTGTAGACCTGCAGGTGGCTCCAGCTGTGATTTAGTAATCTAAAACCAGGCAGGGGAGATAAACGATCACACATGTTGAAGACGCATACTACACAAAAAGTTTATAAATGGGCCATTTAAAACCTGCACATTCATTGTTTATGCTTAGATATGACATCGAACGGCTGTATTCTTACTCAAAGGAGAATCACGGATCACTGCACACTGTTTTCGTGTCTCATAAAATTTGAAAGAGCGTCTATATTTCCAGGCTGTTTCCTCTCACTTCTTGTTGCCCTTGACAAGTTTGCTGTTTTGTGCCCTGTTCCTCTGACTCCTATGCACGTTTATATGCTGGCGCAGCAGTCCCACAGGCCTTTGGGATAACCCTGCCTTGTGCGCTGGCATTGTGCTGTAGCCAATAGCTTCCTGTCCCTGGGGTTTCCATGCCAACGGAGGCGGTTAGGGTGATGCCGGTAATGGAGGGGATGCTAAGAACATGTCCCGCTACGTTCAATCTACTTGCGCCGGGATTTTTTATAGATTCCCCGCGCCTCTGGGACCAGGGGGCTGGTGTCGAGGGCCCATTGCTTCTTTCAGTGAGAGATTGGGCATGGATTCTTGCTGAAGCATCATACGGAGCAAAGAAGAGTCAAAGGGAAGCAAAGAGGGTCATTAGATTAAGGCTCTGTGGGTATGTGGAGGTTATACGACTGCAGGACATGTACACAACATACAGTAGGCTCAGAGAGCATTGCTCTGGATCTCCACCAGGAATCAGAATCAGAATCAAAATCAGAATCATTTTTATTGCCACGTAAGTAACAGGAGGTCACAGACTTGGAAATTGCTTTGGCTCAGTGCAACAGTCAAAAAGAGATAATAAAAATAAGAATAAAAAACACTTCTAAAGAATAAATTTAAATTTAAAATAGAGTTACAGTTACTATTTACAATATACAAGTGCACATGGTGCACACAATGTAAGGTGACAGTAAAGTGACTTTAAAAAGGGCGGGGGGACAGGTTAAGAAGTGTTCAAGAGTCCAACAGCAGAGGGGAAGAAACTGTTCTTGTGGCGGGAGGTTCTAGTCATGATGGACCGCAGCCTCCTGCCTGAGGGGAGTGGTTGGAATAGTCCATGTGCAGGGTGAGAGGGGTCGGCTGTGATACGACCAGCCCGGCCTCGAGCTCGGGCGACGTACAGGTCCTGCAGCGATGGAAGGCTGCGGCCGATCACTTCCTCTGCAGAGCGCACAATGCGCTGTAGTCTCTGTTTGTCCCTGACTGTGGCTCCAGCGAACCACACGGTGACGGAGGAGGTGAGGATGGACTCGATGATGGCCGTGTAGAACTGCACCAACATCTGTGCAGGCAGCTTGGCTTTCCTGAGTTGCCGCAGGAAGTACATCCTCTGCTGGGCCTTCTTGATGAGGGAGCTGATGGTCGGCTCCCACTTGAGGTCCTGGGTGATGGTGGTGCCCAGGAAACGGAAGGACTCCACAGAGGTGATGGGGGAGTCCATCACGGAGGGTGGGGGCGGGGGGACAGTGCTCTTCCTGAAGTCCACAATCATCTCCACTGTCTTCTGGGCGTTCAGCTCCAGGTTGTTACCACTGCACCAGGACACCAGCCGGTCCACCTCCCTCCTGTAGGCGGACTCATCGTTGTTGGAGATGAGTCCAATGAGGGTGGTGTCGTCCGCGAACTTGATCAGCTTCACGGAGTCGTGGCTGGAGGTGCAGTGGTTGGTGTACAGGGAGAAGAGCAGGGGAGAAAGAACACAGCCCTGTGGGGCTCCTGTATTTATAATCCGAGGGTCCGAGACATTCTTCCCCAGACGCACTCGCTGCTTCCTGTCCGTCAGGAAGTCAGTGATCCACCTGCAGGTGGAATCGGGCACGTTGAGCTGGGAGAGCTTGTCCTGGAGCAGGGATGGCAGGATTGTGTTGAAGGCAGAGCTGAAGTCCACGAACAGGACCCTGGCGTAGGTCCCCGGGGAGTCCAGGTGCTGTAGGATGTGGTGGAGGGCCAGATTAATGGCATCGTCTACAGATCTGTTGGCTCTATAGGCGAACTGCAGGGGGTCCAGGAGGGGGGAGGTGAGGGACTTGAGATGGGAGAGAACCAGGCGTTCAAATGACTTCATGACGACAGACGTAAGTGCTACAGGTCTGTAGTCATTGAGTCCTGTGATCCTGGGCTTCTTCGGGACGGGGACAATGATGGAGGATTTGAAGCAGGCCGGGACATGGCAGGACTGCAGAGAGGTGTTGAAAATGTCAGTGAACACAGGAGTAAGCTCACTGGCGCAGTGTCTCAGAGTGGCCGGAGACACGTGGTCCGGGCCAGGAGCTTTGCGGGGGTGCAGCCTCAAGAAGAGTTGTTTAATCTCTTTAGCGGCTATTGTTAGGCTGGGGGCAGGGCTGATGGGTGGGTCGTTAGAGTAGTGGGGGGTGGGGGAGGGAGAGGTGTCAGGGGCAGCATCAAAGCGACTGAAAAATAAGTTCAGTTCGTCAGCTAGCTTGTGGTCATCAGCACAGGGGGGGGCTTCGGGTTTGTAGTAGGCCGTAGGCCCCTCCAGACAGAAGCAGTATCGTTGTTACCAAACTGCTCCTGTAGTCGTTCTCTGTGCCGGGACTTGGCTGCTTTCAGTTCTTTCCTGAACTGATATTTAGCTGCTTTGTAGCCGCTGCGGTCCCCCTCCCTGAAAGCAGACTCCTTTGCTTTCCTGAGCTGCCGGAGTTCAGCAGTGAACCAGGGTTTGTTGTTGTTATAGATGACCCTGGTCCTTGTTGGAATGATGCTATCCTCACAGAAGTGAATGTATGACGTCACAGTGTCCGTGTATTCATCCAAACTATCTGTGGCAGCTCTGAAAAGGTCCCAGTCTGTAGATTCCATGCATGCGCGCAGCTCTTCCACAGCTTCATCAGACCACACTTTGGAGCTCCTCACTGCAGGTTTCGAGAGCTTTAGTCTCTGTCTGTAAGCAGGAACCAGATGTATCATGGAGTGATCTGAGAAGCCAAGGGCTGGCTTGGGAACAGCGCGAAAAGCTCCGCGCACGGTGGTGTAACGGTAATCCAGAGTGTTCTCCTCTCTGGTCGGGCATTTGATAAACTGTCTGTATTTGGGTAATTCCTGGCTCAAGTTTCCCTTATTAAAATCCCCCAGGATAATAATCAGAGAGTCCGGGTATAAACGTTCCATACACAGTACTTGCTCTGCGAGTGCGCGCTGAGCCTCGCGCGCGTCCGCGCATGGCAGTATGTAAACAGAGGCAAGAATGAATGAAACAATTTCACGAGGGGAGTAATAGTTTAGTTTATTAGTAATAGAGCTAGTTTCCATCTGTAGTCCCTGAGCAGGTGAGTCACAACATGTACAATATAAAATATATTTAACCACTCAAATACAAATATTCATTCATACATTCACCCGTTACATCCATCAGTCCACATAAATTCATGCTAAAATTACTACATAAAACATCACTAACGGTCATATTTACATTTACAATTATCAGTGCTGACATGACTGGTTCACCAACAGCACTTTTTTTGTATTACGAGAGAAATCTTTCAGGTCTAAGGAAAGTTTCAGACTCTGTGGGAGTTTGTTCCATTCTTTGATGCCTTTGAATGAGAAGGATGTCTGCGCAAAGGCTGAGCTACGTTTAGGCAGTCTACAGTCAG